GTAAGTAATCAAAAGCATAGGATTCTTAATTGGCATTGAGAAAATTAAACTCGTGGTTAACTTTTTTTTCTTTTTTTCTTTCAAATTGGTTCTCAAATTTGTGAAATTTCTAAAAAGTCGGTCGTATTGTTTTTAGTTTTTTGTTGTTCGTTTTATTTACTTAGAAGAAGGACACACACACACACACACACACACACACACACACACACACACACACACACACACACACACACATATCTAACACACACATAGAGGGGGAGAGAGAAAGACACATACAAACACACACGCACACATATCATCTCACATTCACCTGCGGCTCCATTTATACAATGTATTAGTAGTTTTATATATACACTAATGGTAAATTGTCTTTTGGCAATTGTATTAATGTCACACACACACACAAACACACACATATGTATATGTGTGTCTGCGTGCGCGCGCGCGCGCGCGTGTGTGTGTGTAAGTTGTTACATTATTTATCGATGATGACGGCTTTTTAACATTTTTCAATTTTGAATAGCACATTGTTATGCGTGTGAGTTTGCGTGTGTGTACTTGTGTGTGTATGTTTGTATTAGTGTTGTTTGTGTTATTATTTTTTTAATTGTTGCTATTATTATTATCTTTTTTTCATTATTGCTGTTTTCGCTAAAAGGACATATGATCTTTCTCACTATTGTTGATGTACATCATTTTCTTCCTCAACCTTTATCATTATTATTATTATTATTATTATTATTATTATTATTATTATTATTGTAATTATTGTAATATTACTATTATTATTACTTTGTCATTTTTATCTTTTACCAGTTAGCAGTTTCGTATAAATACCTTTTTAAAAAAACTATAGTTAGATGTATTACAATACATACATGCATATATACATAATGTATGTATGTATATATATATACCCATATATATATATATATATATATATATATATATATATATATGTATTACAATACATACATGCATATATACATAATGTATGTATGTATATATATATATACACCCATATATATATATATATATATACATATATACATATATAATGTATCTAATATTGTAACTTAGCACAGGCATTTGTTACACCTTAGCAATTTTTTTTCTTTTAGTTGGTCATCTTGTAATAATTATAATAATAATAATAGTTATTATAGTATTATTATTATTATTATTACCATTATATTATTGTTGTTGTTGTTATTATTATACATTTGTTATTGTTTGATAAAGGTGACGTTCTAACCAATGATTGTAATGATAGAATTCCTTATTGTTCATACATTAACGGAGTAATAACGATCTATATAATATATTCGATCCGTAAGTTAATCAATATCGTTGTATTGATGTTTTCAATTATTATAGATAGAATAATAATGATAATTATGATATTAATAATTATTATTATAGCTATTATTTTATCAGAAGTTCTGTTATATGTGTGTATATATATACGTATATATATATATATATATATATATATATTTATAATATACATACATGCATACATACATTTATACATACATACATACATACATATTTTATTTTATTTTCATAGATTTGCCGCATCGTTGTTATTATTGTTTTGGTCCTCTATTTGAAGAAATAAAAACAATTGAACAAACGATCGATCTTAGATGGTTTTTAAATTATTTAATTTATAAAAATTTAATTAAAGGAATTAAATTATGGATTGTCGGGATTATTACTTTTAAACCTGTAAAAATTTTGTAGCTTTTTTACATTTTCTTTGACATTTTCTAAGTGCGAATATGCATTACTGCCAGAGTAAGTTGAATTTTTTAACTATATCGCAAATGGTTTTTATTATTATCTAGTTAATCGACGGTCGTTTGGTCATTTTAATTTTTATGAATGATTTGTTGATTTGACGAGATAGATTTTGTTGGATGTGACCTGTTAGGCGTTGCACGTTCGAAGCGCGTGGCCTGCCAGAATGTTAGATGCTTTGAGAAGTTGTGCTCGATGATATGACTGACTATGGTGATGTATGAAGTTCAATGATTGGTTGGTGTTGGTTGGTCGGTTTGCTTGATTTTTTTTTTCATTAGTTGCCTAACTGCCAACCAGGAAGCCCCGTTATTGGAATCATGATAGGTTGTGTTTTGGGTCTGTCAGCCACTTTGTTGCTTCTTTCCATTTTCTATGCAGCACTTCGCAGGAAGTTTAAGTGAGTATTTATGCTAATTCACGAAAAAAAGTGAGCTTTCATGTTTTTAAATATTTTAACCGAGAATTTTTTGTTAGTAAGATTGTATTACTACATACCATACAAATAATTTTAATTTTTTGTACTCCAGGCATCAGGCGATAAAGAAGAGTCTTTCTCAATCTTCATAATTACCATCCTTTGGGTGATCCTTTTAGAAACTCCACTATCGATTAAAATTAACAACCGATTTGCATGTTACGCTAAATTAGTTGAATAAAACACCAAACTTTCAATCAAATAACATAAGGTCAATTTAACAACAATCCTTAACAGTTATAAAACATTTAATTTTAAAAAGTTCATGAGTTTCATTGGTTTTTATCATTTAACCAACTTCACTGATGTTAATCTTCCTCGTAGAGCTTCCCGAGGCCACCTGAAATTCCCTTGGTGCTCGGAGGGAAGTGCAGGATATCCCCGGTCAGATGTCTGGACACACTGGCTTCAGACATCCGATTTTCTATTGTTTCCGACTCATTTGATTGTAAACCGCTAAATTTGTTTATGTCCTGCACTGAGTTTCTCTTGTATTGCGCTGCCTGAATTTGTTGCAGCTGGTCCGAAACATGTCGGAAGCGTAAGGCGTTCTCTTGGAAGGATTGACATTGCATGTTTCGATTGTGGCTGGTGTAGTCAGATTTCACGACCTGAAACTCGTGCTCCCAAACTTGGAATACTTGTTCATGTTTTGGTAAAAGTTGTAGAATTGGCTGTCCCTTTTTTTTGCTTTCGTTCGAATCTCTCTCTCTCGCCCTTGAATACTTTGATGCATTCCGCGGAGAATATTTTAGTGGTATCTTGGTTCTTGGTATGTTACTGGGCAAATGCAAACTGTCGATTACTACTGCTCTGTTCAGCTTTTCTGTTTTCTCTGCTTCATGTGATGGTTCGAATGTATCTTTGGAAGTTAAGACGGAATTATCCTTAGTCAAAAATTTTTCAAATCGAAAAGTACTGTTTCGGTGTTCTCGAGTTTTTTGATCCGACAACTTTTGTTGATTATCTTTTAGTACATTTACTTTGGATAATTCTTTCGACGGAGCGTTAGACTTTCCAGTGGTTTGGGAAAGAAGATTTTGATTCTGTGGTTTAATAGTTTTATCCGTTGTAGCATATGAAGACGGATCAGAAACAAGACTGAGATTGTAAGTCATGAAGGATATCTTCACTACATTTTCTAGCAGTTGTTTTTTCTCTTGTTGTTTTCGTTGTCTTTGCTGACGACAACATATGCTAACGCTCGTGAAGTAAGCAAACGTGCCACTGAAGAACACAAGAACGACGGAGCCAAATATCGATGTTACAATGAAGCTGCCTGAATGTAAAGAGTTAAAGTTCTTAATCGATATAATACAAAAGTCGATTTTTTTGTTTCATTGAAAAACTGTAATAATGAAAAGAATGAGAATAAATTAAAATTTGGTCAAGTTCGTATTAATATTAAACGGTCGATGACGTACAGCTTACCAAAATTTGTGCATAATGGAGTTGAGTGGTGCAAGCCTTCAATACTTGGACCAACCATATCATGAAGGGCTTTGTTTGAAAACAAAAATGAAAGCAAATAAGAGAAGAAACAAATATTTTAAATTGAACTTATTATTCGTTTATATAAATTTTTATCCGATAAAAAGTGAACGCACGTTTTATTTTTCTCAAATTTATGACGCATGTCTCATCCAACTTAACCGGCTTGAACTCTCTAGTCACCATAATTGCCCGACAAACGTAAATCCCACTTTTGTCAGGTTTCCCACTTTCGGTTTCTTTTTCGCCGTTTACTCCTTCTTTTGGTACAATTACAAACCCTGTGGCTTTTTTAATATTTTCATTTTGATTAGTCACGCTTTCTTCGATGATCAGAGATGGTTTAAAGTAAACTATTGGCTTTGTGATATCATTGATTTCGACATCGTCGACGTTTTCGTCATCAGGTGTGGTGATGTACCCGATAGCGCAAGAAGCGGTGTAGAGCAAATGCTCACCTATGAGATCGTTGTAGTACATTTGTAGAAGTTTCATTTTTTTCTTTATTTCTTCTTTATTATGTTGAAGTGTTTTATTAAATTTAGCTCTAGTGTTTTTATCGTTGCTTGTTTTGTTACTATTAAATTTCTCATTGTTATTGGCATTCATCATTTCTTTATAATATTTATATTTTTCGTCGACGATGTCCTGCCCAGAGAAATTGTAACGACCCAGGTGACTTCTGTTTGGCTTGATGCTGAACAGTTTTTCGATGAACGATAGGACTCGATTTTTTACGGTTCTGTTCAATACAAGATCCGCCGTACAATTCGGTCGTTTCTCTAATATAATAATTTGGAAATTAATATAAAATTTGTCAATTTAAACTTTAAAATTTTTTTACTGTACAACAATTAAAATGTTTTGTATATTAATTAATTAAAATTCCATCCTACCGACAAAAGACACGACAAATCTTCCACACTGAGCCGATCTGTAGACTCCAGCAACAACATGAGTGGCATTATTAATCTTTAGATGGCATGATTGTCCGTTGGTGCTTTCGACAGTTAAATAATTGTTCTTCCCAGAGTTCACACTTTTTGCACCGAGCAGTTTACAATTCTGGTCCACTAAGGTTCGAACCCCGTTTAATGTCCAGGTGAAATCTATTGAAGCACTATCGTTGGCATATTTAAGTAGTTTTGTGTAATCGGCTTCATTTTTTATGTTAATTCCTTTCTGAGAAATAAATCCATTAGCATTTTTTGATTTGTCCAGGTCGATCTTGTAAATGATATTACTTGTTCTTGTAGGTTCTTTTCTAGCAGCATTATCGTTCTGATAAGGATCAAGGTAGAAAATTTTATTCCGTATGCGAGTTTGCTTCACCTCCTCATTATCTTCATCGTCCTCATCATCTTCATCATCCTTGTAGAGTACATAGCAAGGTAATGTAACATCGTAACCTTCGATCACAGACATGTACGTGGTGCTTGTTGGACCAGTTGGTTGACTGGAAGTTTCACAAGCTGTCACCAACAAGTAAATGCCTGATTTAATAATTAAGTTTGAATAAATCTTTATTTTGTTACTCTGCTAAATTTTTATAAATGTAATCGTTATTAACAATGGAGTACTTATTAAATAAATCTTCTAACTTGTTAGGACAAAGAACATAATGTTTGAATTAATAAAAAAAATACCGTTCAAAATATTGTTATAATATTCTCGCTGTCGTAACCGATTTACGATGCGACGGGTTCAAATCTTCGATTGAATAAAATATTCCAAACAGTTATTAAACTTTATTTACAGAAGAAATCAACTATTATTAGTTATTAAACTTTATTTACAGAAAAAATCAACTAATCGTTTATTTCCAGTAAATTCGCACTAACGCAACAATTAACTTTTAAATCTTTCAAAATCTATCGCTATGACAACGTCAACAAACAAATCAAATATCGCTTTAAATAGTTCACCGAATCGCTATTCACAAAATCACGAATTTCACTAATCACGAATATCACTAATCACGAATATCACTAATCACGAATATCACTAATCAAGAATCTTCTTGCGACGTGCGCTTATATACTCTTCGCAAGCGTCGTTTCTAGATTCTTCCAGATGGTCCGATTCTAGCATACTCTAGAATGCTCCAGTCACTAGAACATTCCAGAATACGCTAGAATCCAGTGCGTTCGGTATCACGGTTATAACAATATTCATCAACCTGTATTTGTGACGGTTACAAGTTTGTAATATCAAAAGTAGACGAGTCTATAAAATGTGAAATATTTTAATCATATACTTAAAAATATTTGAATCTACATATGTAAATATGTGGTTTTAATCTTTCATATATAAATATATATATTAAAATTTGCATTTCAATAATTATTTTTTGGCATAGACATTACATTATTTCTTCATTAATAAGTTGACTAACGTTTACTAAATGTGAATTTAAGTTTCTATGTTTTCTCGATTTTGTTTTCATATAAAAGGCTTCAGTTAGATAACTCTGAGTTTAAAACGATTTTTTCAAAGTAATTTTTTAGGTTTATCGATGTTTTAAAAATGAGCCACAATCATAAAAAGATCAAATACGCCAAAGGTGGGAAGAAGGCTTTCAAGGAATTCCGAAAACATCAACATGACGACAAGACATCCGAGGAACGTTTTGTTACGGACATGACGGCTGCTCTGGAAAACTTCAACGATTCACAAGCCTCTGCAGAATTGGACAAGAAAATTAAATTTCCATTTCGTCTGGCCATGTGGGATCTCGGTCACTGCGACCCCAAAAAATGCTCTGGTAGAAAATTAGTTAGGTTTGGATTGGTTCAAGAGCTGTCACTGCATCAACACTTCGGAGGTCTTGTCCTGTCGCCGATTGGTGTGAACTGCATATCACCATCAGATCGTTCTCTAATTGTCAATCACGGATTGTGTGTCGTTGACTGTTCGTGGGCGAAGATTGATCAAACGCCATTCGGCAAAATGAAGTGTCACCATCTACGACTTCTGCCATATTTAGTGGCAGCTAATCCAATAAATTATGGAAGGCCCTGGAAATTATCGTGTGCAGAGGCCTATGCAGCAGCTTTGTACATTGTTGGCATGAAAGAATTTGGAGAAGTTTTGTTGTCAAAGTTTAAATGGGGAGGAAGCTTTTATACCATGAATAAGGAATTGCTAGATAGGTATGCAGCCTGCGAGTCGTCTGCTGATGTTATAAAGGTGCAGAATGAGTACTTAGAAGTTAGGGATGTGTCAGATTCCAATACTGATCAGCCTGCTGATCGAGATCCATTCGATATCAATTCTGATGAAGAGTTCTACAATCCTAATAGACCACTCAATAGTCAAAATGATGACGGCGACGATGATGAGGACGACGACGATGATGAAAAATTAACTTGTGGTAAAGATAAATTAATACTTGATGATTATGATAAGGATGATGATGTGAGTAGCGACAACGATTCTGATGACGATGATTTAGAACCGAATTGTAAAAAAACTAGTAACACAAAAAAATAAAATGATTGTTTGTTAGTTTTTTAGGCCAATAAAAATAAACTTGTACTTATTTGCGTGTTTTATATTTTATTTTCCAGCGTTTTGTGTTAAGTAAATTTCGTGTCAGCTGTTGGTTTGCCCGCTAAAAGTTAACTTAAATGATAACGGTGTGATTTATACTCGTACAGAAATCCTTAATTAAATGATTATTTCGATTTTATACCCTGTTCAAACTTTAAAGCCAGGAAATGATGCATTGACTTGGCAAATGATCGCAAAACATAAACAGCAAAACGAATTTTTAGGCGTTCCACACTCGAAACACACACAGACACTGGTTCAGCATTGCAAAACCAAACAAATGCACGCACATACACATACGACACGTGCACACATTTATTGGTTTTATTCATGAATATATAGCGTACAGCAACCATACATAAGCATACATACAAATGTATGTATATGCATGCACACATATATGTGTGTGTGTGTGTATATACATGTTTTCGCGAAGTTCGCATGTAATAGAGGAGTAACATACAATGAAGAGCCATCTGCACAATGTTTATATACTTATGTGCATCTTTCATAAAATATACATTCAATGTATGTGATCACGACTGTTTAATATCCTATATCTATACGATGTGTGTGTATCTGCTTATGTGGTATGTTTTATACGTGTTGTATACTATACATTGGTATTACAATGCGCATTATATATCGTAATACACATGTATACGGGCTAAGCACGAAACAGACTTAAAACGTAACGCAACCAGTTTTACATGGAGAACTGAGAGCGGTCTGTGCCGAAAAATTATGGATCAAGCTTTATCAAAACCAGCTGATTTAGAACTCGGTAAATTTTTTTACTAATTTTCGTAATGATCGCGTTTTGATTTTAATATTTTCTCCATATTTGTTTGATCGATTCTGTTCAGTAAGACTGTGAGATTGATTTTTTTTTCTTCAGAACTTTATTTCCTCATTGCCAAGTATCTTAGTCGGGGTCCTTGCCAAAATGCCTTCAAAGTACGTTACCCAGTAATTTGTTTGAAATTTGGTTAAAAATCTTCGAGTTTTTTTACCCTAATATTACCAAATTTTCAGATTCTACTGTCGGAAATGGCCAAAAACAAAGTAAGTGTGACCGAGTTTTGCTCCAGTTTTGCTTATGAGTTATTTTTCTTGCAAAACTTTAATGTTTTTTTGGTTTTAAACATATTTAGCGTTGGATTTTTATAATATTGACCGATTTTTTGCGTCGTAGTAGGCTTGTTGAGATGTTTTAAAACTACCATTGCGATTGTCACTTTTCCAGCTTTTGCCAAAACGAGTTGATTGGAATGGTAATGAACACCTGAGAAATTATAGAGAATTGGTTAGTTATGAAATTTTTACGAAAAAAATTTTTTCTTTAAATTTTTTTTTTAATAGTAGATAATAGATGTAGTTCAAATCGTTTTTAGAATTTAATAATTATTTCAAATAAATTTATTTGAATTAAAAAAATGACTAAAGAAGGGATGGAGAAAGAGGAGGAATAAACTCCTTTTTTGACATTATAATAATTTATTAATGTATACGCAGCTGCTACTTTTCGACGCGTTGTGTACATTCAAATTCAGCCAATAGCGTTGGTTTTCGAGGTTCATGAATATTGATTAGGTCATTGTTTATTGTCGGGTATCATGTTTAAAAGTTAATTCTTTAAATTAAATAAACAGCTGTTCCAGCATTTTTTAGATCAATATCTAGTAAATTTTCCCAAAATTGTTAATTTACTTTGATGTTTTCAAACATTCATATTCAAATTTCCGACATTTAACGACATTTTTAGCTTGCATGATAAAATAAAACCCACTTTTCCACAAACATATTGTCCACTACTAAACTAAAAAAAACCTACCTACCTACAGGAAGCCATAAACAGGCACATAAGGCCGGATCACTTGCTTCAGATATGTCAGACTATTTTGCCGCTAGTCGGCCAACAGTTGAATTCAAATTTAAAAGGTCTCAAATCTTTGCTTGGGGCCGGACAGTTTTCAATATTAAATTCTGAGCAAAGTAACTTAAAACAGGACTTTTTTCTTTGTTTTAATTTTTAATAAAACTTATACACATAACTGATAAAGTGATGACTATATATGTAGGTATATTATTTAGGTCAATAAGCAGACAAACATTTTAATATTAGGTGAATTTAAATATAATATTAGTTTAAATACATAATTCATGCCTAATATTAAAGCAGAAACTTAATTTTTCCTTTAAAAACCATATGTGCTAATAAAAAATGGTATTGTCTAAAAAATTATAAATAAACTATGTTTGATAGGTATTCACATATCATTATCTAAAACAAACCAGAAAATCAAATATATATAAAATAAATAAATTCCAAGAGTCCAAACACACAACATGGAAAAATGTTGCCTACTCCACGATGAGGAATGGTTGTCCACTAAAGCCCCCTCACAATCTTCTGCAAGGCCCACCTCTTCGTAAGTTTATAACTCGTGGTTGATGTCTCATTAGTAAATTCATTGCATGTTTAGTTGTCGTAATTTTGGGGTATCGGTTTAGTTGATGCTTTTTATGACATTAATAATATAAAATGTCTGTACTATACAATGATAATATAAAATATCTGTATTAATACATGTGTGTTTTATATATACATGTGTATATGGATATACTTACGAATTTAAATGTACACAATTTTTATACAAATACCAAATAATTATAAATAAGCCCAAATACTTTTAAAAATAATGCTTCTCTATTGAGTAAAAATTTTTCTTAATTGTAATCCACCTGACAGCTGTGTTATTATCAAGTCGAGAAACTATGGGATGCATTCGGATGGATCTGCTGATGTCTTCACATATGTACAACCAGATGACACTACAATTCAGACTGCTAGGACATTTGTCGTCTGTTTACTGTGTACTTTTCGACAGGACTGGACATTATATATTCACCGTTAGGATTTTAATGATGTTGCGATGTGATGAAGGTGACGTGATGATGATGATAATAATAATAATAATGATGATTATGATGATGATAATAATAATGAGGATTATATAGTTATTGTTGGGATATTTGATGATGATTTATCAAGAAGAGAGTAAATACTTTTATGTTATAATAGTGATTTAGCTACATGTAATGAGGATGATTGTAATGTGATGAAAATGGCGATGGAAAAATGATATTATAGCTAATAGTAAATACCAATACATTAAGGAATATAATAGATTTAGTATGGCCGCTGGTGGTATTATATTTTTATTTTAAAACGTTTTAAAAATAGATAACAATAATCAGTAGAAATAAAATTACACTGAAGACGTACATACCATACTGACCAGGGTTCAGACGACCACCTCGTAAAAGTATGGAGCGCCATTAGTGGCCGACTACTGTGCACGTTCAGGGGCCATGCGGCTGAAATTAACGACATGGTGGTCAGCTACGACAACCAGCTGCTAGCCGTTGGCAGCTGCGACAAGCTGATCAGGATATGGAGCTTGAAGAATTCTGCTCCTGTCGCTATTCTGCATGGACACACGCATGTTGTCACTGCATTGAAGGTTTCTTATAATTATTAAATTTGTTATTATTACTTTAATAATATTAATTATTATTATTTACTTTTATGTTATTAGTTCTCGCCCTACATGAAAGGCTCCAACCAGTACCTAGCTTCAACGGGCGGCGATGGGTGTTTATGCATCTGGGAGTACTGCACCACCAATAACGTCTTCAAGTAGGCCAATAAACTGTAATTTTTGTTAATCGTAAGCTAACTTTGTGAATAAATTAACATGATCAGCCAGCTCTAATAAGTTATGTTAATTAAGTGTTCGGAGTGAATATAACATTTAATACTGCCACTATTGAATATTTTTTTGATTCATCAGCGTTCACGATCACATGTAGATCAACACTTTTTGCATATGATAATCAAGGCTCTCTTTGAAATCAAAGCCAGTCAATGCAGCGCAAAATCAGGCGCCCTTCACCTACTTAGACTACCTATTTAAACCGAATAAATAAAATTTTGATTGGTTTAATTATCACTCTATCAGCTTGAAACCGATTAAGTTTGTGGAAAGGTCAAGAGCCGGTGCGCAAATGTTATGTTTGTCGTTCAGCCCTGGTTAGCAACTGGGATGATGATGATGATGGGAAGGAGGGCGATGTTGATGTTGAAACTGATTCTTATGAAATTAATGATCACGTTACAAGATGAGTATGATGACATTGCAATGATTGATGGTAATATGATGTAAAATCTAAAAAAATCTCCCAACTTTTCCGATTCCTAATTTTTCAGGTGGGGTATTCCTGGCCACAGGAAGCTCTGATCACGTGGTCAGAGTGTACAGCATAAGTGGAAGAGTGCCTGAAAAGATCTGTGAATTAGAATCGCATAATGTTCGTCATTTATTTGTTGTTATTCTTAGATAAAAACATGTACGCTTATAGAAAATGCTAACATGTAGACAGGCACTCAAAAAAAATTCTTGTACAAACATATGCACACAAACTCGTACACACACGCACGCACGTACACACAAACATGTACACACAAACATGTACACACAAACACACACCATGATAACACAGGACCGCATTGACAGTGTACAGTACTCAAACACGGATACGCGGTTCGTGACTGGGAGTAAGGATGGATTCGCTAGGATTTGGAGGTACGAACGACAGGAATGGAAAGCCATTGTTCTCAATATGGCGGCTACTGTTACGAGGTGATGATTTCGATTAGTAGGAATTGGGAGTCGGTGATTAAGGATTTAGTGATTTGTGATTGAAAATGTGAGACTCGTATTTAATAATAAGAGATTCGTGATCAAACTGAATACGTAAGGATTGCCAATGTTTACCAAAGTATTATGGTTTTAATCATGAATGTTATAATATGGACCAGCAGTGTTATCGGCACGTTGCTGATCACATAGAGCCCCAGTACATCCTGCTACAACATTGTTAATATTAATTTTTGTTATCGTTACTTAAGTTGCCAGTCTTTATTATTTCCAACGCTGAACAACGCAGCTACGACAACAGCAATAGCAACAAGGGCGGGAACGACTCATTTGACTCGAACGCTTCATCGTCAGGGTCGTCCCACAAATGCGTTTCTATGGTGACGTGGAGTCTAGACGACGCTTTCGTTGTCACTTCCGTCAGCGACTACTCCATCAAAGTGTGGAATTCATTCACCGGTCATCTGGTGCATACGCTGAAGGTCGGTGTTTTTCGAGGTCGTTGCCGTTGTTGCTTTGCGACCATGTTTGTTCATTTGTGTTGTTTTTTTTTATTTAAATTAGGCCTAACTTATCATGGTTGATATTTTTCGTCACCTGCAACGTCATCTTTGTCATCTTCGCAATTTCATCATCGTCCTCATTTCGTCCCCATCATTTTTGTAGTCCATCCCCTTTGTCATCATCTTCCTCGCCAGGGCCACATAAAGGAAGTATTCGTGTTGGAACCGAATCCAGTGGACAGGCGAGTGATGCTGAGTGCCGGACACGATGGCTACATTCATTTCTGGGACCTCATCACTGGCACCAAGTTGAGGACGTTCGTGAATACCGTGAGTTGTGTCCTTTGTGTGTCTGTGTATGTGTGCGTGTGTGTCTGTATGAGTGTCTGTATGCGTGTCTTCTTGTGTCTGTGTGTCCGAATAGTCTTTTTTTATGCCTACAAATATTGATCATAGCGCTATCATTTCTCATCATCTTTTTTGAATATTTCAAACTCTTTGATGTTTTATCAGATTTGTCAACGTACTAACAAATTTATAAATTATGAAAAATTCTTTTCAGATTGAAGGGCAGGACTACGGGTCGGTGTACGATTGTAAGTGGTCGCCAGACGGCCAGAACATTGTGGCCACAGACTCGCACGGCTATCTGTCATATTACGGATATGGGTCTGGAGATAAATACAAAGTGGTCAGTACCGTTAGGGTATTCACGGCCAAATACAATTGATACAATGTAGTAGTAGGTATCTTCCTAGCCATCTAATAATATATAATACGAAATTTTCGATACTCACTTCAGCTGCCAGAAGAGATGTACTTCCACACAGATTATCGCCCACTGATGCGTGACGCAAACAATTACGTCATCGACGAGCAGACCCAGATGGCCCCCCACCTTCTCCCTCCTCCCTTCCTGGTCGACATTGACGGGAATCCCCACCCGGCCAAGTACCAGAGACTGGTTCCGGGGAGAGAGACGTGCAACGACATGCAGCTCATTCCACTTGTCGTCGTCGCTCCGAACGGCAATCGTGAGGTCATCGATGATATCAATGGAGATTTGAGGGGCGAACCTGTGGCCGATGGTCTTGCGTTGTTAGGTGGAGGAGGAGGAGGAGTTGAAAATCAAGCAGCCAATGAGAATGCAGCCGAACGACCAATTATTGATGAGATGATTGCACGAATGCAGAATCAACAAGATAACCAACGAATAGCAGAAGGGGAAGGATCTTCCGGCTCTGGCAGCAGAGGTTTTCTTTCATTCCATTTATTTTCATTCAATTGCAGTTTGACAACGATGATGATGGTAATATGAATCTGATAATCTTACTCACAGGTGAATCTGGCAGGCAGCCTTCATCATCCTCATCATCGAATCAAACTGCAGCCAGGAGCTCGTTTGCAGCCAATCAGGTTGAAGATGAAAATTCAAACCCCTCTCGCCTCCAATCAAGACAGCCTCCTCCTGCTGCTCAGGACGACGAACCAGCCAACCAGAACTATCAACCAGTCAATATGTGCATCTGGTCGCAGAGAGATCTTGTGAAGCAAATTGACAGCGCCACTCTCAAGTTGGCGATCAATTATTTTTTTAGATTCAATTATTTGACAATATAATTTTGTTCTAATATTATATAAATTATTATGAATAATAATATTATATTATAAATTTTGTTTGTAGGCCGTCAAACATAAAATTATTAGAAGTTTCTAAATGTTGGAAATAATTTCAGAACTTTTTTTGAGAGCAAGCAAGTTCAAGCCGATGAAGAGAAATTAAAGTACGTTGGCGAGAAGAAGAAGAAGTCACTGCAGGCCATCATCGTTCGTTCAACTTTTAGATTTTTTCTTCAAAATTTTCATAAAATTTTTCATAAAATTGTTAATTTAATCATTCTAATTATTAACATTACTACTGCTGCTGTTGTTTGTCTTAATTTTATCTCACTGTTGTAATCATTTGAAAAAGGATCGAAGACCATTTTATGTTTTATCATCTTCTTCATCTTCCTCCAAATCATCTTCATCATCTTCTTCGACATCATCTTCTTCGTCGTCTTCTTCATCATCATCATCTTCTTCATCTACATCGTCGACCCTGCCATCATCACCTCCATCAACCATCATCATTATAGATGTTATATCAATCATCTAAGCTCTACATCGTTATCATCTGCGACTTCTCATCATCCTTGTCGTCATCACCACTGTCTAGATCATCCACACACACACACACACACACACACACACACACACACACACACACACACACACACACAAACACACACACAAACATAGACAAAAACATATACACACAGCAACATTACGAAGATTCGAACGACTCGACGAGTTTCGCCAAGACAAGGACCATGAAACAGAAAAGAGCCAAGATGCTCTCTATGGGTCGAAACGAAGAAAAGGGCCGAAACAGGCTTGAAAAAAGGGCCCTGTATGATACTGACGAAACAGACAGGGTCGGTGTAACAAAATTTTTTGTAATTATTTTTGGCAAAAAAACTATCGTAAAAAAAAAAGTTTTTTTCCTTAAATCTTCACATCACTATTGTCTTCAGTAACCATTCACAAAGTTTCATTAGATGATTTTTAATAAAAAAAAAACGTATTTATTTAATATTCATTTATAGTTTTAAAATTTTTTTACCCGTTTAATCATCGTGATTAGGAAGAATCGGTTTTTGACGATGAGGAAGATGAAATGCCGTTAGACGTGGTCGATGACGACGACGACGATGACGTCAGAGCTGGACCTAGCTACAGCGGCCCAGTTCGTAGCGGCAGAAGTGGTGGTACTAGTGGCACTGGAGGTAGTAGTGGTCGACAGTGGACTTACAAGGAGTTGCCTTCTTTTAGTTCATCGAAGGCGCAGGATTCTGAAAGGTTGTTGTGGTTGTTGTTATTTGCAAGTTTATTATTATTCTTTGGCTGCTGTTATCAGTGCCATTACAGATTTCATTTTCTTTGTCACTTTTATCGTCATTATCATTTTTCATTGTCACGTGCATCTTCATAATCATCTCATATATCATTCCATCATATCATTCCATCATATCATTCCATCATATCATTCCATCACCATGGATAATGTGATTCGACATTGTCAACCTCAATAATTACAAATGTTTGTTGATGGCATGAGTTTTACATTATCCTCGTTTTCATCGTCATCATCATCATCTCACCAGCGAATCAACCGAGTATTCTGATTGGTCGCCTGATGGTCGGACCTTCCAGCCACCCACCACGAGCAGCCAATCAGGAAAGACCACCCGAGTGTCAAATAGAAACGCCGCTGCTAAGAATAAATGGAAAAAGTTTTTTGGAAATTCCGATGAGGAAAACCACAATAACGAAAACAAAACTAAATCTGGCAAATCAGGTAAAGGAAAAGCGAAACGAAAAAATATTTCAATTTCAGACGACGACGACGACGATGAGGATACGGAAGTTGAATCGGAAAAACCCAAAGTAAACGGGGAAATCCAGAATGACGTGACAGTTACTAAAAATAAAACAGCTTCCAAAAACAAATCAACGAAGAGAGCAAGGAAAAAATTTTTATCATTTGATAGTGATGATGGCACGGCTGCAGTAGCTGCTGATGATAATGATGTAGGAAATGATGGTGGTGATGATACTGACGAAGACGATGATAATGATGAGGCTGATAGAGATGTTGATATTAATGTAAACAATGGCGTGAGAAGTTCTGAGAGGCGGAGAGCCAGATTGGCCAGTTCTACTGAACAGGTTGTTCGAAGTCTTCAAAGTTTTGATTGAAATTTCAAATTATATTTTATATTTTTAGTTAGATATTATTAGTTTTTCTAATAGAATGTATCAGGTTTAGTAATTAAAGAAACATCCAACTTCCACTTCCACATGCCAATGAAATGAATCCACTTTGACCAATCACATCAGCCCGTGCTCAACCACCTGACCAATGAGATTATAGAACTGCCACCTGAATTCCGACCACCTGATTGGCTGACTAGCAGTGTGCCCCACAAGTCGCCCTACTTTCCACAAATGGGAGACGAGGTCATCTACTTTCTTCAAGGTCACCAGCAGTACGTCGAGGCTGTTAGATCGACCGGGGTGTATCAGATTGATTCGGTCAAGAATGCTTACCCTTGGGTTAAGTTGCCCTATTTAAGGGTTAGCGTCGTATCTTTTGTCGTTGATTTCTTTCCGATTAATCTGTTAATTATTTTTGCAATTTTCTAATAATGCGTCGTTTCATCTATCCCATCGTCCTCATTGAGTTGGCGGTCATTCGATGAACCACTCACTCCATACACGCTCTTACTCGGGATCATTCTATTGCTTAATAAACGTCTCTTTGATTGAATTGAAGTGAAATGAATAAAAATGAATTAAATTGAAGTGAAGTGAATTGAAATGAATTAAATTGAAAATGGGCTCCACACAACGTGGAATACGCCTACATACACTTTTGGATGTGCATTTCATTTCATACGCAGGAGACTGTAATAATAGTTTTTGAGTTACGCACGCAAAACGTGCAAGCGTGCATTAATAACGTTAGACACGTCACACCCTGTATCATATCTGAGCTAACTTACTGACCAACCAATCATGCAACCAGTTGACAACCAACCAATCATGCAACCAGTTGACAACCAACCAGCCAACCAATCATACAACTAGTTAACAACCAGCCAACCAATCACGCACCTGAAAATTCAACCACCCACACAACCACAGGAGCAGGAGTTGATGAAAGTGATCGGCATAAAATATGAAATTAAACCTCCAAGACTCGTCTGCCTGAAGTTGGCGTTCATCGATCCGGAGACGAGCCGATTGACTGGAGGCTCGTTCACAATCAAGTTAGTTGATTGGTTGGCTGGTTGTTCGGTTGGTTGGTTGGTGATTGGTTGGTTGGTTTGTTGGCTTTTTGGTGATTATTTGGTTTGTTGATTGGCTGATTTATTAATATTTGAAATGGTTGGATGTTTGGTAAATTGATTGATTGATTATTATTTATGATATTGATTGATTGATTGATCGATTGGTATGAAAATTTACAAAAACTCAGTCACCATCATCATCGTTGTCATTATCTGCATTTTTATTTCATTTATTGGATTTACATTCATTGAACGATCGTTGTTAAAGAAAAATTCACAAATAATAATCAATTATCAACCGATTGGCCGATCAACCAATCATTTGAAGAATCAACCAATCAACCAGTTGGCCAACCAACTAATCAATTGGCCAACCTATATCAACCAACCAATCAACCAATTGGCCAACCAATCAACCAACCAATCAGGTATCACGACATGGTTGGTGTGATTGACTTTGTCATCCTCAGACACGTCTACAATGTCGCCATGAGTCGTAATTGGACCGCTGGTATGATTGTAGTAGTCGTAGCAGTACTTACTACTACTACTACCACTAGTAGTAGTAGTAGTTGTTGTTGTTGTGTTGTAGTAATAATAGTAGTAGTAGTAGCTGCTGTTGTAATGTAGTAATAGAAATATGCGAGCTGAAATGAAAGGCACATAAACACACAATTTATAAAAATGCAAACATAAACATATACAATACTACAAACTTACACATACAAACACACACACATACAAACATACACACATGCAAACACACATACAAACATACATACATACGTACAAACATACAACCACAATCTAAGGCAATAGGTTTAGATGTTTGATAGATGAGTCGTGGTGGCACGGGACGATTCAGCAGCATGAACCACTACATGAACATTACCCCGATTCTATGTTCCAATGCTACGTCGTCCAGTCAGTACTTCATTCATTCATTCATTCATTCATTCATTCATTCATTCATTTGCTGTTGGCCTTTTTACAATTTTAAGTCTAACTTTCTGTTAGACTTTGAGAAAGAAAGTAAATTTGAGACTTAATTAATTAATTAATTAATTAATATTAATTAATTAACAAATCAAATTAATCAAAACAGAAATGAAATTTCTGTTTCATTTTAGTCTATTTTTTACAACCTGTGCCTCTTTCTGTTATTTTTCCTGATGTTGTCTCATCGTCATCATCACGCCACATCATCATCATCATCACGCCACATCATCATCATCATCACGCCACATCATCATCATCATCACGCCACATCACCATCATCATCACGCCCCATCATCACAACCGAATGTAGATGGGACAATGGTGAGAAGGAGAGATTGAGTCCCTGGGATCTTGAGCCTGTTGATAATGAGAGTGAGAACTGTTTTGTTTGTCTGTCTATTTGTCTGTCTGTTTGTCTGTCTGTCTGTTTGTCTGTCTGTCTGTCCGTGTAAGTGCCTGAGTGTTTTCTGTTCAACTGTTTGTGTTTATTTGTTCGTGTGTATGTCTTTTCCACTGTTTGCCTTTTTTTTGTCTGCCTGGCTATATCTGTGTATCTTCTTTAATTAACTCTTTGTGTTATTTTGTTTAACTGTTTGTGTTTTTTCTTTTGTTTGTGTCTAACTATCTATGTCTGTATGTATGTATGTCTGCTTGTGTGTTTGATCGAGAAAGAGTTGTATTTGTTGTTGGTGCATGGCGACAGCAGCATCAACCAACCAACCACAACATCAAAACTACGAATCACAATCATAAGACAACATCAAAACGCCACTACCACCACCACAAGAGCTTCAAAACAACAACACGCCACTACCACCATCACCACTAAAACAACCGCAGGACTACCGCAGTCGCCCTCTGGAAACGTTCCAGTAACGTTCGCCGAACTTTCCCTAATGAGGTACAACTACAAACCGCAAGACTGGCCGTCTCAGGGATGTGACGTGGAGTGCGAGCGGATCATTCGTGGCCTGGAACGAATTATGGAGCTTTCAATAGCCGAGCCATTCCTCGTTCCGGTCGATCTCAATGCTTTTCCGTCATATGCAGTGGTGGGTTTTTGAGGGTGGTGATGGTGTAATGATGAGGAAGATGAGGATGGCATTAACCGCTCAATAATTCATTTAATAGTAGTTGAAAAGTAATTAAGTAGTAGAAAAGTAAAGTAATTACAATGAGACTTATGATTCGAATCACATCTTAAAGAACTGTCAAGAATTTCGCACATCCAGTTTCTACTAAACCTAATCTCTAATTTTTTAGGCTCTGGAACACTTGGACACGCACGCATAACAGTCACACACATACACACACACAACAGTCACACGCACACACACAACAGTCACACGCACACACGCACACACACTCACTCCAGGTTATTGAGTACCCGATAGACCTCTCCCTAATAAAGGAGCGTCTGATGAACAGATTCTACAGACGACTTGCATCCGTCCAGTATGACGCGCGTCACATCGAGATGAATGCCAGGTCATTCAACGAACCCAACAGTCAGATCGTCAAGAGTGCAAAGGTCATCACGGAGTTGTGCCTCGCCATGATCAGGTGCATTGTTGTACATTTTTTAAAGAGGAGGAGGAGGTTGACCCGTTCAGTTAATTTCTCGAAAAAGCTTGCAATTGAACGTTTTGCTTGAATGTGTAATTTGGACTTCTTTTTTGGTTTCGATGCGGCGATAGGTTGAGACATTTTTTCTATAGTTTGATTTTGTTTAAATATTCAAGACTGGTTTCTATAATCTTTCGTTTGTAAACCATGAAACAACTTGAAAACATCTTTCATTAAATAAGTTCCTCGCCTGCATTTCTCTACTTCATGACAGTGATCCCATGTGCTACGACCCCATGCCCCTATACAATCAGCTGACCCAAAGGTCAAGGGTCAAATTGGGTGGTGGGTTTAGTGCAAGTAGTAATCATTATCAGGATCACATGTCCATCGCTGGTGCTGATGATGATGACGAGGATGCTACTAAGGCTATAGAAGCCAGACGGAAGGTGAGTTGGGGTTGGTTGGTTGGTTGATTGGTTGGTTGATTAAGGTTGATTAGGAAGAGGGTGATGGTGACAGTTTAGAAAGATGATTATAGTACAATTCGTAATAAAATTAAAATCTCTTAGTTATTTCACAGACAAGCATCGACAACACGTCTTTCATTTTTTCAAAAATAATTTCCAAAGGCTCGAAACAACAAGATATCTGAGCGCCTGCGCAAAAACAGTCGCAACAGCAGCAGCTGCAACGACAACAACGGCAAGAAATGCTGGATCGTTGAATGTGAGAAGCTGTTGGATGTCATCTGTAAGTCACCTGACTCTGCTCCATTTCATCATCCTGTCGACATAAACGAATTTCCGGTTTGTTTGCTTGTTTGTTTGTTTGCTTGTATGTTTGTTTGTTTGTTTGTTTGTTTGCTTGTTTGTTTGATTGTTTGTTTGTTTTTTCCTTGCAATTGGCTTGATGACGTAGATTGGTGTTTGGTTGCTGTTGTTTACAAGGGCCAAGAAACTGGATTATAAACGAGGATTGACTGACTAACTGACTGATCGATCGATCGATCGATCGATTGATTGATTGATTGATTGATTGATTGATTGATTGATTGATTGTCGTCATCATCCTTATCATCGTCATCTTCACTGATCGTTATTGCTCTAATCATCATCCTAACTATCATCATCATCCTAATTATCATCATCATCCTAACTATCATCATCATCCTAACTATCATCATCATCATCCTAACTATCATCATCATCATCCTAACTATCATCATCATCACCATCGTGACCCATCATCATCGTCATCAGGATTACCTCCATGTCGTGACCCAACCTATTGACCTCACGGTCATTCGGCAAAATCTTCAAACGAGTTTCTACGACGACCACAACGCATTCGTCAGAGACGTCAGACTCATGTTCACCAACTCCAGACTCTATAATACTAACAAGAGATCTAGGGTTGGTTGATTGGTTGATTGATTGATTGATTGGTCGGTTGATTTAGTGGTTGATTGATTTGGTAGTTGATTTAGTGGTTGATTGGTTGGTTGGTTGGTTGATTGATTGATTGATTGGTTGATTGATTAGTTGATTGGTTGATTGATTAGTTGATTGATTGATTGGTTGATTGATTTGGTTAGTTGGTTGGTTGATTGGTCGGTTGATTTATTGGATGGTTGATTGACCAAATGATTAGACGAATAAACGAAGGACTGAACAAGCGAATGACTAACTGATTGATTGATTGATTGATTGATTGATTGATTGATTGATTGATTGATTGATTGATTGATTGATTGATAATTGATTGAATGGCCGATAGATAGATAGATTGATTGATCGATACATTCGTTAGTTGTATGACGACGGATTGGCTAGTTGTTTCAACAAATTATACACGTGTGCGAACTTGTGAACTCTCCATATTTATGTAACACGTAATTGGTTTAAAAATCCAAAAATCCACATTTAACTTTACGTGGCACCACGTGATATTATCATCATTACCATCACCATCGTCACCACTATCATCACCATTATCATCGTTATCATCATTATTATCAATACTGACCTCCTCTTATATTGTTATATTACAAATAGAATCATCTCATATTATCATCACTTGTCATCACGTGACATTATATGACATCACGTGACTTTATGTGGCATCACGTGTGACGTCATTCGACCTTGACCTTGACAGATCTACGTGATGACCATGAGACTGTCCTCGATGTTCGAGGAACAGCTGAAGATGACCCTGAAGAGGATGAGAGAGAAGATGAAAAAGGAGGGAGGGGGATCCAAGATGGCCGCTCATCTCAAATCGTTCAGCATGTACGTTTGTTGTTGTTGTTGGTGGTGGTTGTGGTGTGGTTAGGTTGTTGTTGATTGTCTTTAGTTGATGTTGTTGGTTCTTATCTGTAGTGATTATTTGTTTGTACAGTCTCCTTCCTACTGTTAAAAAAACAAACAGATCGAAACGGAACATGGTTTCTACGTCGACAACAACGACATCAACATCACGTGATCAACAGCTCAACAACAACATTCCTCTTAGTGATACTTACAATAACAACAACAAAAACACTAGCGGTGATAACATTAATGTTATATTAATGTTATATTATTAGATAATGAGTTTGTGTGTGCGTGCGTGCGTGTGTGTGGTGTGCGTGTGTGTGGTGTGTTTGTGTGTATTGCCGCTTAAGTTGCTCGATTAATTTGTCGTAGAAGTCGAAACAAAAATATTTTGTAATCCACACACAGGTAAAAGGCGGCGCATCGATTCAGATGACGACTCACACTCCAGATTAAACGGATGTGACGTCATTGTCCGGCCGTCAAAGAGAACCAATAGCGTTCAAGATCAGCCCGGGAAAGCCCCGAAGGATAAAAATAAGAAGAAAGAAAAAAGCAGTAATAATAAGAACATCGATGAAGATGATCATCGCTATGATGATTATGACGACGATGATGACGACGATGACGAATTTGCGGATAATGATAAACTTGATGATGACGACGACGATGATGACGACGACGACGATGAGGATTATGATTACAAGTACAAAAAGAAAACGCAACCTCGCAAAGGTAAAAAGCGAAAGCGAGGAGATGATTACGACGAGGATAATGATGATGAGGATAATGATGACGACGACGAGAATGATGATGATGATGATGACGGCGATGATGATGATGATGATGGCGATGATGAGGATTTTAGTCTTTCTCGCTATCGCAAATCCCGCCGGAAAAAGCATAAGAAGACGAAGAAGCACAGAAAGTATAAGAAGAGAAAGAAAGATGACGACGGTGATGGTGATGATGTTGATGTTGGTTGCTATGGCAAGATGAAAGCGAGGAAAGTAAAAGCCGGCAAAATAAAAAGTTGGTGATTGTAGTGGCTTACTGTTTATATATAAAAATGCCCAACTCGTAAAGTAATTTGCACTATTTTATATAGTTGCCATCTTCATTTCATCAGTTTTTATAAAATTTGCTTCATCCACTCACACTCATCTACTTAGAGATAGATCGTAAGAAGTCTGATTATTCGCTCACTCATTAAGCATTCGTTCTTAGTTCATTACTCACGCACACACAAACAAGCACACAGACACACACACGCACACAGACACACGCACACAGACACACACGCGCAAACAGCGTACATGTCTACTTCAATCGAACCATCACGCCACACACTTTAGGCGTATTATATAAGATGAGAGGGGTTCTCTTTGAATTCAAACTGGGTTGCCGCAACACAGCAGCAACTTCTACGACGTCTCGCCGCGTCAACCAACAAATTTGACCTTTCACTGCGTTCAATCGATCGTTCAATTATTTATATTTCGCTAAACTGAGCTTCATTGTCAATCACTTCATTCATTCATTTATTCATTCATTCATTCATTCAGAAAAGCAACAGCAACGACAACAGCCATCAAACAACATCAGCATAGCAGCAACAACATCTCAGCAACATCGTCAGCAACAGCAGCAGCAGCACGAAAGATACAGCACGAGAGTATCAACTGGAAGCATACTACGGCGAAGATACGACAGGGAATTAGATGATGACGTCACATCAGACGCTACCACAGCCACTACTACTACCGTCAGTGTCGCTGCGGCTGCTGCTAGTAGTGGTAGAAGTAGTAACAATAGTAACTTCAAGAAAAGTGGTAGTAGTGACAGGACGAAACATTCCAGCACAACGCATAAACAACAACAGCAGCAATCAACTTCCGCCAAACCTTATCTACGCAACAACAACAACATTAATAATAATTTATATAATAATAGAAATAATAATAATTATAATAGTACCAGTTATCATAATAATAATAATAACAATAATTACGACGACGATACCAACCACTCGACGGCCTCCACGACGACACACAGCCACATGAACGCAACAGTAGCAGCCACCACAGGCAAATACAAACGATTAAATATTATCTTGAAACGAAACGGGACAAGTGATTACAACGCGGGAACATTGAGCTCAAAACAACATCTTACAACAACACACTCTCAGCAACAACAATCATCATCGTCGTCAGCATCATCATCTCACGCCCATTCACCTTCATCAACTGATAACGACGATGACGATGATGTTGATTACGTCACTCGAGTTAAAAACGTCCCCAAGAGCGACAGGTACAACGACGACGACGATGAAGAGGATGAAGATGAAGGTGACGAGGATGAAGAAGATGATGAGGAAGATGATGGCGACGGCGGATCTTCAGGAACGGAAACCTACTCGAACAGATCAGGACCTTCGATGAAAAGATCCGGACAAACATTCCGAGCAGTCAGGAAGACGAGACGTGTCGCCAAAAAATCATTCCCAAAAGTCCTGGCTAAAAATAATAGCAACTCGAAATGGAAAAAGACGGACAGCGAATCAGCGGCTGGCACGTACAGAACACGAAACCAGGGTAGACGAACAGTTGTCTACGCCGAAGAGGAAGATGAGGAAGAGGATGCTGCAGAGAAGAGCATCCTTGTGGCCGTCAGTAGTCGGGGCAGACCTCACAAGCCTAATGTGCGACTGATCGACTGATAATTTTATTTCATCCAATCATCTTTGATTGGTTGACTGATCTTGAATGGATGGCTGATCTAATCAGTGATTGGTCGACTGATCTAATTATTTGCTGTATGAATTTTTCTCTCATATTAAGTTTATATTGCTCGCTCATTTAACTGGCGGGTATTTATTAAATCAAACGACGACTCAGTGTTTTGTCTTCACTGCCTTGGTTTACAGTTACTTTTGAGTTGATTGATTGATCGATCGATTGAATGATCAATTGATTGGAAAATTATATTATTATATTATTAATTATAATTATATTTAAGTTATTTTACTGAACAAAAATATTATACCGGCCGGATTGGTTCCACGCGGAAATCACAGATAATCACCATTTTAATAAAAACTTCTTTCAGTTAGTTTTTAAATTTTTAAAAACACGTTTCCTTCCGGTTACGTCAAATATAAATAAAAACATTACAACAGACATGCATAAACAATATACGGATATATATACATTGTCGGGTTTCTGTGTGTGTGTGTATATATATATATATATATATATATATATATATATATATATATATATATATATATGCAAGCACACACACAGTACCACTAACAGATACATACAAACAAGCAAATACATAGTATATACTATACTAATCATACAAATACTAATCACACTTCACGGCGTAATTAAACAACGGTCTGTTTAAATTTAATTTCTCGATAGGAAGAACATAATAGCGAGTCACGACAATCTTGAGGTACTTACACTTACAGGCGCGTTTTAAAAAAAATTATATGTATGCATATTTTTATATATTATATATATATATTAGTGTTTATATATATATATATATATATATATATATATATGTATATATATATTATTGATGAAAATCACAGCATGTTTGGGCGTTATGACCATGCTGTGATTGCATCAGTAATTGCATTTCTGACAGTCTTAATCCAATATATATATGTATATATATATATCCAATATATATATATATATATATAATGGGTGGAATGTACATGCATAAGCTGAGATGATAGGATATTAATTGATTAAAACCATTGAAAAAATTATGCTTCTAATTAGTGTACGAATCATAGATATTTAAAACCGAACACACGTACGCAAACAAACAAGCACATATATAGACACATATATTGTAATGGCCTCACCAGGTTACATAAGTTACATGCACATTTAACATTACGCTTAATATACAAAAAATTAAGAATACATCATGTATACATGTATAGAGTCATACACGCACACACGCATATATATATATGTGTGTGTGTGCGTGTATATGTGTGTGTGTGTTATAATATGAGATCGTCAAAGTCGCAAAGAACTGGAAAATTATTCAGGAGCGCTGCCGACGATGACGTGGAAGTAGATGGTGCTAAATATTTTATGACGATCGATTTTCCAGGTTTATTTTTTGTGACGTCATTACTCCCGCAAGCATTTTTATTGTAATCATTATTCTTATTTTTATTATTAGTATTATTATTGTTGTTGTTGTTGTAACTGTACTTTGGTAGTGGGGCAACGAACTTGTCGTGACCACCGAGGCCGTTGTAACCTTTTCTCATCACCATGGACGATGATGACGTTGATGAAGATGACGACGATATTTGCCTGTTGTTTACCGTGCCGGCTGAAGATGACGCCATTATCTTTTTGCCGCCCCATTGCAAGCTGCGCGTGTTGAAGATTTGTATACTCATTAAAATGTCCGAGTTGTGCTCTCTCAGCTTGGCACTCTTGTTGTTGCTGATGTTGTTTTTACTATTTTTTTTGTTCAAAGTTATTTTTATGTTATTGTTATTATTTCCGTTAACTTTGTTGTTGTTGTTGTTGTTCTGTCTTCTGTTATCGTCACCGTCATCGTCACCCTTATAAGCATCATCATCAGGACAAACGACGACGCTGACGTCATTCTCACTCACCCGCAAATAATTCCTACAATCGCTTAAATTATCATCACTCTCACTATCATTCCTTTTATTATTGTTACTGTTATTATTATTATTATTACTATTATTAACATATCCATTATTATTATTATCTTCATCATATTTCCTTTTCTTACTGAGGCCGGGGCTCTTCAGGAGGTCATCGCAGGTGAGGTTGAGGTTGCATGGGCTCTCGTACAGCAGGCGGTGCACTAAACTGGATGTGGTCGGTCGTGGAGAACTGATGGCCGCCTAGCAATGTTTTATTGACAGGTGGTGGGTGATGTGATGACGATGTGATTGACATGTGGTGATGTGATTGACACTCGGTGATGTTGTGATGATGTAGAGATGATGATGTGCGTGGCAATGTTTAACGTTAATAATATAATATAGTCCTATTTTTACAATCATGGTTTACTTAAAATTTATGCACTAAATCGTATATATGTAAATATTTTCAGAGTGATCGAGTTAAAAATATTCTTTATAGTAAATTTAATTGATTAGTTTTAGGATTTGCAAAAAAATTGATAATTTTTCAGGGCTCTTCAGAAATTTGATAACATTTCCTCAGTAACTAACCTGTAAGGCAGTTAATTTTTTCTTGAGACTTTTAATTTCTTCATCCTGCTGAACAATAGTCTCTTCATTCATCACATTCTCCCCCTCCATCGTTTGGATCATCTTTGTCTTATTTTCAAGATGTTTCTTGACATCGTCCAGTTCTTTTCGCAATTTTTTTATTGTGTCTAAACTCAATCGGAGGTCCATTTTCTTGCGCTCGAGTTCCTTTTTAAACAAACAACACCAGGTTCCCAGCTGATTACGATCTACGCATTCATTCACCATTTCTTTCACTTCATCCTCGACCCCTAAATTTTTAATATTTAAAAATTAGTATACATCATTTTTTATATATAAACTATGTGCTATTAATTTTACACACAAACTATGAAACACACTAAGCATTTGTATGTGTCAATTAATTATAAATTCAAGAAAAATGAATTTAATTTAAATGGGAATTTTTAGAAATTTATAGGGAAATTGAAAACTTCTATCTAACCATTGACAGCATATTGAACATTTTTATAGACTTCGAGTTGCTCTTTCAAGGCATTCACCATCTGGTTGCTCGACTCCAGCTCTTTTGTTAGTGCCTCATGGTACTTTAGCTGCTCGGTCAGACACCCATTCTTAGATTTCTCCTCAGACAGATTGTCAACAACTTTTCTTGAGGTTAATAAAAAATTTATGTACTACCTTTTTACATTTACACTACTAAACCAAATTTATTAAAATACAATACAATAATATTACATTATAAAATTTTATAAATATATGTAATAATTAATTAATTAATAAGTGTCATACATACTTGTGTTTTTCAACCAGCGACTGCAATTTAGTCTCGAGCTCGTGCTTCTCGCAGACTATCTCAAGATAGTCCATCTCTTTATTCTGCAACTCTCGCTTCAAATTCACGACAACTGCATTCAATTCATCAGCATTACATCGCGGAACTACTTGACTGCTGTCGAGGGCATCTGCCTGCGAGAAGAATAATTTAAAGGCAGAAAATTTTTTAGTAACTTTGTTTCTGCACTGGGGACAGGTCAAGCTGCTACCGAACCACCTCGTCAGGCATTGTTCGTGGAATACGTGACCGCACGGAACCGCCGAAACATTCTGTCCGTAGCTAATCACTTCAGTGCAAATTATGCAATGTATCAACATCTTTTGATTTATTACTTTTAACGAACGAACAATAAATTACATATTTTTTTTATAAAGTTAATTAAAAAAATTAATTAAATTGCAAGATTTGAATTCGGTGGCGCCTAAAAGTAAACTTTAACTAAATTAGGATGCGCGGATAATTACTAAATATTATCGATAGGCAGCGGATGAGCGGAACTTTCAAATGGGAATACTTTAAGTATATGGGTTTTATAAACTCAAGATACTCACATATATTACATACATAGTGTATATAGAATATATATGTATATATAATGGTATTCGTCATATATATATATATATATGTATGTATGGAAAACTATCTATTTATTAAATATTAAAAGTTGTCGAGTTTGAAATAATTGATTGTTTGATTACTTAAATCTAAAACTTTAAAATTTTCGTTTAAAAAAAAGACCCAGTGTCGTAGCCAGAAATTTTTGTAAGAGGTGCTGACATGTTTTTCAAAAAAGTTAAAAACTATGGATATAAATTCATATATATATATTATTATCATATGATATATATATACATATATAAATATATATTATATATCCATGTTGCAAACCTATTCGGCTAGATCCACATTATTTTCATACTTACCATATCGAAGTCTGTATTTTTATTCAAATTTGGCAAAATATAGCTGCTTTTAAGGGGCTCCAAAAATTTTAAACCAAAATTTATAAAATTTTCAAAAAGATTTTGTTAAATTTAACTTTAATCCTAGCAAAATTCTACTAGTTTTGATTCAATAAAATATATTAACCAACATCAAGATCGTTTGATGAACAAACGTGTAAAATTGAAAGTAATGTTTTTAGAAAATTGACAACATACGAATTGTAAAATGTTCTCTGAGCTCATTTCACGACAATTGCACCTATTACACGTTATAAACTAGCAAAAACAGTTGAGTTAGTAGCTGTATCTCATTATATTTTGTTAATTAGTGTTAAGGTTTTGACGACTGCGAAGCCACTTATGATAAAACGCAATGGCGATTGCGACGAGTGCAGTAACGACCAGCGATGTCGACGGCGACGATGAGATGATGTTGATATAATCATAATAATAATGATTATGCTCCTCTTCTTCTTCTTGATTATGAAGATAATGATAGTGACGACGATAAATAATGGCTAAGAATGCGACGATGATGACGATAACGATGACGATGATGACGATAACGACGACGATAATGATGAAGAGTAGGGAGATGAAAAAAGTTGATGGTCTCTTGTTGGCATTTTCTGATTTCGTCGTTATTGATGTGGTAATTTTAGTAAGAGTTGTTACTTTCTTACGTTTCTTGATTCTTTTTATTGTCTTTATCTTATTGTAGTTTATGTAGTTGAAATCCATGGCCGTCCCGGTAATGATTCAGTTAGATTATATTGGTTAATGTCGTAGTTTTTTTGTAGTTGAAGTTATGGCTATTGTTGACTTGTTATTGGTACAATTGCTCTTACTTTTTGTTTAATGTTTTTGATGTTGTTCAAGTTGCTTCTATAATCTATATATCTATTACTTTCCTTTGGCTAATAATACCATCAAATAAAACAAATTAACACCGTTTTGATAGCTAAATTATACTCTTGTAAGGAGTTAAAACTCTATTATTCATAATTATCAAAAATAAAATTTTAAAAATCCTATATTATTAACAAAATGAAACGAATATTTACAATTAATGACATAGCATAGCATTTTATGACATAACCGTGGACATAACCGTTGGAGTTCGACAACATTATAGTACAAATTTTAATTACCTGTTTTAAAAAACAATTTTTCGTATAAATACATAATTTTTTCATTTATTATTATTTTTACGTTTATAATTTTTTCAATTTCAATATATTCTTTAATTATTGATTAAAAAACGTAGATTTATATTTTACAAAGTATTGTTGAGTTTGCTTGCACATTGTCTATGCTACACAATGCTTCGCTGTTTACTTTTTTTATCGTCCGTGTAAATTCTGATAGTATGGTTTGTTCCAGGATTTTTTTTATAGTATTTTCAATTTTTTATTTAAATTTTATTAAAAAATTTCATCAAACTATTCTAACACATTTACGATAATTAGGGTAAAGTAAGAAAAACTAAGAAATTCGCTGTGAAAAAAAGGATCATTAGTCTGAAAGATGGCAGAATGTAAAAAATTTTTTCTCCAACTATTATATGATTATTTATAATTTTTAATCTGTCTTATTCACTTTAAGTTTTAAAATAGCAATTTTAAATAATTTCATCATCAATATTTTTAAAAATAAAATGGCAAAACACTTCATATTTATTTATTTTATTTAATTATTAATTTACTTAAAGTTAAAAGTAATAAAAATATAATATATGTTTTATAGGATTTTATTTTATATATTTATTTTATAATTCTAATACATGTTTTTTTGAATTATTATGAGTAAATGAAAATAAATTGTGCAACTGAAGGGTTGTGATCACTATTTAATTTAAAATTTAAACAGTAAAAAACAAGAAAGAGAGATTAAAAGAAAGAAGCCAGATCCCCAGAACATGGTCGTCCGAGAGATGTAACAATAATTTTTTTAAATTTAATTTTATTAATTTATAATTATTTTTAAAAATCAATCAAATCAATCAATACAATTAAAATTGTAATTATTATTTTAAATTGTTGAAATATTTAATTAACCGTTTAATGAAATCAGCCCGCAAGCATCATCAGCACTATTCTTCAAGTACAACGAGCAACTCGGACCGCCCTACCACATCCTAATCGATACTAACTTTGTCAACTTCGCCATTTCCAATAAACTGGACATCATTCAATCTATGATGGATTGTTTATATGCCAAATGTTTGATATTTTGTATTAATATATATTAAATCATAAATATCAATAAGCTAATGTTTATTCATTACTCTGACACCATTTTTAATTGGCGCACCAAATTTAAAGAGATAATAATGAGTAAGAGATTGAGGGGTGAGATAGTTTAATGGTTGAGGTGGTTGGTTCTGCTGTTGAAGTGACTGGCTTTGAATGCAAAGCGATCCCCTGTTCATCTTACATGCAGTATGTCGATTCACATGTATTCCTACGTGCTGTTTGTTTAATGCTGATATATTTGAAAATGAATTGCTAAAAATAACAATTTTTCTATATAATTATTGCAACAATTGTGAAATTCATAATTTATAGAATAAAAATTTTAAATATTTTAATTTATAGAGAGAATTTATTAATTTTGTGTAATTAATTATAGAATGTTCCATTTTGTGAAATAATAATAATATAATTGAACATATAATGAGTAATAATAATTAATGATAATGATTGTTATTTATTTATTTATGATGCCAGGCATTCCATACGTTACCGATTGTGTGATGGGAGAACTCGAGAAGTTAGGCAGGAAGTACAGAGTTGCATTAAGGTAGGTAGGGACATGCCCGTCTTCATGATTTTAATCAGTTTTATTTTACATATCTATTAAAAGTGAATTTATTTCAAAAATATTTTCACCATTTATTGAGTGTAATTTTTCTTTATTTAATTAGTTTTTTTTTAATTAAGAATCGTTAAGGACCCCAGATTCCAGAGATTAAAATGTTTTCACAAAGGCACATATGCCGATAACTGCCTAGTCAACAGAGTTACTCAGGTGGTGATGATGATGATGAAGATATATTATTGGTGGTGATGATGATGAGAATGATGATGATGAAGAAGAAGATAATGATAATAATGATGATGATATTGTGTTGTTGGTTATGTTGTTGTTGACATGATATAGTTATAGTTATGATATCATAATGATATTGATAGTATAAATAACAGAAGCATATATGAGTACACATACAGATACATGCATACACACACACATACATACATACATACACACATACATACAGTTGAAGTGTTACATTGTGGCAACATGTGACAAAGAACTACGTCGAAGAATACGAAAAATACCCGGAGTACCCATTATGTACATCACACAACACAAGTTTGTATATCATATGATATCATACGCCATATTTAATGATACCAATCGTATAATACCACATCATACACTGATACCATATAATACTATACTATCATACCACGCAATACAAACTAACCATACCATATGATTTATTATTATTGTTATTATCATTTTTAGATTTTCAATTGAACGAATGCCAGATGACTACGGAGCACCCAGAAATGGATGACAAGCAACATCAATAATAATAATAATAATAATAATAGTAATTAAAAATAATAATTAAAAATAATAATAATTGTGTTATAATAGTGAGGAAATTGTTTTTACTGACAGACGATAAAAATGTTTTTATATAAAAACTTGTGAAATAACCAGCACCCACCCCACCACCTACGTAATGCCTTGGGCTCCAACTTAGTAATAATAATATAAAACTTAAACCCTAAATCTATTACGAGTATGTTACAACGTAGCCTTAACTTACCTATTCATTACATTACGGCCTTAGCTTACCTATTCATTACATTACGGCCTTAGCTTACCTAAAATTACAAAACCCAAGAGCTCAACTCATTGGCCTTTCGGCACCCACCCCACCAACTACGAATGCCTTGGGCTCCAACATAATAATAATAATAATGTAAAACTTAATGAATAACCTACCTATCGATACACTTACAACGTGTTAATTTACATTACAAGATTGTTCCTAGAATTATATTATCACCCTTAACTACCTATAAAATTAAATTACTCTCAACCTTAGTAATAATAAATTAGATTGTGTGTTTATGTGTGTGTGTGTGTGTGTGTGTGTGTGTGTGTGTGTGTGTGTGTGTGTGTGTGTGTGTGTGTGTGTGTGTGTGTGTGTGTGTGTGTGTAATATGCTGATGCGTGTAATGTAGGTGCAAGAAAAAAGAAAAAAATAGAAGCGATAAACTTACGCGCCTACCTACCTATTCAACTACATTAGTGTTGGATGCTTCCTATCAATCCTACCTACAATTAAAAATATGCCTATCTAACCTACCTATATAGCTACTTAATGTAATTGTGTGGGTGTATGTGAGCATTCCTACTTAATGTTAAATAACAGAAAAAAAGAATTAGACGTATCCCAGCCAGGTGTGTATTCTTTGCCACTGAATGAAAGAACGTAGCCTGACATCTTCCATGATGAACTCTTCTGGAAACTTCAACCTGAATGAAATGAATAAAATGAACAAATCTTATTTATTTAAATGAAAATAGAGAAACGAGCCGCGGTGAAACCTGCCAGCCAAAAAAGCCAGCCAACTGGCAAAGAAGGGAACCGCAAAAAACCGTAGAACGTACCCCAGCCAGGCGTGCACTCTTTACCACTGATAAAGTGGTGACATCACTACCATTCTGATCTTCTACGATGAACTCCTCTGGAAGCTTCAACCTGGATGAATGAACCTGAAAACCCTAAATATATATAACTCTATAAGCGCGGAAACTTATATAATCATGCAAACTACTACATTCAGTCAATAAAAATCCCACTAAAACCAGGAACCACCGCGTACCTGCTGAATGTATGGTGTGAAAGAAAACAAAAAAAAAACACAAAACGAAAAACACCCCCCAAGTGGAGTAAAAGAATAGAAGTACCTAACCTACCTATGTAATTCAATTACCTTACGCCCTAGCCTACCTATATAATAAATTAATCTCACCTACCTATGTTTCATTAATTTAACTTAAGACTCATGAAGAAAGAGAAAAAGGAATAAAACAGAACATAAAAAACTACCACACAAACAAACATGATGTATGTATGTATGTATATATGAGCAACCGCTAAAGAATCCACCTAAAATAAAAAAATACAACATACAAACCACAGAAAAACATGCAAACTATATAGCCTTGCAACTCTATATAAATCTATATAACTCTATATAATAAAACAAATAAAAAATTAAAAAACGAAATAAGTGAGATCAGTCAGACTGCTTCAAGCCTCAAGCGAGGCAGGATGCCTGATTTAATTTTCATGCTGTCTCAGCTCCTATTTATACTCGTTTCAACCATACATTTTCATCATTTCAATCTTTCAATAAAAAGCTTATTTAATGTGTGTAGTTCACTATTATACAGTCTTAACCACAATGCTAACCGTACTAAATTGACGTCATCGAACGAACGCCTTCAAACTTTCTGGTTGGCTGGTTGAATCTGCTATATTGCTTTTTATATAAACATATAATCTTATTAATTATTTGTATGCATGGATTCTAGTTACTTTATATATATATATATATATATATATATATGATATATATAATATTAATATATATCGGGGAGAATTCAAAATAGTTTGAGACCACACCTTGTTAACATCCAATTCCAAGCCGAGCCAAGCCAGGCTGAGCCAATATGCGTAGATTAAAATTTTGTTGGCTTTTTATATATATTATATAAATTCATTATAAAAGCAACAATAATCAGTGCTACATATGTACGCACGCAGTTCAAATTTTTCTGGGAGAATTCAAAATAGTTTGAGATCACACCTTGCTTAATATCCAATAGCCAAGCTGAGCCAATATGCGTAGATTTATAAGCGCTTTTATATTAAAATTTTGCTCACTTTGTATACGAATATCCCCATTATCGATTACAAAGAAATAACGCGAGCGAGTTTAAAATATATTTTATTCAAAATTTAATTAAGATGGAACATATACACAAGTTTTATTTGCCAAGTAATTCCATCCAATCATTTAAACACGCACATCCTTCTTCGATTGAACTATCTCGTAATCTATTTCTTTTTATGCTTATCAGTTTTCCAGATTTTGAAAAAGTTTGTTCTCTTGGTGCGGAAGTTGAGGGGATACATTTCACTAAGTATAGAATACCGCTAACATGACGTCATTTCCTCCAACGATTCCGTAACAAATTCTCCATACTATTTTAAAAATTTTCTTTGATGCTTTTTAATCGGTCAGTCCACAATCATCATCGATATCGCGATGAAATCAAATTGAATTTTTTTTAAATTGTTGATAAGAGTAACTAGTATATAGTAAAAAAATTAAATTTTTCTGAGAGAATTTAAAATAATTTCAGACTACACCATAACACAATTGTACAATTTGAATTTTTAAATATAACATTATAAATGTATTATAACTGCATACATCTATCTATTTCTTTATTTAGTTTCGCCTGCGTATGATATGTGGTCAAATTTATTTGATAGGAATTGAATATAACTTTTATACCGGCTAATTAACTAACAGGCAGTCAAATAACTACTGTTAACATGACGTCATTTGCCCATCCTATTTTATAAGTTTTCTTTGATGTTTTTTAATTAGTCCGTCACAATCATCATCGTCGATATCGCAATGAAATCGAATTGAGAATTTTTAAAATTTTTGAAATAAATATCTTTATTCATTTTATGATACTACTTTGTTCAATAAGATATTGTTTGATACTGTACTATCAATTAACCAATCGATCAACAAATAAATCAATTAATCAACCGCTGAATCAAATTAACTGACCAAACAATCAATCATTCATTTAACTAACCAATCAAACAATCAACTAATCAACCAATAAACCTTGAATTATGTAATTTGAAATTATTTTTGTCAATTTTAATGAAAATATTGCAATTTCGTAAGTAAGCTAACCTGTGGCCTTGTTGAGCGGTAGGTTAGTCACCGTGTTTTCGAAACAGAGCGCAATATTTTCATTTAAATTGACAAAATAATTTAAAAATACATAATTCGATTTAAGTACAATGTTTTAAACATATTGATTCAAATTTATAATTTAGTATTAGTTGTTTGTTGAAACCCATGCAATTTCGTAAGTAAGCCCTTCAGTAAGCCACTCTGTTATATTTTATAGTCAAGTAAATCTTTTTTATTAATTGTTTCTTAAAACCCATGCAATTTCGCGTAAGTTTAGCCAACTAACTTTATTTATTCAAATCTGCTGAAGTAATTAGTAGAAGCTGCTCGCTTGGCTTTATCAACGTGGATCCCAGAGAGGCTCAGCAATGGCCATTAAATAAATAAATACACACACACACAAACACACACACACACACACACACACACACATATATATATATATATATAAACGTAAAAACAAAATTTTCTAATAGATATTAAATCTTCAAAAACATGGAGACACAGTATATATAGATATGCATGAGCATTTGGTCACATACACAGCGTATCAATTCAAACACCGAAGATGGTGTAGGAATACCGAAAAAAGCCTTCCTGTTCTATCATGCTTAAAAGAAATAAAAATTTCGGTTTTGAACTCAACAATGATTTACGATCTATCGTCAGAAAAATTAAATAGGAAGCTAACTAACTCGGAAAGTACTGTGATTTTCATAATAATTTCATAATAAACACACACACACACATACACACCCACACACACACACACACACACACACACACACACACACACACACACACATATATATATATATATATATATATATATATATATATTTATTTACATATAATGTTTATTAATAGCAGTAAAGAAAAATACGCAGCTTTGTAAAAACCAGAAGACGTTTAAAGTATGTATTATGTGCTATAAGTGTGGAAGATTGTGTGTGTGTGTGTGTGTGTGTGTGTTTGTTTGTGTGTGTGTGTGTGTAATTAATAAAGTCAGACATCGACAGCAAATGTTTTCCTACAAATACTTGATGGAAGTTATAGCACAGACATGTTGAAAAATTATTTGAAATATATAAACGTAAAAATATATTTCACATCGGAAATTGAACTATAAACTTATGAAATTCATCATTGCAGACACTGCATTTGCTATTGTAATTCAAGGGCATAGATATAATATCTATTATATATCCATCATTATATATATCCATGATATCTATGTTCAAGGCTATAAATAGAATTAGCATGAAATTTTAACTGGAAACATTGACAAAGAATATGTAATGTAATGATGAAAATTCTTTTTGCTAACATTGAATAGTTCAATATTCATAAAGTAAAGTTGAATAACTGTACTATAGTTTAATTCATATAAGTAATGTTGAATAATGTACTATAGTTCAATTCTTATAAAGCAACGTTGTTCAGTTTACTAAAGTTGAATTCCTATAAAGTAACTTTACATTAATGTACTATGATTTAATTCTTATAAGTAACATTAAATTAATACACTATAGTTTAATTTTTATAAAGTAATGTAAAATTAATGTAGCCTAATTCTTATAAAAATATTCTTGAGTCTTGTCTTGAAACCACTACTTATTGATATTGTATTAATAAGGTGCCAACTGAATTGAAGACACTTCATACGCATACATTATAAATTAAATATTTTATACATTATGGTGCGTGCGTGTGTGTGAGCGTGTGTACTTTGTGTGTGTGTGTGTGTGATTTGTGTGTATTATTTGTGTGTATCATCCTTATGACGGCATTATGGTATACCTTTGTTCGCTAAGAGGTACCAGGGTGTCATTATTAATGATATTATTATTATTAATCTTATTATTATTGTTGTTGTTATTATTGTTATTATAATTATTATTGTAGTTGTAGTCATCGTCTGCCATTTTTTGAATGCATCCATCCTTGTCTATAAAAATGACGTTGTTGTTGTACATATTCTTGGCGATGTTGCAGGCTTGGTTGTTGTTGTGGTGGTCTTTGCTATCGATGACATCATTGTAATCGTTGTTGTTATTGATGACGTTGTTGTTGTTGTTGTTGTTGTTGTTTCTACTTTTTTTATTCTTGCGTGGGCGATGTTGGGCGCATACACACGTGCAGTGTCTCTTTTTGGTCTTCTTCTTACCGTTATAATCATTGTCATTATAACTATTACCGTTGTTGCCGTTGTTACCGTTACCGTTGTTGGAATTATAACTCTTGTAATTTTTGTTTTGGTTATTATTGTTGCTGTTGTTTTTGTTGTTGTTATTGTTGTTATTGATGTTGTTGTTGTCATTATTGTTGCTGTTGTTGTCTCTCTTCTTGCTTTTTTTCTTGCGCATGTAGAAATGTATGGCTCGGGCGTAAACGTACGGGCTGACGGAGGGCTTTTTTTTAATTTGTTTCTATATTTTTCATGAGATGTCTCGTTTCGGTAACCAGATTTATTGTTGTTCTTGTTGCTAACGTCGTTGTTGTTGCTGTTGTTGTTGTTGGCTCTATTGTTGTCGTAGTTGTAGTAGTGGCATTCTACTAAATTGTTGTCGTTTGGGTTGCCGCCATTATCGTCATTATTTTCATTAACGTCATTATTAGGATTACTTCCTCCGCGCACCGATTCACCGAGTTCGGTTTCATCCGAAAATTTTATCGATTTGTTCGATTTTTTGGCGTTTCTGTTCTGTCGGTAATTCAGTAACATCAAAAAAACATTTGCTATCAGCGATATCGTGAGAAAAACACCCAAAACAATGACAGTATTATTATTATTATTATTAATGCTATCTCTATTCGTTAATGATGACGAACTTGTTGTTGTTGTTGTTGTTGTTGTAAAATGTTGCCCTGAATAAAATGACGACAAAATTTCCGAAAATGTCGGACTCAGAGTAGAGTTAGTATCAAAGCTAATAGATGTAGTAGTATTAACAGCAGTAATTGTTGCATTAATGCATCCAGTAGTGGTAGTAGCAGTTGATGTCATATTGTTATATACTACCTGTCACTTTGTTTTTATCCATTCATAGTTACTTCACTACTACTAAGACAGCAATTAATCATATGAATTTGGTCAGAATTATTGAGAAATGTAATAAAAAAACTATCCAACGCTAAAAATTCGGTAAATTCCATAAATTATAGCATTAAATATGGTCTCCTTCCTCTGAATAAATATTGATTGTTAGCTCGTTAAAATTATTCTATATAGCAATAAGCAAGGTTGCATAATCTACATGCGGATGTATATATACATATCATATAGCATATATATATATATATATATATATATATATATATATATATATATATTAACAATATTCCATAAATTCTACCGAATGTTTGGCGTTAATATGTTTGTAGTTCGTTTGACAAACCGAGAACTACCTTCCTTATTAGAACTACTTCTAATTCTCGAGAGAGATGGAGCAGTCGCTGCTCGCGATCTTGTTCGATTGTTAGATTGCGTCGGTTGGTCGCAGAACTTCGAGTAAATGTTGGTAATAGACCATAATTTTTACAATATTTTATAAATTCTACCGAATGTTTGGCGTTAATATGTTTATTAGGCGTTTATTGTAGTTCGTTTAAACGAACTACAAACATATTAACGCCAAGCATTCGGTAGAATATAAAGAATATATCATATAATAAATATATATAGGACAGTCTTAATCATATATATATATATATATATATATATATATATATACATATATATATATACATATATGTGTGTGTGTGTGTGTGTGGGGTTGTGTGTGTGTGTGAAATACAAAATTTGCCTGAAACATTTCGGGGTCGATAAAATGTTGTTTAGGTTCATGTTACTATTATTACACTGTTACTACCTGTGGCGTTGGCTTGGCTCAGCAGTGTTTTGTTGTTGTTGGGATTTATTTTAAATTTAAATTCTTTTCTAATTTGACATTTTTCTAGTCATTTTCATAAGATGAGCTTGCCGGGTTTGTACGGAAATAGCTTTCTTGCTACTGCTGCTGCTGCTAATACAACAAAAACCACAGACACTATTATCGCTACTACAACAGCCACCGTTTGTAGTAATACTAAAAAAAGCTATCAGTAGTAATAATGTTGTTACTATTACAAATATTACTACTACTGACAATACTAGATGTCACCGAGTTAGCTCAGTCGGTAGAAGCGTCATGTCCCGCGATGCTATGGTTCGAACTCTGTCCAAAATTCATAAACCATCAGAGGCGTATGACACATACTTGCGCGTGCATACGTAATGTGTATACACGTCGTGTGGTGTGGATAGTGTACACTGTACAATTATTGTACATACAGCCTTCGTGAAAAAAAAGTTTATTTATAAGCATAGAATAACGTGTAAAAAAGATGATTCGAAGAAGTTTTATATCGTTTTATTGGATTAATGGAAAAAGGTGGAATAAATACAAGATATTTTTTGCATAATTTTTAGATTTTGATTAAAAGAATAAAAAACGAATAATTAAATGAATAAATGAATAATATATAAATTCAATGCATATATCATTTTTATTGCTAAATTACTTTGAATTAGTAAAATCAATTCATCTTTAAAGAAGCCAAACATCGACATCACAATCCCAACTGGTATAATTATATTAATTATTATCATTCATTATTATTATTATTAATAACAATTATTATTATTATTAACACCCCATTATTATTATTATTATTATTATTATTATTATTATTATTATTATTATTATTATTATTAATACCCCATTAATAATGCCACCGTCAAATTTGTACAATCATAACTATCAGCTCACGATCAATATCCCTTCTGACGTTCTTCATTAAAAGCGCTATACAAATCATCAAATACAAATACAAATGCAAAAAATTCATCTATGCCATCGTCATACCCTACTTGACATTACCACCTAGGTCATCATCTACGTCATAGTCATGTAAACATCGTCATCAGCATCATCATCCACGTCATAGTTATATTAACATCGTCACGTGATCACATTTTCCCAGGTGCCTCATAAGTTTCATCGCTTATCATCATCATCATCTTCATTCTCATCGCCGTGATGATGATGATGATGGCTATGGTCATCAGCACCAGGTTTTATATTACCACCACCATCAATACTGCTATCGAGCATCTTCTTCTTATCGTTACCTGCCATGGTCGAGTTATTTTTTGATGAATCGCTAAAAGCCACGTTAGGCTTGTGAGGTTGTTGTTGTTCGCTGCCCATTATAAAGTGTGAAGGGCTTTTTTCCGAAGGTTGTTGTTGTTCTAGGCCGTTGCGGGCCGCCATCCCCTCCAAAATTGGGGACATGATGAAGAAGCAGAGGACCACGACGGCGAACATGAAGACCACCAGTGGTACCACTAGCGACAAGATGTAGTAGCGGCCTCTCGTCTCGCGGATGTCTTCGTCTGCATTTATTTTCAATATTTCTTTGCGTCGATTGTTGTGGTGTAGTTGTTGTCGTTGTCGTTCGTGTTGATCTTGCGATTCGATGTTGAGCCTGTGTTCTTCTCTGTTTCGTTGCTGCTGATTGCTGTTGTTGTGAGGTTCATTATTGTTCTTATTACTGTTGGTGTAATCGTTGTTGTTGTCATTGATGTTGTTTGATGTTTGTTCATCGAAAGATAGCAAAGGAACGACTGATTCTCTGACATTCTCCTTGAGACTCATTCTTGCAATAGCTTTTGTTTCCTATTTAATTTAAAAATTTCATGAATAATCAAAAACCATATAATGTATATATTTTCCAAGGTGATAATTAATGCCAAAAATCTTTATAATAAACTATAACTAGTTAATTAAAATTGAAGATAAAATCATGAAAACCTTCTTAAACAGTCTCAAAAAGATTCCTATGTAACCCAGCAAATTCTTTCTAATCAGGGCACGGCACGCACCTGTCTCACCTGTTTTACTTCATTCAATAGCTAGGAATGGTGAATATTTTAAAATTAGTCTTTAATTTGCTATCAATAATAAAACAATACTAATAATTTTATAAGATATTAGTTAATTATTCTTTATAATTTTTTTAATAATTAAACTTGTTTGTTATCATATATATAGAATGCTTTATAACATATAAAGTTTGTTATATTTTTTTAAAATTAGTTCTTTGCATTAGCAGGTGCTCTATTTTTACTTTGGTAAACAATAAAAATGGCAGGCCCAGCGTCAAATTCAGAATTGTTTAGCACGTTTGTGTCGCTTGCAGACGACATAAAGAACTTACTGGAACTTACGATAGGTAAAATGGTGATTTTGTCTTAATTTTTATGTTTTTATGAAACAAAACAACCATGCTATACTCAACCAAACTTCTCCCATGTCACTTTCATTTAAAAAAGCATTGAAAGAAAAAAAATTAATACAAATAGAATAATATGCAAATATACAAATGTAACAGTGTCACTCCAATTTCAGTTCAACAAAATGGCCAAAAATGAGCCTTAAAAAATAAATAAACTTTAGACTGACAAAAGCAGAATTTGTAGAAGGTGTACTAACTTGTGTAACAACTATATTACTCTCTCTCTATGACCTATGTCTAACAAATGGTTTTTAACTTTTTGGGAAAGACTAACCACTAACATAATAACAGTTGTTAGTTTTTTTTAGTCTGTTGAAATAAAATAAAATTATAAATAGTTTATCTCTCTCTCTCTCTCATATTAAAGTTTAATTTTATTTATTAAATAAAATTTAAATTAATCTTTCTCTTATTATTTTCAAATTTTTTCATTTACAATTTGTTTATTTATACAGATCAAGCATTTTACGATTGTAAGATAACTATGGATTTTAAGTTCTGGCTAGATATGGGTAGGTCATTTGGTTATTATTAATTTTGAGTATATAAATTTTAATAAAATTATTTTGAATTATTATTAAATTAATCGTCTTTTTAAAACTTGATAGCACAATTATTTTTGATTTGTTTTATTTAATCTCCATCATATATATATAATATTGATTTAAACCTGTTTTATTATTAATAATTTTAAATAAGATATAATAAATATATCTCGTGAATAGATTATGATAAATTGTGTTAATGTTATTTAGGAATTTTTAAATATTTAAACACCCAGAGGAGTGTCTGAAATGCATATCACAAGTTATAACGAAACTCAGCCTGGCTTGCATGGATCCACCGTTGCCCACCTCAAAAGTGGATTAATTAACATAATTTACATATTAATTAAGCTAATTAGCATACTTATTAATGTAATTTCCACTTTAATTAACATATTAATTTTAGCAACATTTGAATACTTCAGATTATTTTATTTTTAATATCCTTGGTAATAATAATTAACTAATTTACCTTGCTATTTAGGAGCTTTGGCCATTCTTGAAGACTTTGAAGTTATCTCTGACGAAATTATCATTTTATTGTGCTACGTACTCACATTACCTATATGGCATGTCGTTAAAAGTGAGTCTAACAGAAACTACTGAGAAAGTTTTTGACGGAGTCATCAAATTGTTGAGGCATATAGTCGAACCCGATTCTGAAAAGTTATCTTTGTTTTTCGTCAATAAATTTTTGTTTTTTTTTTGTTTTTGTTTATATATATTTTTGTAATAAAATATTTTTCTTATTAAATTATATATATCATCATTGTTGTTGTAATTGTAATTTTAGGTTATTTTTTGTCTTTTTTAATTAATTTTATGGTTTTGTTGATCCAATTTTCACAGAAGAAAGAGGTACTTAACGTCAGCAGGCTATATATGGGATGTTGCAGAAAATTTCCCCAAGTTACCTAAAGGTAAGGAATTGCCACTACCATTATTGCTGATATGACAGCACATCTACCATTTGAGCTAACAATTACCATGTTATCATTTTATTGATATAATATATTTCATCTCAGATAATAAGGAGGCTGTTTTGATAAAGATGAAGGAGGTTCTGCATATGGTATCTGATGCCTGTGATGAACTGACTGAGGTGATGATGATGACGAGGATGCTGTTGATAATGATGATGATGATGGTTGTGATTTTGTGTATAATGATGATGGTTATGATGAAGGTATTATGATGGTAATGACTAGAAAGATTACCATTCTAATAATTATGATAATACAAATTATGGTCAAACACTTCATGATGATGACGATGATGATAATGATATTGGGGTTCAGTGCTTTGCAGAGTGGTGCTTGTCCGCGGAGCTACAGCTACCGCTCTGCGGCGAGCTGCCAAAAATGTTGAAAAATAACTAACAAAATCCTAACTTGGACTCGATCAGCAAGGCAATTAAAACTCCATGAAGTACCACTGGTATGAGAGAAAGCGTGCAAAATGAAGGATGACCAACCAGATTCTATAATATTTGGGAGAGATCAATTTATGCGTAGACGTGATCAGCTGTTTAAGAACAGCTGATTAGACGGAGTCAGCTTTTTAAGTACGTTACTATATTTAAGAACGGCGTTTGTTAAAATGGCATATATTTTGTTTTCGATCGGTTGGAACATAATAAATTATTTTTAAAATTTATTAAAATTAATTGAAATTATAATATAAAATATTTATGACATTAAAGTCAGGTAAGTTTTTTCATAATTTCTTAATTGTGATCGTTCTATAACTGCTTTTGTTCTGCTGAAATGGGATTATTTTGTTGGAATTAGAGTTAATTTGATCGTCAGATTGGAAAAATTTTTTTTTGGAGTTAGGCAAACCACTGGCTGAAGATTTCATCTTTGTTTACCGTTCTACCGTTCTTTTCAATCCACCTATTTACGTGACATTCCTTTTTTCATGCACAACTGTAATGAAGACCAAAATTGTAAAATGTATGTGGGGTTTGTGTGCGCGCGCGCGTGTGTGTGTGGTTTGTGCGTGTACAAGTTCTCGCGTAATTCGTCTAGGTACGTTTCAGGGCCGCTAAATTCAATGCATGTCCGCGGGATGAAAAAATTTACGAGACACTGCTGTGTTTGATGATGATAGTAGCTGGTCATAATTTTAGAAGTTTTATTAATTATTATTATCGCTATTGTTAATTATTATAACTCTTGAACTGTCTCACAACCCATAACTATATTTCAGTCACTGCAGAACAACTCTAGCCCAGTCGAAAAAAATGACGACGACGACGATGAACCTCCAATGGTTTGGAGTGCAAATGAACTGCCATTGGTTAATTAATAATAAATATTATATAAGTAAAATTAATAATTTTATTATTGTTCATATTATTACTAACGAAATCACTTTACAAGAGTAGTAATAAGAAGACTGACGCAAACTGCTTTTATTAACAAATTAAAAAAAAACAAAATTAAAACGCATCAATTGACGCAACATCAAAAAGCAATTCAGCAATAACAGTAAATTAATCAACAAACACACTACATAAAATACATTAAGAGACATTAACGGCAAAGGCAACCACAGATCTAACAAAAAACATTGTTACATCAATTAACCATAAAAAATCCACACCATGATAAACGAAACCAATTGCATCCAGATGACATCAGCAACAACATTAACAACAAAACTTGTAGCAATATTACCAACACTGACAGGCCCAAACAGTATCCGGACTTATCAAAGCAACCAAATTCTGCCTAATAAAGTTAATCGGAGCTATAGAAAAAAACGCAAAAACCGATTACAATTATCCAAACGAACTTCCTAAAAATCCCAGCCAGGAAAATCCCGATGTGGAAATTCCCAATTTTGAATCTGCAGAAAATGAATCAATACTGTCTAGATTTTTCCTAAATAAAGGTTTGCGTCTGTTAATTTATTAATTATTGATAATTTTCTATTATCTTTATTGTGACTTCTATTTTGTTAATGTTATCATTATTATTGCTATTGATGTTACAACTGCTATTACCACCAACACCATACCACCACTACTACTACCACTACAGTATCTGATTATTTGTTGTTAATATTATATTTATGTCATGTTTATATTGTTAATAATAATTTTATTTTAAATGTTACTTTTACTATTAAATATGAATACTAATTTTTTTAAATAGGTCAGCTTGACCTAAATAGTTTGCAATCAGAGCACAACGGCCCAATGACGAGCGGCGACCCAGCCAAGAAGTTGTGTCAACTAATCGCTGAAGCCGGCGATACGATTTCTAGTGTTAGTTTACTTTTAGCTGGGTTCATGATAATTAATTATAATAATTATAATAATGATGAAGAGAATAATAATAATAAATATTATCAATGACAACAACAATAATGGTTGAAACTGTTACATCAATAACCATTAAAAAAGCCACGCCAGTACTAAAATCAATCAATCACAGCACGCTGACATCATCAACCACATTAACAACACAGACTATAGCAATAACATTAACAATGACATCAACATAACGTCAACAAAAACAGGACCATTTGGAACAAAGTAGATCAATAGAAGTCGCGGAAAACAACGCAGAACTCGATGATCAAAACGAATCTTCCGAAGATTCAAATGAGCAAATGGTTATAAGAACGAAATTCAACCTAAGCAATTTAATCGAAGCCATGGAAAACGACTTAAAAGCCGATAATAAAAACGAATTTTCTCAAAACTCCAGTAGGGAAATTCCCATTGGGATAATTCCCAGTGTTGGGGCTATCCAAAATGAAATGTTACTCAATGAATTACTTCGAACTAAGGGTGTGTTTGTAAATTTATTAATTATTTTCCATTATACTTTCTATGGTTTTTATGTTATAATCATTGTTATTGTTAGTACTGCTACTACCACTGCTTTTACTTCTACTGCCACTACTACTACTATTGCTTCTACTACTACTACTATCACTACTGCTATACTACTTGTAGAGATCAAACAAACATTCCTTTACGCATGAATACATATTATATAACATTAATAAGAATTATTGTTATTGTTATTTTAGTTAAATATGAATATTAATTTTTAAAAAAGTTGGTCAGCTTGACCTAATTAGCATGCAATCGGAGCGTCTCAGCTCGCTGACTGACTGCCTGGTCACCATGCTCTACCCACCAATCACCGACGTCAATGGCATCACTTCTACTGTAAGTTCACTTTTAGCTGGGGCCGTTTCAGGGGATGGTGGTGATGATGAGGACGACGACGAGGATGATGGTGGTGGAAATTATGGTGATTAATAATGACGGTAATTATGATTATTATAGTGTGATAACAGTCATAGCAATTATAAAATGGTTTGCTGGTATTCTAATTAGATGTGTCAGCGCTCAATGAATCTTAATTTTGTCAGATTAACGAATTGGAGGCCAACGTAGATTGGATTATTTCATTGGCAAAGTAAATTTATTTATTTACTTAGTAACTATCATTATCATAATTTTCATTCATCTATTCACTCATCTACATCCATCCATTCATTCATCAATCAATCCATCTTTCCTGCTAATTCTTTTATTTATCCGTCCGTCTACCCACTAATCCCATGTCTATCTATCCGTATATAAACCTAATTCATTCGTCACAATCCGCAAACTCTTTATTCGTTCATCTGATCATCCATAAAATTCAATCATTCATCCATTTAACAACCCATCCATCTTTTTATCTGTCTATCTATCTATTAATTCTCCATTTGTTTAAAAATTTCATTTATTCGTCAATCTATCCATATCAATACATTTTAGTATTCACTAATCATTCATTCACTCACTCATCAATCCATACACTAATCGTTCATTCATTCATTCATTAATTCATCCATTCACGTCATTCGTTCTGAGTTCATTCTGTTTGAGTGATTCATCGGCTCAATCGTATTATCCCCTTACTACTCATTCGTCCATCTATCAAATAATCATTATTAGATTAATTACTACATTGATTCATTCACCCATCTCCTAAATTTAGGAAGTCCCATTACATCCCAAAAGATGAAAACAATTCCTGGTTGGATTTCGTGGAGAAAGCCTTCAGGCACAACGCCCACAAATCATTTACATCCATCGAGACATTCGTTGCAAGCAGAAATAATTTACAACAATGAGAACACTTCAATTCTGTATTATTCTTTTTATTATTATTCAATTCAATTGTATTATTTGTTGTTCTTTGTTATTATTTCTATTGGTTTTAAATATATCTATTCTTCTTATTACATTTCTTTCTTTGTTATTATTATCATTTATATATTATATTTTTGAGACAAAAATTATTTTAATTATTTTTTCAATGTTAATATAAATCTCGACATAATAACACTTAATTTACACGATATGTACACACGCACGCACGCACACACACACACACACATATATATATATATATATAGTTTTCCTAAACAATTATTATTAATAAATACATTATCCAACCATTGGAAAACTTGTTTAATCATGCGATCTTTCATTCATTTATTCCATCTATCTATCTTTTTTTATCTATTCTTTAGTTTCTTTATTCGTTAGTCAATAATTACTCATTCGTCTATCTATCTATCTATATATCAACCAATCAATCAATCCATTCATCCATTAACTCGTTCATTCATTTAATCATTCCACTCATTTGCCAATTTTCTCATTCATTCATTCATTCACTCATTCGTTTATTTATATATCGATCAAGTCATTCCCTCAATCCAATCAATCAATCATTTGTTTTCCTATTTTGCAGTCAATAACTCGTTCATGCATTCATTAATCCATCTGATTTTTACTAATTCATATATAATTATTAATTAATTCATTTGTTTAATCCATCATTCGTTCATTCGTACATTGTTTAATATCACTGGCTGCCAAAAACTTTACCGTACGCATCTCTCATGTTCCTAAATATATGTGACCTATATTTATCCTCCAATGAGATCATGTAATCCACGTACCTGCTCGCATCGAAGTCTCTTATTGGCTCCTCCTGATTTGAATTGGACCAATGGTTGTGAAGGGTTATTTGACATAAGGTTGTAAATATGATTACAATAATAGTCATAATTATAATAATAACAAAAATGATAAAAAATAATAACGATAATGATGACAATAGTAATGGTGACGACCTTAAAAGCAACAGCAACAACAAAATCGGTACCAGTCAACACCTAATCTTACCTTTAAAATAAGTTAACGGTATTTTTATTAGTGTGTGTGTGTGTGTGTGTGATAAAAATAATAGCAATAGCAGAAATGATGAAGTACCTTAAGGTAGATTACGAGGTTCCTATCAACCATCTGCCTTTTTATAATCTCTTCATTATGCTTTAAGATTGAAATGCAAAAGTAGACAATATAATCAGGCCCGAAACAAAGGCTACAAATAAGAGATTGCTGAATTTGCGGCCAGTCTAAATAGTTGAGAAACCACTGTCTTATCCAGTGTTGACATATCTGTGATGGTGATTAGGAGAATGATGATGATGATAAACAGAAAGATGATGATGATGTTGAGAATATGGTGAAGATGATAGTGGCGGTGATGAGTGATGTGATGATGATGATGGCGATGATGATAGTAATGCTAACTTGAGCAGGTGCGAACCCAGACATGTGAAAGGTAGATAGGACTTGTGGCAATTCCTCTTGCAATATCATTTCTAAGCTATTGTTGATGACATGTTGAATTGTTGCCAGGTTGCTCTTGTTGTTGTTGTTGTTGCATATCTGTCAAAGATAGTAAGTAATAAAATAGGTAATTAATTTTTTAAAATAAACTACCGCTAACAAATAAAAATGATGACAACAACATTATAAAAGTTTAAATAACCACAAAATGTACACTAGCACACGAGCGGTATAGAAAACAGCAGAAAGAAAAACAAAGATATGACAAACAAAACCAAAGAACATCCAATAGATCAGACAAACCCACCATAGAATAATATTTCCATAGATAAATAGAAGTATGCAGGGATGCAAATTTTGATAAAAATTTCAACGTCCTGTTAACATTACCATTACTGAGAATAAACAACACACCGGCGAACCAATCAAAGCCGAGATTGACGTTGTGAGCGATATTATAAAAACCGTCGCTCTCATTATCGCCTCTGCAAAAGGCCATAGATACTTTAGCGATCAGTAATTTTAATTTCTCCGTTGATTCTTTGGTCGACGACGTCAGAAGCCTTAGGGATGTACCGTACCTAAAGATATAATAATAATAATGACAGTTAATATCATTTTATTATTATTATTATTATTAACCTAATAATGAGCTTTATTCCTTCGAGTTGAATTTTCGAAAATGTATACTTTTTAGCCGCCGAATCTGAAACTGCAACAACAACAATAATAATAATAATAATAGAGAAAATAAAATAATAATAATAATAACAGGAGAAATAATATAAATAATAATAATAGAATAATAATAATAAAATAATAATTAAGTGATTAATTAAACCATTGATATCATGAGTGCGGGGTGACAAAGCCCTGAGGCGGTTGGTGATGCTAGTGTTGTTTTCGTGCGACGCATTGTATTCAACCGCCTGCTCTATCATCATCATCACGTCTGATAATAATAATGAAAATAATAATAATAATGATAATAATGATAGTAATAATGGAAACATATTTTATTTTTCACTCGTCAAATCGATGTTTAAAAGAAGTGTCCGATAAAGTGAATCATAATGAAATGTACTTTAAATGTACAATTATAATAATAATAGAAATAAAAATAACAATAATAATAATAATATTTAAATATTATTCTTATGGAACATGATTATGAAGGCGACCATTATTGTTATTGTTATTATTGTTGTTATAGCTATAGTGATGATGAAAATGACATTTATTATTATTGATATTATTATTATTATTGTTGTTATCGTCATCATCCTCATCACCACTAACAGCTGTCTTTCAGTCCACTAGCGTCACGTGACGATCGCCCGATGACGTCAAATATGACCTCACGGAATTCTACGAACGATTCGTGATCTTTGATCTTTGGAAGTTGCTGCTGGTGGCCGTCTGGAGAAAAAAGAACCAAAAAATTTCTAGTAACGCTAGTAGTAGAAACACTAGTAGTAGTAGTAGTAGTAGTAGTAGTAGTAGTAGTAGTAGTAGTAGTAGTAGTAGTAGTAATGTAGTAGTAGTAGTAAGTAGTACTATTTTAAAATTTTGATAATGAAAATCCTTGAATTAAAAAAAATAAGCACTCGAATTAATTACTCAATTATAAATAAATTAATTTTAATTAGTTACCGGTGGTGGAGTGCTTAGATAATTTGGGCCAGTAACAATCTGGCACCGGATATTCATGAAACATCCTGATTGGCTGGAGAATGTCATGAATATTAATGAATCTTATAATGAATGAATAATTTTAGGAGCGAAATTATGATTGGAAATGTCGTTTCTCGAACATGCAGCTCCGAAAAATTGTAACAAGACATGATGTCATGGCTGACATGCCGTCAACCAATGGTGCGGATACTTCATTTATATTATTATTATTACATTTATTAATTATTATTACTTTTATTATTTTTATTATTACTTACATTATTTTTATTATTAATTTTATTATTAAATGATATTTCTCAAGCGTTAATTTTTAAAAAAATTTCCAAAAGAACTCTTAAAACGAAAAAATGGGAGTAAAAAATAATAATAGCACCTTATCCGAGTACTGAGTATCTGGTAGGAGCCTCTCGCTGTATCCGCCAATCAGGAAACTTCTGACCAGAATGTGGTTGTGTTGTAGCGAGTGGTCGTCCATCATTATCAGGACCGTTGATGATGGTGGCGATGATGATGATGATGTCGTTGTTGATGTTGCTGAGCTGTCAGTGACGACAACGACGATGATGATTGTGATGATGACAGTAACGTAGTGATGATGACGATGATTGTGATGATGATTGTGACGTAATGAATAGTTGAATGAGTTGACTCATAATCATCACCACCATCGTAATCATTATCATCATTCTAATCATAATCAGCATCATCATCGTAATCATTATCATCATTCTAATCATCATCATCATCATCATCTTGACGGGTATATATCATCATCACCACCAACTCGAGCATTTTTTCCTTCTGCCTGGACATGAGTAGTCGTTGGAAGTCGAACCTGCAGTGCAACAACAACATCGTGTCCAGGCAGCATATCATTACTCTCACTAGTCTGTTATTGTTGTTGTTGTGTTGTTGGGTGAATGAATGCACGAATGAATGAATGAATGAATAAATGAATGAATGAGTAAATGAATGAGTAAATGAATGAATAAATGAATAAATGAATGAATGAATGAATGAGTAAATGAATGAGTAAATGAATGAGTAAATGAATGAATAAATGAATTAATGAATGAATGAATGAATTAATTAATGAGTGAATGAATGAATGAGGAAATGAATGAGTGAATGAAAGAAATGAACAAATGGCAAAAAAAGCTGAGGCCGACGTGAAAGACAGGTTATTTAAAGTTCAGTTATTTAAATTTATCTAAGCAATAAAGTAGGAGTTGAGGAAATGCACGAAAAATGAGTGAATGAATGAGTGCATAAATGAATGAATGAAAAAGTAAAAAATAAATGAAAGTACAAATAAAAGAAAGAACAAGTAAATGAACAAAGGATGATCAAACCTCAACCCACAGCTGTAGGTTTGTTCGTAGTTGAATAGGAAACTCGTCTTACTGCTATCAATCAATAACAACCTCTCTAGAAGGTCCTAAATATTAATCAATCAATCGAACGATCGATCAATCAATCAATCGATTGATCAGTCAATCAATCAATCAACATTAATCAGTCAGTCAGTCAGTCAGTCAGTCAGTCAGTCAGTCAGTCAGTCAGTCAGTCAGTCAGTCAGTCAGTCAGTCAGTCAGTCAGTCAGTCAGTCAATCAATCAATCAATCAACCAACCAAACAATCAATCAATCAATCAACCAAACAATCAATCAATCAATCAACCAAACAATCCTTCAATCAATCGGTCGGTCAATCGCTTAATAAACCCTTTTTATAATAATAATAATAGTATAACAAAAACAATAATAATAATATTAATATTCGTCAGAACCATCATCATCACCATCATGGCCATCATCACCATCACCTCAACAGAATTGGGTAGATTAGTGTAACCATAAACACCTCTCTCACCACGACCCTCACTATCGCCACCACCACCAGCAACATCATGATCAGGATTATTATTCCTATTATTATTATTATTATTATTATTATTATTATTGTTAATGTTATTTTTTACGTTATAATTGCCGTTGTTGTTATTGTCATTTTCAACAACGACAACGCCTTCGCTATCTAAACCAGATTTTGTTATTTTCGTTGTTGTTGTTGTTGATGATGATGATGATGATGTAACCCTTATGACATCGCACAAGTTGCTGTAAGGTAGCAAGACATTAACTAAATTAGTGAAGGGTTTAATGTTATACCTATCCAAGGCGTTAATCGGCCACGATTTTGGCAAGTGATGATGATGATGCAGAAGATGGTGATGATGATGATTGAAGATTAAAGATGGCGGTGATGATGATGGTGATGACGGTGGCGGTGATGATGAGGAGGATTGACGTGGTGGTGGTGGTGATGGCGATGATGATGGGGGGCCGGTTTCTATGGAGATCCAGAAAAGTTGGAGTAGTAGTTTTATGAATCCTGTTATATTTGAATGAACGAATGAAGGAACGAATGGATGAATGAAAAATAAAGAACTGAACGACTGAATGAATGCATTAACAAATAAATGGATAAATGAAAAAATAAATAAAACTAAATTTTAAACTAATTCTCGAAAATATTTTTGTTTATTCATTATTAATTAACTCAGTTACCATTCCACATAATCGATTGATTGATTGATCCATCCAGTCATCAATCCATTGTTTTATTCATCCATCTATCCATCCACTCATTCCATCAATCCATCTACTAATTCACAAACCAGTTTTCAACAAAGTCTGAATCCCACAGGGAGTGCAAGCAATCTGGGATATCGCATATCCGTATCCGAATTTCTCGCTTCTAGGAATCTGCAGGTGATCGTGATTATAAAGGTTGTTATTGTCATTATCTACTAAGAAGTTGATGACGAAGATGATGATGATGATGATGAGGAAGACAGTGATTAATTCTTTTATCCCTATTCAATTTAAAAAAGGCTTACTTTTGAACAAGTGTAGCCTGATGTTACGTACGAACGTTAGTTAACAGAAAATGAAGTGTTCGCAGTTATGTTTTCTCAAACGTCTTTCCTTTTTATTCAGGTTTTAGATTTATATTAACACTTAACATATTAAATGGTAATTTTTGATTATCAAGTTTTAACTGTAATAGCTAATTTTCTTTTAATTTTTTATGTGTCCCATATTATCTTAGATTAATTAATATATAATTATAATTTGTTTTAAACAAAAATTGAAAAAGCGCTTGAGGTACAGAAAGGACCCTCTTGGTATTTTATATTATAGAATTCAATTATCGTAATTTTTGGATGATTCGGTATCCAAAAAAAATTATAAAAAGCCAAACACGATACTGGAATACAATCGTACCAAAGGCGGGGTGAACAATGCAGATAAATTATTACGGGAGTATTCTTGTGCTAGACGTACCTCAAGATGGTCCTGAGACTTTTCATGAACATGCTTGATATTAGACCTTTAAATGCTTTCATAATTTGGATTTCAAGAAACAAAGACTGGATTAATTATAAAAAAAATTCTAGGTATTTGTTCCTTATGGAGTTGGGCAACGAACTAACAAAGCCTAACATTTTACAAAGAGCCAGCAATCCAATTGGCATTCATGTTTCAATTGTTCGAGCAATTGAGGCAGTCGGGGGTAACTGTAGCGCGTATCAACGCAAACCAAAGCATACCACCAACATCGGGAATTCAGAAAAGCCGCAAAAGAGGAAGATGTTATTATTGTCCTAGAAGTAGTGATAGAAAAGTGAACACAATCTGTAGTAAATGTCAGAAATTTGTTTGTGAGGCACACAGGAAAAGCATCACAACTATCACGCGTGTAAAGAACTGTAGCACATGATCTGTATATATCTTTTTATTAAATTAATACACTAATGGTATTACAAAACACTATAAATTTTGTTTACAGACATATATTTTTTTGTTTTCCAGAAGTTTAGACTTTCATAATTTTTTGCATTAATAATAGTATAACGATAATAATGATAATGGTTTTACATAAAAATTTTGATTACCAAACTTTACAATTTATTTAGACAAAAAAATGGGGTCTTTAGAGGACCACGGCTTGGTAAACAAGAAGAGATGGTCAACAATATGCCAACTGATAACTCGAAAAAACGAAAAAGACATGCGAAAAATCCCAACGCACCAAAGACGGCCTGGTTTCCATATGTTTATTTTGCAATGGAAGTAAGACCGAAAATTAAAGCGGAATTTCCGAATATGCGCTTTACAGAAGTAGCCAAAAAATTGGGTAAGAGATTGAAAAAATGCTCAAATAAAGAAAAGTATAAAACCATGGCTGCTAAAGATAAAGAAAGACATGAAATGGAGAGAACCATATATTTTTCTGCATACAATTCGACGGTTATATCTGATGAATCTCCAGAGAGAAATCCAGCTATTTCAAAAGATCCCAAAAATAAAAAGGGCATATATAAATTTTGCACACGAGGATAAACTAAGAATCAAAGCAGAATTTCCAAATATGCCATTCAAGGAAGTTGCGAAAGAATTGGACAGGAGGTGGAAAATATTTAAAAACAATTATAATTATGATGATTGTTCTGCAGCTAAAGAGTTAGAAACTTCTAAAATGTCAAAGGAAACAATAAAGCCTCCTGCTAAAAAACGAAAAATTCATAAAGATCATGATAATACTGATTATTACAAAAAAGTTGATGATTAAGATGATGAGGAAAAGGACAATGATTAATATTTTGATTCCTATTTTTAATTCAAAAAAGTCCTAATTTTGTTTAATAATGAAAGTTTATTAACACAAAATGGCGAATTGTTCTTAATGTTGTTATATCTAGTCAAACGTCTTTCTTTTTATTCAGATTTTAATATCATACTCAAGTTATGCACGTTGTTGATTTTAATTAAATTTCAACGAAGAAATCATGATTTATTCATCATAGAATAAAAAATTAAAATGTTATAATCATAAATCCGAAGCATTTGATCATGATTAATTTTCTATAAATTAATAGCTTAATTAATTTTAGCAGTATATAAATTTTTTAATAATTTTTGTTGAATCATTTCACGCTAGTAAACGTTATCGGCATTATGTTTTATTCTGTGTCAACTCAAATGTATTGGTTTAACTTCTGATACGATTTTTTTTACTGTTGGACGAGATCTCTGTTTCTGCTCAAATAAAGAAAAGCATGAAACAATGGCTGCCAAAAATAAAGAAGGACACGAAATGGAGAGAACCGTATATTTTTCTGCATAAAATTCGACGGTTACATCTGATGAATCTCCAGCTAGTAATCAAGCAACTTCAAAAGATTCAAAAAAAAAACAAAAGCATATATAAATTTCGCACATGAGGAACGACCAAGAATCAAAGCAGAGTTTCCAACCATGCCATTCACGAAAGTTGCGAGAGAATTGGATAGAAAGTGGAATATATTCAAAAACAAATATAATTATGATGATGGTTCTGCAACTAAAGAGTTAGAAATTTCTAAAATTTCAAAGGAAACAAAACTAAAGCCTCCTGCTAAAAATCAAAAAATTCAAAAAGAGCCTGACAATACTGATGAGATTTACAAAAAAGATGATGACGAAAATGAAAAAGAAGAGGAGAGTGATTAATCCTTTGATCCCTATCCTTAATTGAAAAAAGGCTTATTTTTGACGTTACGTACGAGCGTTAGTTATCACAAAATGGAGAAGTGGTTGAATTAATAGTTACGTCTTCTCAAACGTCCTTATTTTTTGGTTTAAATACTATACTAAATTTATAAATGTTGTTGGTTTTATTTAATAAATTGAAACATAGAAATGTGAAATGTCATCCATGAATAAATAAGTAACATGCAATAATCAAAATTTTTTAATGAAAATGATGCAAAATTACTCTCGGTCTCACTGAATTAATTTAGAATAAAAAATTATTTATTTGTCTTAAACAAAATTAATGTTGAAATTAAAATAATTAAAATAAAAAAAAGTTTATGTTTTGCTTTAGAATACATTGTTGATATGATTTAATCTGATTCTGTAGAATTATTTAATTTAATGAGTAAATGCGTGATGATGAAATCAAAGACTACTAGAGAATTGGGTCAAAAAAAGCGAATGCAGATTTAGCATAAGAGTGTTTAACACGAGTTAAGAAGAAGTGACAAGGAGAAGATGTTTATGTTAAATTAATATATCCGATAAGTACCTAGGAAATAATTTAGATTATTCCGATGACGACAATGATGACAATACAAGCGATAAACAAATAAATCTCCGGAGGCGATTTTGACAAAACAAAAATAAAATACTAATAATAATAGCAAAAAGCACGTACTTGCAACTTTTTATTATATCTAGTGAGCATCTGATTGACGCATTCCTCCATCAACCCCTCTGACTGCACTAGAACAACGCCAGTGGGTGTGGTCACGAGTCTCAACAAGTTGTCGATCAAATCTGATTCAACCAAGAGCCTACAAGTATTGAAAGTTTTCGTAAGGTTTTTTAATTGTATACTATATATACTCTGCATATAATCAAGTTATTATTTATTTAAACATTATATCTTCATATACATACATACATATATATATATATATATATATATATATATATTGGATTAAGACTGTCAGAAATGCAATCATTGATGAAAATCACAGCATGTTCGACGTATAATAGGAAGTTAACTAACGCCGAACATGCTGTGACTTTCATCAATAATATATATATATATATATATATATATATATATATATAGAGAGAGAGAGAGAGAGAGAGAGAGAGAGAGAGAGAGAGAGAAAGAGACCCTGCCAATAATAACTATTGTAATTTTTATAACAATTATTCAATGACATACAAAGCCTCTTTTTGATTGATCGTCGCTGGGAGGTCCTCGACCTTCCCATCATTATTATTCCCGGCCCGCGGCGTTGCCGTCTCCTGGTTTTCTATCTCTCTACTGACCTAGTTTTTAAATAATAACAATAATAATATTCATTAAAATATTCATAATAACATTCATAATAATCTTAATAGCGACTATCCAGTAAATAATAATCGTAAGCAAGAGCAATATCGAAATTATGCTATTCAATAATTATAATATTGTAATTATAATATTATAATTAATACTGACGTAGTTTAATACATTCTTGATGACGAGGTGTACATTATATTTTTTTATAAGCTCTACGCCGGCGTTCAGGCAACAAAGTTGGTGCAACGTTTGCAAGAGTTTGCAACATGCGCAACAAATGTTGATGTTGTCGTTGATGTTGTTAATGTTGTTATTGTTGCTGTTGTTGTGAATGTTGATGTTGTTGTGTGTGTTGATTTCAAACGAGTTTGGCGTTATCTTTTGTGCTATGTGTGCAAGGACTTCGGCAGGGCTAAATGAAATGAGTTAATTCATTCATTCATTCAATTGTTTGTTCGTTCGTTATTTATATATTCGTTCATTCATTCATTCAATCATTCACTTTCAGCTATCCAGTAACTTCTCAACAAAAAACAAAGTAACCAACCTTATTAAACCTCTTCCGCTTCCGTTATCACTATCAATACCGCTTAACTTCTTTTCCTCGTCATTAACACCATCATCATCATTAGCAGCAGCATCGTCGTCGTCGTCATCATTCTTCATTCCATCCATCATCATCCTGCTGTTCAAAAGAAACTTCCGTCCCGATTCATTGGAAGCGATAGAGCACAAGATGTCCATGCATCGAAGTTGTTGTGTGGCACGTGCCGGGTTCGAAACCTGAAGTGGTCAGCACGTTTTATAAATTCGTGATAATCAATTAAGATGTATTTGTTCGGTTGTCTTACTGTTTGTCTTGCGGAGGAAAACTCACAAACTACGAACATTAGATAGAAAGCACATCAAGCAGAAAAAACGAACACAAAAATGTTATAGGATTCATTCATAATTGATTTTAAAAACTGTTTATAACACAGTTTTTACGATATGTTTTTGTTAGGTTAAAGAGTCAGTTACAACGTCATATATTAATCCGGAACAGCAACATCATCATCAACAACAACAACAACAACAACAACAACAACACACACACACACAATACACATATACATAAACACACATACAGATAGCGCATAGCTCATACGAACACGTGCAAACCAACACATCACACACTTTGCAGCATGCCATAGACTGGAATCACTTTGAAATCAAAACCCGGCCACTATAGAGCGAATCAGACGCTTTTTCCACAACATTCATCATATTATGTACTATTAGCAGTGGCGGATCTAGGATGCCAAGGGGGTTAGTGCCTTTTGACCCACTTGAAAATTTTGGGCCCCTCGTCAAAGTTGTCAAGATCCGCCACTGACTGACTATTAAGAGACAGTTATAAGATGTAAAACGAACTCTATCGCTGTGCGCGTTCCTATTTTGTTTTAGCCAGCAGCCTGTCAAGGCGCGGAAGACTTTCTCCGTACAGAAGCACTCTTGACACGTGTCCTCGTTAGTGCATATGCACTTAACGCACTCGTATGATATAGTGCAAGGATCCAATGATGATGATGATGAGGAGGAGGAAGATGAGGAGGGTGAGTGTGGAAAGCTCTTCGCTGGAAAGAAAAATATTTTACATTTCTTCATATTTCTTTCCACATTCTCATCATCATCATCATCATCGCTATCATTATCAGCATCATCATCGTCGTCATCATCACTAACATGCATTGGCAAAGAGACTTATCAGACACAGAACAGCGTTCTCCAGAGAAACTTCAACGAACATATAAAAAAATCATTTTGCTGATTTTAATCTAAAATTATTAGTGAAAAATGTATTTTAAAAACTAATTCCAACCATTACAATTTTTAACATTCTTAATCTTTAATATTCTGACAGGAAACAGCTGGCGACCTAATTTCGATCTCAACAGACTTGAGACCAATCGAATATCGTGAATTACCAGAATTAGGTCAAGATGGTTTAATTTGTAAGTAAATGGCAGATCACTGATCGGGCTATTTTTAGATATATTTGGTTTTTCTCGCTGAGCTAACATTTGCGAATTTTTTAGTTTCAGTTTCGTTTTCAGGGCGAATTTGATGATGGTGCGAATGGCTCTCGAAAGCTGAATAAAAAAGAAACAAGATAGCATTACCCTACAATAACGCATAATTGATCACATAATTGATCACATAGTTAAACACATAAATACTTTCCAAATAATTATATTACTATATAAATAATAAAAATTACGAAAAAATTTATATATATATATATATATATATATATATATATATTTCGACTAGAATTAGGTCAAGATATACTATATATATATATATATATATATATATATATATATATATATATATATATATATATATATATATATATATATAGATATATATAGCAACCAGTGAAGTATCTGAAGACAGAAGATTGACAACGTGGACTCCTGTGCTACAACCGTGCTAAAATAATTAAATTTCATAATAAAATTAATTATTTTAATTAAAAAATTTGGTATTTTTAATTAAAAAATGTAATAAATATGCATAATTGAATAAAATATACGCAAAGCATACAACCAACCATTGCTTTGGTAAACCAGAGGGCTTTATGATCGACCAATGAGATAAATCGAATTGGTGTCAACAGAGATTTGACACCGTGAGAAAGCGTATGATTGGCTGATTTCAAATTTCCCATAGCCAATAGGGACAAAGTGTGCTTCAGGGCATCTGACATGTTTCTATTTTATTTAAAATATATAAAAACGCACCGTCAATAGGGCGCAAATTAAATAGATTTTTGAGGACATAAGCGTTGTTATAAAATTCTCAACATATATTACAAAATTCAATAATAAAATGATCAAATAAATGAATGAACAAACAAACGAACGTGCGAACGTGCGAAGGAACGGATGAATGAATGAAAGAATGAATGAACAAATGAATGAATAAATGAACAAATGAATGAATGAATAAATTAAAAAAGTAAATGAATAAAATAAGTTAAAATACTTTTCTGAATGTTTGTCATAAAGTTGTCTCTGGTACTGATTAAGTAGTCGGAACTGCAATGGAAAATTCATCATCATCATTGTCGTCGTCGTCATCACCATCATCATTATGACTATTGTTGTCATCCTCATCACCATCACCATCATCATCACCATCATCATCCTCATCATCATCATCATCAACTCACAGCTCTCAATAGCCTCTCAATGAAAGTATTAGAACAATCTAGAAGCAGACTGTCATCTTCATCGTCGTCATCCTCCTTCTTCACATCATCATCATCATCACGACCACCGCCATCGTCATCAGTACCATCTTTTCCTTCATCATTACGTTCGTCGTCGTCGTCGCCAGCAATGGAGGAGGGATTGAATTGCAATTTCAAAACGTCGACTGCAAATATCAATCAAACAATAAATGGATGCAGAAATACAAAAAAAACTCTCCTTATTATTATTCTTATTATTATTTATTATTTTTCTTATTATTGCAAACGGTGGATGTAAACAAAGGTGGATGCATGCCGCAAGCCCTCAAAAAAAGTATCAATGATCATTTCAAATTCTTGGAAAGAATTCATGATTCAGACCGCAAAAATGCAGAAGAAAAAGATCTGGATACCTGAGAAAACTGGAGGTCATACGACGAACTGCCTACTACCAGATAAAATTTAATTCCGTATGTATAGTGTATCTATGGCCTGGATGAATGGAAAGTATGCTAAACAGTCTGAAAACAGAATCCGTGAAGATTGATTGTATATTTCTGACTGGCTTATTTGTTAACGTCGCCTGTTGCTGTTTCGCAGTGACCTGGTTCGAACACTGTGTGATGCGTCGTTTAGCATGTATTCATATACGATGTTTGTGTGCTGTTGATTCCTCTGGACCTAGGAGGAGTGTAATTGACCTGTAACCTTTTTTAAACTTTCTTGCTCGTGTTTCTGTTATTCACTTAATTCTTATGATTCTATCTCATTAAACTACTCAAAGATACAAATATGAAAACTTTCTATTTTCAGATAGTTTCATTAGTATGCAAATTTATGCAACCTGACCTAGAATCTGAAACATTTCTCGACTGCAAGAGACCGACGATCCAGTTAAACCGCGAGAAACTATTTTCAATGCTTGCGTCTGCGGTTTGATAAAATAAATAAATAAATCAATAAATCAATCAATCAATAAATCAATCAATCAATCAACCAATCAATTAATCAATCAATAGGTCGGTTGGCCACCAAATCAATCAGTCAATGAATTGACCAATCAATCAACCAATCGACCAGTCAACCAACCCACAAATCTTGACTGAAATCAGTCAGAATATGGAAGAGTTCATTCCGAATGGAAGGCCAAACGACGTGCGGTAGGTCGAGTACACTGGTGTTGGCCAATAAACTCCTGAGGGCGGATCTTCGAATCTGATCGGTCAGAGAAAAGTTGTTATTATCATTAAAAGTTATTTCTAAGTGGGAATGATATTTTTAGAATCAGATTCTTCTTCTCTCTCGTGCCTTATCCTTTCAGGACATTGGTCACCATCGACCTCCACAAAACCCGATCTTTTAGCGCTTTGTAATAGTTGAAATGTGGTGATATTCAACAAGTGACACAAGGACTTCACGAATGTTATTCTTTGTCGACCGCGATTACTTTTCCCTGCTATCTTTCCAGTAGTTGTTACATTTTCCATTTTTCCTTCCGCACAATGTGAATCAAATCATAAAATGGAATTAGGTTATATATAATAGTGATAAAACCACCATTAGAAACGTCATTTTCATTATTTAATAAACCAAAAAATAAACAAAAACTTATTACTAATGTCCTAAAAAGAAATGCCATTATCATCATAACCAACATCATCATTGTCGTAATCATTATCATTATCATCATCGCCATCCTTCTCATCATCATCATCATCATCATCACCATCATCACCAACAACAACAAAATCAGCATCATCGTTATCATAACCTCAAACGGATTTTTCTTATTCAACTTGTATGCTATTTCTTGTAATGTTTCGTTTGTCAGAAACATGACTGTACTCTGAAGCAGCAGTAATAATAATAATAATTAAAATAATAATTATAATAATAATAATAATGAAAATAATTATTATTAATAAATAATAATAATAATAATAATAATAATAATAATAAAGGTAGTAGAAACTGACATGACCAGATAATGTTTCCTCACAAGAAGACTCGCAATCACTAAATAACATGGCGTCACTTCTCTTTCTCATTCCATCCCCAGCCATTCTTTTATTCATCCACACCTGACTCTTCGAACTATCAATCAGTTCCTCGACGTCGTCGTCTTCGTCGTCGTCTCCTAATCTTAGGCGGTAGGAAGTTAAGGTGGGAGGAGGAGGAAATTCCTCGATGAAATTCTCGTTCAAGTATTCAGCTGCCATGTTCATTTTTGTCGTTATGTTGTTTAACAGGTTTTTGTAACTGGCAATGAGAAAATAATTGAATCGCTATTATAATATGATTACTCAAAATATTATTCATAACAATTATTGTAATTAAGTATGAATAAAATAGAGAATAAATTGAAACAAGTTAACTTTGATTGAAAATAAATTTACTCCTGTGATTGCAGAAGTTTGTGAGAGATTTGATCAATGTAGAGATTATCCTGTCCAATCATCTGGTCCACATGTTTCAAAGCTAAATTTTCCATTTCTTTGTCTATGGCTGATCCAAATGTTGATTCTATGCTCGATTTTATGGCTTTTATCAGGCTATATCTGAAAGTTTCAATGTTTGAATTCATAAAATACTCAATATTTATTTATTAAGAAATCGGCGAAACATTGACTGGAAAAATAACATGGCTGAGAAATTATGCTTTTCTAGTTTTTACACATTTTAAGAAATATTCCCCACAAATTTTCATACTTTATTCTCATCTTTCACTCTTCAACTTCAAATATAAAAACAAATAATCATTGCAAGCAAATCTAAGTTACATTCAGTTGAGATTTTCTAAAAACTATATTAATTAATTAATTAGTTAATTAATATTAGCAAACAAGAATTTTCATGAAATTTCAATCATTTAACACTGCTATTACTTTGTAATTTATTTAAAAATGATTTGACATTGAAATTAAACAATTCAATAATAAAAAAAAATTATAATAACATTTTAATATAAATTAATATTAAATACAAATTTTTGAAAAATAAAAACATTGATTAAATAACTTTAAAAAAAATTAAATATTATAATATTAATATAATAAATATATTATATAATTATTTATATTATATATGAAATAAATAAAAAAACTATGTAAACTTGTGAAAGTTTTCATCGAATTCTTCGGCCATGGGCAGTTTGTTTTGAATGTCCTGGACTGATTTGGCGTCGTGCAGTTGGGCGGCCATGCTGACAATCACCTCCTTCATGTACATCCTGACCTCCTCATCCTCCAACTTTTCAATACCGCTCATGTTTACCTTCTTTTCTTTCTATTTATTCGTTTAAGAAGCTTTTTATCGCTGTTTTATTTTTTTTTGGCAAAATTTTGTAAACTAAACAAAGCACCAAAAAAATACTTCAAATTTATACATTTCAGTTTACAAGGCAACCTGGATTAACAATCAGGTGGTCGTACAACAATCAGGTGGTCGTACGATTTTTTGCGTCCGGTGAGGTCTTTGACAACCTCTTCCAACTCTAACTGGTGGCTAAACTAATTAATTGCAGGTATTAACTAATTATTTCAACAGACAAAAAATTTTAAAAAGGCATTTTTGCACATCGGCAAAATGGCACTTTGAAAATCAAGGACTGCTTGCATTTGAAACTGGTCAACTGGCTTCCACATCCACACATTGTGGCTCAGGAGACTTCTTGACCGCCCTAACTCAACTGCTGGTTGAGTTAAGTGTCCAAGAGGCGACTATTAATGATAAAAAATTATTGTACCAGCAGCCAGGCTACAACCAAAATCATGAAAGCTGCTATTGCAACAACGTATAAACCAGGCCTCACGAAAAAACTTGAACAGACAAAACTAAACTTTTCTTGAAATAAATTTTTTCTATTTAACTGAACTCCACACTGAAAATTTCAAATATCAACAATTTAAAACACACGCAACTGCAATACAATAAGATACCAAACCAATCTTTAAAACAAACGAACAAAAGAAAATAGGATACGATAAAATAAAATGAACTTAAAATTAAAATAAAATTTATTAACAAATGAATCAAAATCAATCGGTTTTTCGTGTCTCTTCTTTCTCGACGATTTCATCTTTCCTCCGTCGTTCGGAAATTATAAGAGAGATAAGAAGGATGAAGTGAGAGGCGTGCAAGGCCAGGCTGCTGTAAATTGTAGACGGATATGTGTTCCAACATAATTCTATAACGCCTAGCAATAGTAACCTGGCAATTTATGAAATCAATACTCACCAAATTATTCCACCAGTCACTTCAAATATGATTTCATGATATATGAAGAAATGAATAAAAAATAGAGAAATGTAATGAAATATCAGACCAATCTTGAAATACTAAATAGAATACAATATGGCAACGACAAAATGTGGCAAAACATAAACAAAAACTGTTATTGAATTACATGCTGATACAACTACAGCACACAAACGCACGCACACACACGTATGCACCCACACGCAAACACCAACCTAAAAACAGTGGATAAGTTAGTAGACCAGAATAAATAGGGTAGCGTGTGAAAGTACCAAACGTAGAACTGATAATGTAACGACCTGCTGAAGCACATTCCTAGCAAGTTGCTCGAGAACAACGTTAGAACTATTGCTGCTCGTGTGAGGGGGGAGATAAAACCTCACCAAATCGTTTCAAGTAATTGTAATAAAAATAAGTTTATTAAAAGACATTTTTTTTTATTATGAATCTTGTTAGCTATTTGAACAATAACTTAAATGAGATAATAAAAATGAATATAAAGAAATATTTATGAAGACACTTTTTTACGGGTCATCAGAGGAATGATTTGGACAAAACAATAAATCGAAAATTGCGATTTCAAATGAAAATTTACAAATAAAAAGAAAAAAATTATCAAAGTGTAACAGAAAAGATGAAATAAATATTTTACTATTAGGGTCAAGAGGGGTGTCATCCCGATGTCCGACGGCAGATGACCACAGTGCCCTAACTCCACCATACCTCCTAGACGTTTGGTACAAAATTTATAAAAGAAATATATTCTGTCAACGTTAATTGAACATTTGAGGAAAGCCTATTTTTATAAAATTTCAAATGAAACAAAAACAAGATATATTGACTTTCAGACAATCAATCAATCAATCTTCGTTTTGCGTCCAGAGACCCGGTTTCCCGAGGTAGGACGTTGTTTTCTTTGCCATCAACTTTTTGCGCCAAATTAGACGGTCAGTGTATCCATTTCATTTAAATTTAGAGCTTTCATGTCTTGCTCGATTGTTTGCGACCAGGACTTCTTTGGACGGCCTTTGGGACGTGTGCCAGGTACTTCAACAACTGCAAGAGAAGTTATGGCACTGTTTCCACTTCGTTTGACATGACCAAACCACCGCAGACGGTGTTGCCGGCATTCGTCCTTTATATCATCTAAACCAGAACGACGCAGGATTTCGGTAGATTTGATGTGGTCCTTCAGACTAATTCGTTGCATCCATCGGAGCATTTTCATGTCGGTTCGTTGAAGTTGTTGTTCCAGTTTGGTTGTCATTGGCCATGTTTCTGCACCATATAACAACACCGACGTATCACAGATTTATAAAGTCTTGATCGTAGTCTTGATCTTGATTTGACTTTCAGACAAATGTTAAAAAATAAGTTTGCTAAGAAGAAATTCAATCAGTCGTCCATTCATTTAATTAGACAGACAGACAGACAGACAGCCAACCAACCAGCCAAACAACCAATCACACTGACCTAGTCCAGTGAGTAAAAGTGAAGTAGATAATAAAAGAGAGATGTGCCAATAGAAGCAGTGCGTGAAATCTCCTATCCAGAAAAATTTCTTCTGACAGGAACCTCCAGTTAACAGTCCACTGGAAGAGAAACTGTCTGCTGAATTCGAATGATCGGATAATGTAGGCAGCCGGGTTCATCACTAAGAACGGCAGTCCCAGGAATATCTGAAAACAGTGTAAGATAGTAAAAGTGTGTTATATATATATATATCCTCACAATAAATTAATCCTAGAGACATGTAGACCCACACACACACACACACACACGCATGCACACAAACGCACACACATATATTACACACACACACTCACACACACACACGTGCACAAACAAACCTGTAGGCCAGCACATATAGAGAGTAGTTGGATCACCTGAGTGACCTTGAACCTTAGTAACATGAGGACGAGCAGGCCGGGAGCAAATAACAAGATGTTCATCTTTATTGATACTGCTGCACTGATTTGACAGAGGGTGATGATAAGTGTGATAGTGTTTCGATGAAAATCGCTATAATGATGATGATAGCTATGATAACAATTGAGATTGTGGTGAATATGTTTGATAAATTTGATAATAAAACATAAGACAGCCAACCAAGCCAATCAACCTAACAACTAATTAAACAACCATCCCACCAACCAACCAACCAACCAACCATCCAACCAACCAACCAACCATCCAACCAACCAACCAACCAACCAACCAACCAACCAACCAACCAACCAACCAAACAGCCAACCAACCAACCAACCATCTAACCCATCAACCAACTAACCAACCAAACAACCAACCTATAAATGAGACAAGCCGTCTTCCACCTATCAATAAGAATAAAGCAGACACTGGCGTAAAACAAAGTGATGGCAACGGGGTCGTTGAAGAGACGCAGCACGTATATGGAATGGATGCGATACGAGGCGCAACACATGAAGAAGAAAACATAGGGAGGTACCTACGGTTGTTATTTAGAAATGATATTATCATTTGTCATCATTTGTTTAATATTATTTCAATTTGTTAAAATGTTAAATACCATTAGAACAGTTGGAAGTTAAATTAGTTTACAAATTTTCCATGTTATAACGCAATGCTTTTCTCATGCTGATAACAATATTCTTTTGATAGATTCCTAAACACCAACAAATAATTACTTAATAAGTTAAAAAGAAACATGGCATAAATTTGAGTGAGTATTTTAACAAAATATCTATAATTATTATCTATCTCATTAATATTTAAAAATAAACATAATAGATATATATCATCTCTTCAACTAAAAAATTAAAAATACACATCCTGCAGGATATAAATGAAATAAAAGATTATCAAGAAATAAAAAATATGAAAAATTATGTCAACAAATCCAAAAAAGGTAAAACAACTTTTTTGGTCTTATAATAGATGAAGAAGACTGCGAGTAGTGTGCACTGATAGAGGTAGGCAAATACGTACTGCCCCAATCTTATGTTCGCCCCACGGCTGGTCAGATGGTACAAGAACATGAAGAAGTACACAAAACCTCCTGGATACCTAAATGGGAAGAATATCCATTGGGTATTTATTTAGAATTTTAAAAAAATTTGTATTTTTATATTTTTATTTATGTATATATATATATAATTTCTAGATTTTGTATTTTAACATTTTTTTGTGACAATATCATTTGTAACAAGAATTGGCTTCCTAATTGGTACTTATTTCAACTTCTTAAAATTGTTAGTCATTTGCATCTGTATATTGTGTTAATATTCTGTATAAATGTCAAATGGAAATAAAATATAATACGTAAAAAAAAATAATGCATGCATGCACTTGTGTGCATAAATATCTGTACATAAATATGTATGTAATTGTGTATCCATTTATGTGTGTGTGTGCATCCATGCACGTATCTATGAGTATGTGTTTAAGCATGTATGTATCCATACATGATAATGTAAAAACATGAACCAACACAAGTGGTCCAGTGTCTCCTTTTAAATGGTAGTAGTCATACGTTCCGTTGATCACTCCTTCCACCTCCTGCATGTATGCCTTCCAGTCAATCTCCGTGTCTATCAGTGTCGTAGTAAGTAAAGTCAAACGAGGATTAAGATTATTAATTAATATTGAAAATTTGATTAATTTAGCAACACTTAATCATTACTTTTCATATCAAGATTTAAAATTTCATTGATACTCAAATACAAATAAGATTGAAAATATTTGAGTTACATGCTCTCTATATCTATCTATCTATTTATAAATTTAATAATTCAATAAAAATAAATAAACATGTCATAAACCAACTGTTAGTGTTAGCTTAGCTATTAAGAGCTATTTGTTAGCATTCCATGCTAAACTTAAAATAAAATAAACATTACTAAGTAAAAACTAAAAGTTTCTACATAATAACTATTAATATTTAATTCAATTATTATTAATAAAATATTTCATTAAAATTTCAATTTAAACATTCAATTTTATTTAATTAAATTTGTAATGAAATGAATATGATGCATGAAATGATGTGGTGTGGTGGGCAGAACTTGAACTACTCACATTTGATGTTGTGAATGACAAAGACATTGACGAAAATTTCTAAAAAGAAAAATAAAACCATCGAACAAATGCATTTTTCTGGATTCTTTACTAAATCTACAAGTTCAACTAATTTTAAATTTTTTTCTAAAAACTTCACGACAGGCGCCATTGTAGACATAAGTTCACATTTAAACTTGCAGAGACAAATCAGTAGCAATGCAGTTTTAAAAAATAGAACATGAAGTTTGACTGAACTTGCTCTATTGTATTTTCCCAAATTATGCTTCCAACTCCGTTTAAACTCTAAAGTACTATAAATAAAGTTCTATTCTAAAATACAACAAGTTAGATTTCCCCGTTTTTACGATCTCATTTCCATTCCCAAACAATGTTTAAATTAAAAGCTGGCTTTTCCACAAAAATCATAGCAAATTAGGAAATACATATAATCATTAATCAGTGGTTCGGTGACGTATTGATCGTGTAGGGGACTAAATGCTTCATCGTTGTTATTAACAATCTATAATTTTTAAACCTGTTTGAATTTAATTACTACTTTTTCTTTTCTTTACTTTTGCCTTCCCTTTCCCAGTTCCCACTAGATAGTTACTGTTGGTTTTGCTTAATTTAATAAAATTATTTCTACTCGTCTTAGATTGCCCAATTTATAAATCGACAACAAAGGCGACAACAAACTTCGCCTTTAGTAATAACTAAAGGCGAAGTCTTACTAAATCGAACATTCCTCAACAACCGCACCTAAATTAGTGACGAAAGCTGTACAATTGAGAGGTACAATGCCACGGTTTAAACCCGGTGTGAGTTAAAACTGGACCTGTCTGGGCAAGTGGTAGACAAAATCGGGCAATGGAATTAACGGGACATTACAAATCTAGATAATCTTTTACGACGTTTTTATTAATACTTTGTAATATTATCATTATCATCATCATTAAATCTTATATTATATATAATGTTATTATATATAATCGTAATTACGGATACAGTGTATTTATAAATGCGACTATTATATAAATGAAAGTTCATTACATATTCTCATTATATAATCAATAATAATGAATCATCGCATGCTCCAACCAGCACCAATCATCAACAAAGTTAAAGCTAACCTATCAATTAATTCTCCATAATAAACGATTAATTATAATAAATTAAAATTTTCAATTTAATATTCATTCATGTGTAATAGATCTATTGCAATTTTTCCATACATCTTAATATACACATAGATAACCACTTAAATCATGTGTGTGTATATGTGTATATATATATATATATATGTATATATATATATATATATATATGTATATATATGTATATATATTAATGAGCGAATGAATAAATAAAAGGTTGTATTCGTGAAAACTAAACAATTAAAAAAGTAATAGCTGTTATAATAATTAACAACATTCTATAATTAATATTTCTTAATTATCATTAATATTATATGTAATAATATTAACAGATAATTACTTCCGAAGGTTCAGCAGACACACATGCATATATCTACATTCCAAAACTTCTTAATAAGCAACCTATATATATATATATATATATATATATTTATATATAACATATTTAATATATGTGTATATATATATATATTTATATCAATATATAACATATTTAAAATAACTGAAAGAAGGAAGAAAATTAATTAATTTCAATTTCCAAATTTAGAGATAAAAAGAAATTAAAAAATTATTAAAGTAATCATTTCAAACCTAAATTTATATATATATATATATATATATATATATATATATATATATATATATATATATATGTTCTCGAATGACCGATTGCGTTCATTTCTACCGTTATATTAAGAAGCTATAAGAAGCATATTATATTTTATTAGATTACCTTATATTAGATTATATTATATTATACGGTTGTTATGATTGATAATCAGGAATCGGCCGGCTGGGAATAGTTGGTCGGTATCGTACCGATGAAACCGGTTGTATTATTTAATTGAATCTATCCACATTTAATGCAGTTGAGAAATGAAATGTAAAATTTATTCCCGGAAAATATTCAAACTGAATCAGGTGTTTGAATATCTGGGGACATCTAAAATGTTAATGATAGGTGATGAAACTTGGTTGGATGTGTTATTTGCAAGTGTTGTAATTGTGTCCGGCTGGCCGTTTGACTCAGAACTGAAAATAACTTTAAATAATAAACACGCGCATACCTAAAATAAATTCTTTGAAGAATGCTATTTTGCCTATTCGTTATGTTTTAGATTATAGTGTATAAGCATGTACATATATACACATATATATAAACACTATATATATATATACGCACATACATACATGTATATACACACGCAATTATATACATATTTATGTGCCTATTTCAACACGCACGTATGTATGTAGGTATGTATAACGTGCACGTGTATGTATGTGTCCGCAAATGTGTACAAATTATGTACGCACATGTGTACGTTCAACTCTGTTCGCTGCGAGAAGTGAGGTTATGGAGGTTGTAAAGCGTAAAGCTTTCCGCTAAAATTAAAGGTTGGGACATGTAACGATGTATGGTTGGAGAAAAATTAAAGTATCATCCAAATGAACGAATGAATGAGTGAATTAATCCAGTGAGTGAATGCATGAATGTGATATCCAATGAATGAATGATTGAATAAATGAATGAATGAATGATATATCCAATGAATGAATGTATGAGAGAAGAAATGAATAAATTTATGAATGAGCGAAACCTGAAACAGATAAAAGGTAAAAATTGCTATTTGAACGAAGGAAAGTAAATTCAAAAGAATAATTTAAAATAAATAAATAACCAATCATCTAGTTGAATAATGAAAATAATTAATAAATAAGGATAATAATTCAACTTCATCATAATAATGAATGCTCACCCTTCACTCAAAAATAATATTACTAACTTGAATTAGAACGTTAAAATAATAGTCATCATCACAAAAAATTATCATTGTATATACATACATATACACACACACACATATATATAATATACATTATATATATAATATATATACATAATGTATATACACATACATAAGTTATATATCTATATATATAAAACGGTGATTTCAATAACTGATAAAACGCCAAAACAACATCAGTAATAAATATGTTAATAATAATAATAATAATAATAATAAGAATGTTAATAATAATATTATTATTAAAATTATTAAAATTCAGAATAATAATAGAAAATAAAAATTATATAAAAGAAGGCAATGAATGATAGTTAACGTTATCCGACTCTTAAAAAAAATACAATTAATAATAATAATAATAAATATCAAATAATAATAATATTATAATAATAAACAATATTAAATAATAATATAATAACAATAATAATGATAACAAATAATGATAAAAGAATGGCAAATACTAACGTTTAAGATAAAAATAAAATAACATTAAACGATAAAAATGATAATAGATGTGACGATGATGACATCGTCACATCTTCTCCATCATCACCATCATCATCATAGCCTTCTTGCCAGGATAAAAAGGAACAACTTTAAGACTTAATCACGGAACTCTCTCGTGGACTTCAACTCCAAAATTAAAATAAGATTAAAATAAAACACAATATTTGTGAAAGGAAATCTAATGTATATACAAAAAACGCACACAGACACACACGTATACGCAGGCACGCGCGCAAACACACTCACTCACGCACGCACGAACGCATGAATAGTACAGGCATCATACAGTATTAAAGTAAACACAAACACCAATAGCATAACTAGCTTAATAATAATAATAATAATAATATAAATAATAATAATAATAAATGACAATGATAATGTTCATAGTAATGATAATAACATCATGAATAATTACGAGTAAAAATAAATAAAACGACGCAACAAACAATCAGAAGCTAACACGACATTTAATCTTCATTCCTATTGGCTATTGAATTGTCCCTCTCCTCCTCTGCCAGCCAATCGAAGAAGCGATGGACCGATTGTAGGGCAACTCCTTTTCCTTGACTCGACCTAAGTTGGTCACTTCGCCACTCCTGGAATGCCGGTTCGATGGTAACTTCTGCATCGTACAGCAGCTCGAATAGACGGTATAATAGTACTGCGTGTGTGTGATTGTATGTGTGAGCTATTGTTTGTCCGTGATTCTATGTATAAGTTTGTATGCTTATGTGTGTACGTTCGTACGATTTTGTATTTATACGTGTATGTTATGTACGTATGAATAAGTATATAGACATGTTTTTATGACTTGAAATAATAAAATCAATTTGTTCATCAAAAAAACGTAAAACAGTCAACAAATTAAACCAACCAACAGACTGACATCACCGCGGAGGTGATACAATATACCTCATATAATAAATAAAGATAATAGATGAACTTTTATATATAGTGGATTAAAATTATATATTAAGGATGATTTGATGGGAAAACATCGCAGAGACAAATGAAACTAAATTTTTTTTCTCCTAGTCTTTCGCCAACGCATCAAGTGACCAAAAATATAGATATAATTAAAAAACAAACTTAAGAGCTGCAAATATAAAACATTTTTTAATTTTTTAAACACAAATCATCCATAATTATGCCATTATAAAAAATGAATTTCAAAGAAAAGTTATCCTTGTTAGTTGTTTTGATGGGTTTCGTACAAATCCTGACTGGTTTGGATTGCGCATTCACATAATTGCTGGCTGCAGATTCATCTGTTTTCCAGTGGTTTATAAAACATTGAAAAGCACTCTTTTGGAACCGTCGAATTTTTCGAGATCTTAAAGGCGAAAAAATTACTACTGAACTTATGACCGGTCCATGAATACCAAATAAAAAACCAATTTTGTGCAACGTGTTTTGTGTTTTTGGCATCAAATAAATGAAAGGGCTAAAATGGCAGAAAAATCTTAGTTGAAGGTTTAATAGCACTCAATTTATTTCCTTTATATTCCCCTTGGAGAGCCACAGCCTGACATTCAATGCCTTTGTTGTCTAAATGTAAAATGAACAGTGTTCTTACATTTGACAGGTTCTTGAAAATGTTTCTTTGTAGATTGCTGACTGATTTGGTGTTGGAATATCAATGCCCTCGAGATACTTAACGACAAACACCTGCTGCTTTAAAAAACGACCGACAGATTTGGGTTTGCCACAAGACCTCTTGCAACGCCTATGACTTATTATATTACATTTTTGTATAAGCAACACTGTCATTTCTCAATGAAACGTCCGCCATTTTCTAAACAACCAATTAGGAACGAGTTAGCAAGTTCTGGCACAGTCACTTGCGTTTGCGTCACATTTTTTCGTTTGGATGGTTAGATATAATTTACCTATGCAGGTTTTCCAGTAAAACGAACAACATGACGAAAGCAAAAGTTATGAAATCGGTATCCCTTGTAAAGAAATAAAAAAACATTGCGCAATTCCTTAAAATGATCATAACAAATAATGAACTCAAAAAATTTTTGTTACACAGTTTATAACAGTCCTAAATCAATTTATTAAAACGGTAATTCGAATAGTGCTAAGCGTTAAATACCATTACGATTTGAATTGTGAATTTAAATATAAATTAAAACCTTTTGGTAATTTTTTTTTTGATTATTCAATAATTGAAAGTACTCTAAAGACACAAAAAAGAGCTAAAACAAAACTAAGCCAATTAAAACTATGCTTTTTGCTTAGAACAAAACTTTCCTAAAATGCCGATTTTTGTAGACTTTGTTTGGGATAAGGAAAAGAAAGAGAAAACAAACAAGCTAACAAACAAACAAGCAAGCAAGCTAACAAACAGACAAGCAAAAAGGCTCTTACAAGGAGGATGAGAAAGTCTGGCGGCCAGGTCTTGCAATCCGAAAAGTATTTCGACCTGTCGATCGGGTCGGTCGACAGTCAGCGTTTTGATCACCGGCAAAAATTTTACCATTCGCTCTTCTTCCAACTGGTAAGCATCGTCGGAGTCGGAGCGTTCTGAAGTGATGGTGGGTTATTAAGTTTTTTTGTGATGTGGTAGAATGATGTGGAAATCATTAAATTATTATCAAGAGGAAATGATAAATCAGTTTAAAATAATGTGGAAATATGATTTCATGGTTTCATGGTTCAAAAAACAGATATTACAACCAACCAAACCACCAGATGCTAAAATTAGCTAACGTACCGACTCACCATCTGACCAACCAACCAACCAAACCAACCATCCGATCGATCGACCGACCGACCAATCACGTAATCAATCAACTAACTTAAAAGGCAACTCATGCATAGAGCAGAACAGCAGTCACTCACAGACTTGAGGTCCATGGGATTGCCTCTCTCCTCAGACAGATACATGTTGTCCTGAAATTAGTGATATAATTAAAGTATTCAGATTAGTGAAATATATGGATATACTTATATAAGTCTTTTAGTACTAGTAGTTCTAAGTTGGTTGTATGCGTCCATTTCATCATTTCTAGGTTACACAATGTACAAAAGTAGATTGACAATTTCATGAAAAAAAGTTTTTTCTATAGATGGCAACGCTCTGCTTATGAAAGTATAAAAGCAGAGGATGGAAAATGGAAAGTTATGAATGATGAAAAATACAATAAAAATAGAACAAAAAATTATAATTTAACGTAATTAAAAAAGTAAAAAAACACACACCAAAAAATTTAAATAATAATAAGAAACAAACAAAGCAGTAGTAAAAGACGTCAGAAATTAAAAAAAAACAACAACCACAACAACGACAATATATAAACTCATAAAGAACAACGATAACAGCAGCAAGAACCTACATGTATCCAATCAAATATTTGTTGAAATGTCGTGTTGGTATTAGCAAAGAGATCGATGAGTTCGTTTTTATTCTCGTTGACAGAAACCAATCTGTTCCTCCTGCTTCGACCTTGTGTGGCTTCTGACTCTATCGTGTATTCTATTTTCTGTTGGGAGGTGATGTGAGTGAATGTGCCTGTATTTTTGTATTTGCATGTTTGTATTTTTATTTTTATCTTCCTATGTTTACATTAAGATATTCATGTATCATGTTGTTTAAATGTTTTCTGGGTGTTGGCTCGGCTTTCTTACTCGTTTAGTCATTAATGAGCTTGTATTGATAGAAAACATCGGCGAGCGATTTGCTTGCAATTACTATTTACAGTTTATCTAAAACTGGCTCACTCATAAAACAGTTATAAAATATCTCTATTAGTCTCATTTTTTAAAATAATAAAAACCAACTTAGGGCGAGGTGCTTTTGCCATTACGTCACCTTAAGATTTGATTAGAAACAAAGATTTGAAATTGACGTAAAATTTGTTGACAAGACAAAAACTGGTGACAACTCACAACTCTGTCACTCAGTTAACACTGCTATGTTACTATTAAAAAATGTTCATGAAGAAACTGCTGCCAATTTTGATTTCAAGAGCAGATAAGAAATACACTGCAAATTTTTTATAGAATAACTTTTTAATGACTTAGCTATTTTAACGATCAAAATAAGATACTGTGAATAAAATATTGTTATCCCAGAAACAATTTTTGTGATTGAAACTAACAAGCCACTACCGTATAATAGATGAATAAATTTCAACAAAATAATATGGAGGCAAACATATAAACCATTTAAATATAAAACATACTATTTCAAAACTATTGTTATAATCGACCCCTTGAACTTGTAGGGTATGGTTATTTTTCTCAACGTGGATTCTTGACTCCTGAACAGAATTATTTCAGATGAACTTTATCAGAAAGAAAATCAATCACTTGTGTGAATTTCTGTGATCAATCGATAAAATAGTTAGAATACAGCACAATAACTAATCGACAGGTAAATCACGGAATACAACTAATCGTCAATAATTAAGCTTCTCTTGTCAGACTAATTACATTGAGTTCTTTAGCCCTGGTATCCGTGTTGTAGCTTCCAACGATAGCCAAGAGTTCGTTTATACGTAGGTTCAAGATTTCCGATAGATGAACACAACTACTTTAAACGAAAACTAAGTTGAACGTTTATTTAATACCAGCAGTAATATAAACAATAAATTAATCCCAAATAACTACGTAAATCACATATACGAATTCTACGTCAACTGTTGTTCCGTCTATTACTTACCTGTTTTCCTCTCTCTTGTGTGTCTCTCTCTTCTGTTTTCCTCTCTTCTGTCTCTCCTGGCATTGTTTATATAGCTACCGAACTGCTAGTAAATGTGTCAAATGCTGTGTCACGTGACTTTTTTTTACAACCGTTTTAATTATTTACGCCTTCTAAACAATTTAGAAGCGCCTAACGCAATTTCTAACTACTAGTCCTTATCTCGGCTTCACGTCTGTAACACTATTCTTTGGAAATGGTTAGCCAACGAAATATACTGAACACCGGATTAAACGTGGTCGTATTTCAAACCGTTAATGACTAATTTTGTGTTTGATAGATCGATTGCAACGTTAATATTTGGTTAATTTAATCAAAAGTTCGATGCGAACAATAAAATACACAGGAGTATCAAGTCATTTCTTCATTAACCTTAAAAGTTTCAATCGAAAGTGAAGTTACTTTTAACTTCAAGTCTCCTGAATTCCCAACATTTGTGTTTTGGCAAAACGAAACCCAAACGTTGCCAAACACGGCAAATATTATATCACTGACGAAATTGTAGATTAAAAAAGATAACAAATGTGTCATAAAAAATAATTGAATCTAAAAAAAAGACTAAGTAGTAAGTTGTGCACTCAAATGAATAAAAAATACGAGACTAATGAAGGAAAGAGGCGAAGATGAACTCAGAACAAAGAAAAAAAAATGAAGAAGCTGCATAGAACAGAGGAAAAAATGACAACAAATTAACGAGTAAGATTCGCTAATAACTATAATCAAAGCTTACGGAGAAGCGGTGACAAATGTCTTATATAAGTGTCCGAAAATCTGAGAAAAACAACCATTATTTTTTGAAGAAATATACTGAGATATTAAATACGAACTACTAAGAACCAATAATAGTTTATCAGCGACGTGACAATGATGATAAGTTAAAAGAAAATAAGTATTCAACGATCTTTAAGAAGTCTAGCGAGCAAAATCCCAAAAATATCTCCAACCCGGCCGACTTAATTTCTACACGAAACTTTCTATCTTACACTTGCTTTATATCTTAAGCTCACTATATAAGCAATATCATGAAAATTTCAAACGTAAATAATATGAATAATTTTTTATATTATTTCTACCATATGATCCTTATTTAAACAAATATATTATTCATTTGGTATCTCCTTATTTATAAAACATTTTTTAATATGGATATTATTCGACTTAATAATATAGTTATTACTAGATATTATTTTTGAAACTGTTAACTTGTGGCAGCTACGAAAAAATTTCTTTTTGATTATCCATACCCTTTCATTTCATTAATTTCTAACTTACCCTGACATTAAACATAATTAAACATCTGCGTCTCAAAACGTTATTTTCGTTAGCTGTCGAGATTTTATAACGATACAAGATATTTCATATCGTTATTCAAACGAGACATTTTTGAAAAACCTTCGCATCAGAAAAACAGGACAAAATTTTCGTCATGAAAAGTTAAAAATAAATAGTAAATTTGATTTTTTGTGTGAATTGAACGACTTTGGTTTCTGTTTATTTTAGTTAAGTATATTTGCTAAACTAGTTTTAGCGAGAAAACAAATTAGCTCAGACTGAAAATGTGCCATCAATAGCATCATGTGACCATCTACTGGTAGCATCTGCTCATAACGTGCCAAAGAAGGGAAATAATAAGCTTGGCACATCAAAAATAACGTTAATGACTTTTTATAACATTCCGATTTAAATAAGTACATTTTCAGTTTTAATTTTGATGCTTTCATTTCAAGCATATCTTAATTTGTTGCTAGCCAAATAAATATACAGCGGTAAAAAAAGCATCCATTATTTTAAAAAATCGAGATCTCAATATCGTATCGTTATTTTTGATGAAGTTAGGAACAAAACTGCGATACCGCAAATAATAAAGTGACGCAGATGCTTACTTGAAATATACATGTACAGCACACATAATACACATATATAACATAAAAATAAATAATATATACAGTCAGACCTCCTTATAACGAACTTCTATACAACCTTAGAACTTTAAATACAACACTGTTTCTACACAGTAAAATATAAGTAACATTTTAGCATCACTGTTTTACGCTTGTGGCTATAACATGTAATGTAATTTTTCATAATTTTTGAAATTATAATATGATCTATTGCCTCTTGTTAAAAAAATAAAAAAAGGCGTTTGTTTTCATAAATATATAGGATATAAACTCCTTTTATACAATATAGAATTTTTTCTATATCGTGTAAATATATATAGTTTATAATAACTAATAACACAAGCATTATAAATGTATTTGTATATTTACAATGCGTATGTTATTATAAACTATATATATATATATATATATGTGTGTGTGTGTGTGTATGGGTTATTCTTCATCGTTATTCAATATATTATATATATATATTATATATACATAAATTATAAATTAATTATTATATTATATTATTATTATATTATTATTATATTATATCTCTGGACGCTAAACGAAGATTGATTATAAATGTATTTGTACACTTTAAATGTCATTTTTATTTTTATGAAGCACAAATAAATACATAAAAATACATATATAAATAAGTACAACGTAATAGGTTGAAAGACAATGAGGAATATATTGCAATATATATAAATACCTTTACCTATTTATCCTTTCATTATATAAAAATACTGTTATCCTAATATAATTTACATAAAATACAAAACGAAACGCTCGCACTTTATGGCTCTATTGGTAATCCACTTACAAATTTGCGGACGAATTCTGTGACTGGTGTACATTTCACCAGGTCTTCCCACTTCAATTTTGACTTCTTCCAGAGATCACTGGCTGCATGGTGGCCCTGCAAGTATCAATCAATGTTATAGTTCAACTACATGTATTGAATAAGTGAATGGGTTTTGATTGAAAAATAAATTAACAAGTGTCGGAGTCAGAGATTTTTCATTTGACTTTGACACTCTGTGATTAAAAAATAATCATAGCTTGATTGAGAACATTTTTCATAACCATTACAGAAAAAACACAACCAAATGACACAGTTCATAAGTATAAACTTTAAAAGCAGAATCACATTCATGACATCCGTAAATAAAATCTTAGATACACAAAATTAAAAGCATCCTTTTATAATTCTAATCACAAATTAAATATTAATATTAACCAGATGTTTGCTGAGAGCATCAACAACTACTGCCATCAATCTAGCCCTATTATCCTCAACGTCAGCTCCACAGTACTCAAAGTCTTCCTCTTCCTTGATCCTGGCAAACGGAGCCACTAAAAAGTTTAATGGAATATCATGACTCTCCAAGAAAAGTGGACAGACGATTTCCCCAATGTACTCCCAGATTTGAGGTATGTCAATAACTGCATCAAGTGCAAAGTGTGATAGTCTGGTGAGTGCTGCAGTGTAACATAAGGGTGATTGAACAAGATTTTTCTTCAATAGATGGCGATGAAGCGTGCCTATCTGGTTTCGAACTTGACTGGATCTCTCAACTGTGTACTCCATGGATTTGTAGAAAAATCGACGAGCGTTCAGTTCGTTTTCTTTTACGTTGAGATCAGCGATACATTCCAGAGCTTCTTTAACGTCGTTCAAGTGTAAGTATTCATCGATTATATTTTGAGCTTTTCGCTCTAGCTCCTCAGATGATAAAACTGATGCTGATGTTTTAGTTGTCGTCGTCATTGTAAGTGGCGTCGTTGTCATCATTAGCGATTCAGTGATGGGTTGTTGTGGTCGGAGTGAATGTGAATGCTGAAAGGGTATCATTGGTTGTTGCTGCGGTGATTTGGGTCTTTCTTCTGACAATTGATATCTGTATAAAGTTAAAGTAACAATGTAGCTAATATACACAATAAGACATGAATGTGCAAGCACAAGCATAGAAGTCATTTATATAAGCAAGCATGCATCACTTACGAAGGTTTTTCGTGTGAGCTTCTTCCTAGAGTTTGAACTTTAGACTGGTTCTGTGGTCCTGACGACCTACCCTTGTATGAGTCACGAGATGGAAGCTGTAGGCTCGCTCCTGATCTTGATGAGTCCGTCGTTGAATCAATCGAATTTGAGAGGAGGGAAAATCTGTTTTTTAGATATTGGCTAAATAGATATTGTTTTTTGGTTAGACAATGTATTAAACAGATACGCACTAATATATTAAACATGAACACGTACAAAACATTGATTTACATAAAAATTTCATGCAGAGGATTTACTTATTTGAAAATATCTTAAAAAATCAAGAAACCAACCTGTTTAATAATGGTTTTTCAGGTTCTGGAGGTGCAGCAGCTTTCAATGCAGCACCACCCATGCTACCTCTACCCCAGCCACCTCGACCACCGGGTCCCAACTGTATGTTGTCATCCACATTTGTCCTGGTCAGTTTGATTTTCGACATGTCCAAAGGAGTGGCCTTGGGTGGTCTAGAAACATTTGTCCAACCATCTTCTTTGATATTGTTGGACGATTGAGACATCATGTTGGGCTGGTTGAAACGATGCTCCGCTGTTTTTTGAACGTGTGTGAAGTGTTTCACTGATTGTTTGATAGAAAATTTTATTGATATATCAATTATAAAATATCTAATATATAATTTATTACTATAAGTTTTGTTTCAGCCATTCACAAATAAATTAAATTTTTCATTTTAATTTAATACTAACAACAAAAAACAAAAAATCCAAGAAGCAACAACAGTCAATCAATCAAACAAAACCAGATACCCCCGATACAAACAGCCACATACAATGAAACATACCTTGCTTTTTCCTCTGTGCCTGATCAAACATAGCAGCCTTCTGTTGCCTCTCTTCTTCTTCCTGTTTGGCTTCCTGGTGAATCTGATCGATTGTCTTTGGATTGTTCTCTCGTCTCGGCACCCAGCCCGATTTCCTGAGATCGATAACATCTAGCATCATAAAGCGGATTCTCTGTGAGGATTTCTTCATGTTCACAAAGTTCTTCATGCGATCAAAATAGGCATCCATGTGAATCTGAGTGTGAGAGTTAATAGTTGACGGAAAATGTTAGTAATGTAATGTATGAATGACAAGACTGAAAATAACTTGAAACATTCAAATAACGTTTGTGCAAGAAATACATCTATGAATTCAACCATCCATGCAAACATATCAATATTAGGTCAATCACATCAACTAGCTACTACAACCAACCACTCAACCAATCAAATCAAACCAACCTTTGATGGGCCTTGATCTATATCTTTTCCAATGGTGGACATAAGTTGGCAGAGGCACTCTAGACTATCCTCATCCTCAGTGAATTTAAACAACTTTGTCAAACATTCGTGCATAATTTTCTCTGTAAGCATCTTTAGTTTGAAGAGCTCCCCGATGAATTTTATATTACCTAGTGAACGTTTCTTGGCTTTCCACATTGCATCGTTCTTCTCTTCAATTAATTTTTTTTTATCATCTTCCTGTTTTATGATTGTCAAAAGTTATGTTAGTTGATGACAAAAACTTATGGAAACAAATAAAGAATGCAAAATTAATGGCATCATCATCATAGCAACAACAACAACACAACAACTTACACTCAAGGTAGCATCATCTATCTTGGATTGGATAACAGCTATCACCTCCTCCTCCTCCTTATCTTTCTCAAACTCAATCTGACACTTGGTAAGCAGAAGCTTCCGAAATGAAACCGTTTCCTCAGGCTTTGAATCCAATGGTACATTCATCTGTTTGTTCATTCATTTGTTATGGTATGGGTTAGTTGGGGGTTAGTTGGTCAGTTAGTTAAATAGTGATGATGGTCACAATGGTTAATTTATGTAATTGCAATGATGATAAGCACAAAATTTCGATTATGTTGCATATGATGATGATTTTGAATACGTTGATAGTAATGATAATGATGGTATAAAAGGTGATTACAAATTTACAAAAATTGTATTAATTAACAACAATAAACTAACCCCAAAGAGGCATTTAGCCATGTTGGCATAGGCAATTGCAAAGTTTGGTTCACTGACAGCCTGGTTTAAAAAATAAAACAAAATTATGTTTGAACTAAAAAATAAATTCATCATCAATAAATTGTCAACTCCACCAATATCATTAATAAATTTTTTAACATCAACAGTCATAATCACCATCATCACCTCACCTTTTCAAATATGATATTAATGCACCCTTTCAATCTTTCCTCTGTGTTGATGGGCAGATGTCGGACCTGCTCAATGAGAGTTTGAAACTTCTGGGGAGTTAACTTGTTCAGGATGGCACGAATTTTCTTGTAAACAACCTGTTATTAATGTTAAAGTTTATTGAGTTAAAGTTTTTAATTTTTCAGTGATTATGATAAGAAAAAAATAGAGTGAATTTAGAAAAAAAAAGAAACAATTAAGAGACAGATAGAAACTGAGTGTATAAATGAAATTAAAGTATTTCTACTAATTTCCCCATACAGACCTCGGTTTCACTTGAAGCTTCTTTCTTAGGTTTCCATGCATTTTCAGCTGTATGCAGAGTTATGTCATTCTGAAGCCTAAATTCGATAACTTTCCTCTGGACTTGATCGTTGCTCAGTTGTCGTTTGGCCTGGTTCTGCCTGTTACCTTCTTGTCCTTTCTTTGCCGAGTATCCTCTGTTCATAGAAGAGGATGATGATCGGACATAATTTGAAAAGTCATTTGGAAATTGTTCTCCACCGCTGGCATTCGACAGGAGGGAATCTTGTCTGCTCAGGTTTGGCTGATTATGTTTGTGATTATGTTAATATTTTATTACATTGAAATCAAACATATTTTTATATTATTAACTTCTTACAAATATTTTAGATTAATTTCTGAATACAATAAATATGATAGTAGTTGCTACACATTAACCCCATTCTTCAAAGTATTTGGTAATTTGCAATGGATAAAAATCTCAAAAAAGAGAAAAAACATAAGCACTGACCTTGCTGAGAACGATGTCAAGCGGGGGAAGGTCGGGTTTAGTGATGGCTTCGGAAAATTGAACTTGCAACAGAAAGTTTCGGTCGTAACATTTCTTCCCTTCAGGGTTCAGTGGTGACCATTGATCTATTCAGTGATGATGAAAAACATAAATTATCGTCATGAATATTGTTGACACGGCGAATTTTGTGATGATGGGTTTGGTTGATAAAAATGTGGTGTTTGATTTGACTTCCCAGTTTAGTCAAGAAATTAGTAAAAACTAGTGAATAAATAAGTAAGCAAATAAATGCATTCATAATTAACTTAGCTTTTAAATAGTACCACCATTAGTAGCAGGATAATTAAATATGATAAAAATAAAAGAAGAAATAAAAATATTAACCTTCAGAATATGTATACTTCAACTGAGGTTTTGATCCTTTCCTAGGCAACACTTCCTTCCTTGCAATATCATCCCCGTTATTATCATCAGTAGTTCCATCGCCAAGTGCATTTTCACTATCACTTCTATTAACAACCTCTGCTTCACTTATGCTTGCAATAGTTTCTGAAGCAGTAGCATTGGTAGTAGATTGATCAGTATTAGAAATTGGGGCAGTAACTGTTGATGTATCTGTACTATCACTGGTAGCAGATGAAATGGCTGTGCTGGCTGCAGAAATATTTTCAGAACTAGTTGTTTTAGCAAGAGAGGTAGCAGCAGCAAACGTAAGAGTAGTATTTTCAAGTTCAGTAAGTTTGTCGAATTTTGTTGTCGCGTCAGTAATCGGTTGAGAAATAGTTGGTGGATAGTCAGCATGGACAACTGATGATATTGCCGGTTGTTCAGCAGTTACTGGTTGCTCAGTTATTGGTTCAACTGGAATGACATCAGCAATATCTGCTGGCATTGTAGTTGCTGACTTTTGATCATCTGATGATGTGCTTTCCAAAGGTGGTGTAGATTGCCTAACATATGGTGATGTGGAGGAAGAAGATGATTCTTCAATTGGTTTGTCTTTATGCTGCTGTTCATCAACAGCTTGTGCTTCATTGACGGTTGCTGTCATTTGCTGCTCAGACACTGTTGCTGTCTCCTTTCTTTCTTTAATCTCTGTAGAACTAATCTTTTCATCAGATTTGGACACTTTGCTACTTGAAACTTTACTCGTTTTACTAGTATCTACAGAGGCAGTACTTGCAGCCATCTCTTCTACAATTTCGTTGCTGATCATTTTAGTGTCAGCTGGAATTTCAACCTTGTCACTTTTGTCTTTCTTTTCTTCATCATTCTTTTTTAGTTCTTTATTTTGTTTCTTATCATCAGATACTTTAGTTTTATCAGATGTAGTAGCAGTAGCAGAAGAAAAAGTAGTAGTACTAGAAGCATTGGTTGTATTAGTGATGTGCGACTGCTTTTGTTTATTCTGCCTTCTAGAACCTTGCTGTTGTCTATTCTTGTAGTCCTGAGGTTTGTCTTGCCTTTGTTCAGCAACATTGTGCTTGGACCTCTCTTGTTGCTTAGCTACTGGTTCTTCCTTTTTAGCCTGCTTACCATTGCCCTTGTTGGGGTTTGATTCATTGTGAGATGTCGACTCTGCTTGAGTTTTCTGTTTATTAATAGCACCTTGTGTTTGATTGACAGGTTGGAACGATGAGGAAGGAGGAGGAGGTGTTGCCTGCTTTACAGGTTGGACTGGCTTTGCAGACAGCTGCTGCTGATTGGCTGGTGGCCTCTGACTGACAATGGATGACCAGTTAACTGGGGCCATTGGCTGTGCTTGCGGCTGCTCATTTGTGATTGGCTGTGAGGCAGCAACTGTTGATGTTGTTGTTTTAGCTTGAGTCGTTTCTAAAAATGGCTGAGTTTGGGGTTTTGACGTAGTTGCCACATCATGTTGTTGTTGTTGTTGATGGTGGGAACCATGTTGTTGCTGTTGATGATGGTGATGATGAGCCCCAGCTTGCTGCTGCTGATGATGCTGCTGAAATAATTAAATATTATCATAATATTATATATCAAAAAAGTCAGTAATCAATTTATCAGATTAAAATTAAAAAACATATAATTTCTTGTTATTCTATTGAAATTATCCAATAATCAGGCCATACAAGTTGACCAAAAAATGAAGCATTGAAAATAATAGACCTCACAATGCAATAAAAATTATAATAGTGAATGACGAAAATGGTGACAATTTTATTTGTAAAGAAAATAATTAATTGTATGTAGTTCTAACCCTAACCTTGTCCTGATTGGACAGATCCTTGTTCCCACCTCTGTTCTTCTTTTTGTTCTTGCTCTTGGTTTCAATCCCTATTTATAATTATCATTACATAAAATTAATATCATATTAGTACTGTTAATCATAATAACAATATAGCAATTACAACATCAAGAGCAATCGTAAAATTGTAAAAAATTTATATCAATTAACACATCATTAAATAATAAAATATATTTAACATCAATAATAATAATAACTACTGGTGACAAAATTGAAGTAATTTAACATAATTATAATATAATTCTGCAGTTGTTTTGTCGAACAGTGCATTACCTTATAAGGCACATTTATCTCATACAGGCATATAACAAACAACATGAACATCTAGACACATCAGCAAAAATTCCTTAGTATGTTTAACTAAATACATATGTATAAAACAAAGACATACACACACAGACATTTGTAGATACACTGATTACTATTACTAACATCACCCTAGCTAATAATACTCCTAAGTTAATGTTTTTTAAAACTAATTTGAATAATAAATTGTTGCAGGCAAGGACAAACTCTAAACCACTAGTACAGCTACTTGTTATAAATACATTTGTATATACATACACACACTATATGTATATATATATATAATAAGTATTGAACATACAGATGAACAAACATATACATAAAAATATACAAATACAGAGATACATCAGATGAAGAAACATGTCTATTCTAAATCCTTCCAATTATTTAACTAAGACTATTATTTATTTACAAAACTAAATGTACTAACTCAACTAAAATGATAAATTTAATAAGAGTTTTGCAAGTAAATAGTACATAACTAACCCATGATTTGAAATAATCATTGCATAACTATTCCATTTATACGCAGTTGCATGGGCACGTATACAAAAATGTATACAAAATTGTATATGTAAACATATACATGTATAAATATACAATTACATACCTTACTTAAACATATACAGATAAACAAAAGTATTAATAATTTTTGCTCAATATTTAAAAATTAATATATTTATTTACATAATCTTTTTTCTACTACTACTTCACTCTCATATACTCAGTCTAAAACAATATGCATGTAAGACCTAAAACATGTTAATGTTTTGCTTGGCTTATATATGTGTATGTGTATATACATTTTTATATATATATATATATATATATATATATACATATACATGTGGGTGCATGTATATTACACTATACACATTTATATCTTATGAAAAAATATTAGCAAAACAATATTATATATACATTTGCCTTCAAATAGAAATGGATAACTGTTTTTCAAGTATGAATTTATGGAAGCATATACCTATTTTTGTATATCTGTGCATGTGTGAGTGTGCCTGTGTATGTGTGTGATTGTCTGTTCATATGTATTGTATGTATATGTGTGTATAAAAGTAATAAACAAACACAAACATAACACACACACACACATGCACATGCACATATAAAGATAAATGAGTAAAAGTTCAACAACTTGATTGCACTATCATGTGATCATCGTAACCAACATTTTTAACATCACCATATCTTAGCCTCCATTATTATCACCAAAAACTTCATCATCAGAAAAATGCTCATCATAATTACCACATCAAGCTGAAGAATAAATATCACAATGAAACAAAATATATAAGTAAAAATACAAAAAGTTCAGGCAAACATACGCAAAGAAAATACTATTTTGTTACCTTGGTTAACATTCACACATTGTTATCTCATACAACTTGTGCTCATACATAAAAGAGTTGTATGTGCAAACAACATTAGAACACACGAGGCAGACTTATATACATATACATAGAGGAAAACATACAACTTTTCCCCTACATACAAAACTCAAAATAGCAAGGCTGATTATGGTGATAAAAAAAAATGATAAACAAAGAACAAAATAAACAAAAAACACTAACATTCTGATCCGCCATCGTCCTCAACAGCAGCTTCAACATTAGATGTCTCCTTTACAACCGGTTTTGTTACAGTAATCTGGGTGGTTTTCAGCATAGTTTGTTGCTGTTGTTGTTGTTGCTGCTGATGTTGTGGCTGGTGAGGTTGTTGTTGTTGATTACTTTTCTGCTGCTGCTGAAAGTTTTGTTGTTGTTTGTGCTGTTTGCCTTGCTGATGTTGCAGAGGCTGTTGTTGATGTTTTTGTTGCTGTTGATGCATGTTTGGTTGATGTTGTTCTTGAGCACTTGACGCAACAATTTTATTCGCTATTCTTTTTTGCTGAGTTGGTTCCTCAACAACATTGCTTATAATAGTCGAACCATTATTAGCGATTGAAGAAACCATTTCTACAGAGTTCATTGAATTTGCATGTGAATTCGTCTGTATATTTACATTTGTTGTTTCCTTCTGACATTCAACCACAACAGGCTTTGAAGATTTACCACTGTCATTTGAAGAATCAACATTTTTTTGCAATGTTTGCTCAACAGTGATGGACTGTTGCACTTGGTGCTGATGCAACATGTGATGCTGCTGTTCTTGATTGATATTCTGGGGAGCCTCAATTGCCTGCTTAGGCGACTCCTGATCACCGCTTGTCTGCACATCACTGCTGTGGTGGTGGGTCTGAAGGGTGGCTGCCACTTTCGATGCAAACTGTTCCTTCACTGACAATGCATGTTGCTGCTGTTGAAGATGTTGTTGCTGGTGATCCGCACTGGTGTTACTTGGTCCGTGATAGAACATCGATTGCTGTTGCTGTTGTAATAATTGAGGTTGACCTCTCTGGAACTGGGGCTGTTAAAACAGTAAATTATCAAGCGTGTTAATGATAAAAAATTATTAAAGATTGAAATAATATTAAGAAATAAATTTTGCATTCCCGTTAAAACTATTATAAAAATTTTTTCTTTTCTGTCACACTATGTTGAAACCATGTAAAAGTCTATTATAAAAATGAAAAACTATACAAAATTAATCTGAATAAAAATAAGACAAACAGCAAATCCAACGCTTGAATTGCCAGCACTGGCAGATATTCCTCCTGATCCGCCAGCCATCCCTAAACTATTAGGGACCTGTGCTTGAGTAGCTGTTTCTTTGCTAGCGACATCCATGAGATTAATCCTCTCCCCAGTTGTCGGGTTCACTATGTCAATCATTCTTTTAGTTGATTTTGCTGGCTGCGATTGATGTTGAGTCACTTGATATTGAGGAAGATGTTGGACTTGTTGTTGCTGCTGTGGTTGCTGCGGTGGCTGAGGTTGTTGTTGTGGCTGAGGTGGCTGCAGTGGTTGCTGTTGAACTGTTTGGTAAGCTGTGGGAAAAATAGGATTGGAATAAAAATTAAAAATAATATGCACAACTTAAAATATAGATAGATATGAATCATTCAATTAATAAAAAAATATGAATTTGATAAAATAATGAAATTAAAATCAAATCAGCTTACTTTGAGTTGTATAATAAGGGTAGGCGGAAAGATTCATAATGCCAGTTGGCTGGCCATTGATAACATACGATCTTTGTGCCTATTTGTAGCAAAGAAAACGATTCAAATTTAAATAATAAATTTGAAAATTGATTAAATCAAAAATAATTATTTAAGAATTGAAAATTTTACAAAAAAAAATCAAAATAATAACCATTTGAGCCTGTTGTGGATACATATAAACATAACCACTATCAAATGTGCCTGGGGGGGCATAGATAGCCTGTCCCTGATTTCGACTATACTGCTGGTATGGTTGGCTGGCAACAAACTGTTGATTAGGCGGAAGGCTGTTCTTTACAGCCGATCCATAATCATTAGCCCTGTTCTGGGCCCCGTGATTTGTTGGATGCCTATTCTGCATAACTCCAAATTAGGCAGAATCTGCAAAATGAATATAAAATTGTTTAGAAAGATTTAAATTTAAAAAATTGAATAAAGATCAACAATCAAAAATCAATAAAAATAAATTTCAAAACTAACTTTTCTCTACCCTTCAACCAACAGGGACTTCTTAGAGAACAGAAATTTTCCTCAAGAATAATTCAATTAAAACAAAAGAAACTTTTCTTCTAATTTCTCTCTTCTCTTTCTAAACAAAATCTATAAATTAGTTGAATCAAAATTTAGTGATTAGGGAATTTATACATTTAATTTAAGTTTTATACAATCAAAATTTACATGCATTTCAATTGTGAATAATTTTAAAAATTTAATTTTAAAAATTAAAAGCTATCAAGCCAAATTTAGATCAACAAAAAGCATGATAAAATTCTAAAAATGGCGGCATCACATGCTACAATATAACATCACATACGCCAGAAAGGGAAGAAACAAAATAATTGAGCCTCCATGATGGCATATGTTGCGTAATCACGGTTGTGTAAAGTTCAACTAGTAATTAAAACACTGAATTTATCGAATTAAAAAATACAGCAAATCAAATTTTAAAAAATTCACATAAATCTAAAATTTAACCAAAATACAAATTCCATATGTTAAAGAAGAGAAGCAGCAACTTTGAAAAAAAAATAAATGTTACTCACTCACTGACTACAAACTAAAAGTAGCAAATTCCTCCTGTCCACCTCTGGCCATCGACAATAAAACTTGAATAACAACTTCGATAATTAAACTAGCGAATTAGAGTATGTCCAAATTTCCACGAGTGCTATCACTTCCCGATGCGATGGGATATATATAGGAACACGATTTTGTGATCTTGTTATGGTTGGCCCATAACGTTCGCCATGAGTAAAAAAACAATAGATTGTAAAAGATAACATAGTAATTATTTTACAACTTTTTTTACAACCCTTCAAACGTTCTTTGGTTTATTTAATAAAATTATAATTTTTTTTATTAATAATTGTTTTTTAATTAAAAAATTTTATAAAATAAGAAATTTTATATTGGTAAATAAATGTTTACTTAATTATAAATTTATAAATTTTCCATGCACGTTGCTAGTGACTCATTCGTTTCTAAGCCTGTTGAAAATGGCCTTCACGAATAGATGAGTAAACAAATTTGTTTCATTTTTCTAACTTTTTGAAATTTTTTAACGTATTTTTTTTGTTAAAAAATTATAAATTAAATTATTGTTTGTTTCATTGGGTAAAAGTTTAAAATGTCCGACCCGTCGTCGATTCTACAAGGTTTCAAATTGTTAGTAGAGTAGAGCAATGCAAATACAAAGCAGTGCAAAAGATAATTGAGTTTGTTGAGTTTTCTTCGTACAAAAACTTCACTACATTGAATAATTATTTCTCACTCAATTTAGGAATTGGATGAATTTACGGGACGCAGACAGTGGAAAGGTTTTGTGGCAAAGTACTGATGATCTGTAAAGTTTATTTTTTTAATTATTAATTTTGACAAGTTTTTTAATATTTTAATATATTAATTATTGATTTAACTTTTTCAATATTTTTACGTGAATGTTATGTAAAATATTTTTAATTTTCATGATTAAAAAAACTCATAATTTTAGGATTTAATTTAGTTAGATTTTTGCAGCATTTTTCTTTTTTTTTATTGTCTATGTTTTACAACATTTGATGGTTTTACAATCTTCTAGAAACTACCTAAATGTGATATTTATGTCTATGTTTTACAACACTTGATGAATTTACAATCAAAATTTGATGTTTTTACAATCTTCTAGAATAGAAGATTGTAAAACCTTTTTTGATGTCTATGTTTTACAACACATGATGAATTTTGGATTAAAATTTTATTTATTCATAATTAATTATAATTATGATATATTTTTAAAATAATAATTTGTTTAAAGATCAATTCCAGACATTGAACATGAAGCAAGGGTTCCAAAAAAAATTTTAAAATGTCGAGCTGTATCGAGAGAAATAAATTTTTCATCAATTGAAGAACTGACAAAATTCAGATTAGAACAGCGTGTGCTCTTTAAAGACAAATGCATTGAAGGTTTGTTATTACAGTTTCCAAGATAAATCAAATATTGATGAACGCCTTTATTTTTATGTGCATATCACACCAAATTTGAAATATCAAATCAATCAATCAATCTTCGTTTTGCGTCCAGAGACCCGGTTCCCCGAGGTTGGAAATTTTAAGAAAAAATAATCCAAATTTGAAATACTTAAGGGTTAAAGGTTAATCACATAGTTAACAATGCTAAACTTTAATCAGCAAATCTCAGTTTATTTCGTAAAGTAGTTTGATTCAATTTAAATATTTTTATTTTGCAAACGATTTATATCATTACATGTACTCAGAATGGTTTTTTGATTTTGGTTTCGTCATTCCCTGCTCGACGAACACCTGGCAGTCGATCATCGAGGCGGCGCCAGAAGGTCAAATGATCCCTGCCAGTGTCCTCAGGTTGTCATCAACATCATCATCATCATCGTTAATACAGCCATTTCTATCATCATTCTCATTTTTGTGCTTATGTTATTGACAGCATAGTTGAGCCATCACGTTCCTTGCTGCCAGGGTTGTTATAAAGCTAAAGCTACCGCCGCTTTTGAATGGGAAATATTTTTTTCATTAGATCTAGCTAAATTATTAATAATTATCCATTTTGAGAAAAATCTAAACTTGCGTTGCTTTGTTTCTATTTCCGTCTATTGCTTTCATATATTGAGAATATATATATTCTATATATTTATTTTTTTTGTTTTATTTGCTATTTTGAAACTTAAGTGTGTTTTTTCTTTCCATTTTGTAAAAAATCCGTAATTTTGACTTTAGCGCGTGGTTTTGTTCGATTTTTACACGATGTCATATTTCTTCTACCGCGTGGTTTCCTTCAGCTTTTCTGTAGAACGTGGTTTTAACTCTTAACACGTGATTTCATTATGTGGTAGTAACACGTGCTAACACGTGGTTTACCAATTCGGACAAATAATGTTGACAGCTGCTTCTTTCAGTAAAAAATATAAAATTTCAACTTAGAATATAAAAATTATTATTGTGATTAAATTTTTTTGTCGTGAAATTGTAAATATTTCAGATAATCGATTTAATTTCTAGTTTACTAACGATAAAGTAGAAGATCTATTTCATAATGGAATAAGTGAAAATATTTCTATAAAAGTTCGAATTAAGAAGTGGTGGCGGTAGCAGCGCTACAATCCTCTTGCGGTAGCGATAGTAGCGCTCGTTTTTATGAGTTGCGTTGGCAGCTCTGGTTTCTATGCGGCTTATGAATCGGTCGAATTTGATCGAAATTGTGGTCAAAGCCGAAACAGGTCGAAACCGAATAATAATTCCTTCTTGTCATTTAACGCACTTAATGTCCTAATCTCTATCATCTTGTAATCATATCGTCATCATTGTTGCCACCATTATCATATTATTATTGTTGGCATTTTCGTTGTTATTATTATTATTATTATTGTTATTTAAAAATTTCAGCGGCCATGTTGTGATCGAAACAAAGTTCTTCGACGATCAAATTCTAGTAAGCCAATCACGTGTCAGGATTTTCTACGTTTAATCGGCCTAATTAATATTCATGGCCAGATGATTAATATTCATGAACTAAATTAATAATTTATAATTTGGTAGTCTATTAACTAGTCTATTTGGTTAGATTTAAATGTTGTACTAGCTATTAACCTAGGATAAAGGTTATGGTGAAGATTACGAAAAAAAATTTCGGTTATGTAAATTTGGTCTAAGGTGTGATTAATGATAAATGAGGATTATGGTATGATGATGAAGATGATGTTGGTGGTGGTTGTGATGATGATGATGATTTACGAAACAATTATCAGGATTTTGATTTCAAAAATAATAACAATGACGATTATGAAATAAATTTCATACGATATTTGGTCGGGGATTATGATGATCGCCGAGATAGCTCAGTCGGTATGAGTGCCATACCTCGCGATCCTATTACGCGATGTCATAGTTCGAATACTGTCTGTACGAAACTCAAAGACCGTCATAGGCTTATGAAGCGGTGCTTGCGCGTGTATACGTAATGTGTATGTGTGTCGTGGGGTTGTGTACAGTGTATAGTGTACAGCTTTCGTGATAATGGCGATGATTATGTCGGACATGATTTTATCCTTAATGAGGAATTTCCCATCTTTATGTCGGTATATTTTTTATGCATTTAAAAAGTAAATTTTTTGTTTTGTTCAGGCGCACATACATTGCTAGCTTATACGCACGCACACACGCACACACACACAGGTTTATATACTTATATTTATATACAATGTACATAATTACTTTTTCATTGTGAAACGTGTCAAAAGTCTATTTTTCATTTTTTTTTGTTAATTTATTTTTTTATTTTCCATTCATTCATTCATTCATTCATTCATTCATTCATTCATTCATTCATTCATTCATTCATTCATTCATGATGCATTAATGAAGTGATCTCATTTATCTTTGAAACTTATTGTTTTACCACACACAGACGTTATCTCATGACATCGTTGGCAATTTAATTTAATAAATATTCTATTTTTAATTTAATAATTACGATTTTAACCGTGAACTTACTATTTAAATTGAAATTATGAGTTTGTTAACTACATTTAACTACATTTAGGTACTATACAATCCTCTCTTCAATATTTATCAGGAGCAACAGCAACAGAAAACACACAGTGCATGCAAACACACGTGAAACAACGCATCACCACACACACACACACACACACACATTGCATGCGATAAGTTGTAGATCTTTTTGCTATTGAATTCTGTCACTGCAATAGATATAGGTATGTGCAATACAGCATATATAATTAGATCTACTAACAAGAGTGCACGGTACACACATTGTCCTCGATTACAACAGCTGTTTCTCTCTGTTTATGATTTTTGGTGGCCACTCGGCATTCATGAATCTTACCTTCGTTTGATCGTTATTCTCATTATCGTGGAAATTTTGGAGAAAAATAAAGCCGTGAGAGATCGCTATTGTAAAAGCATGCCACCCCACTCATGTTTTTCCACAGTGCCTGCTGCTGTTTTCTTGTTATTATTCATGATAGATACCGTATGTCGAAATGCTGGAAAACTGCTAACACATTTTCGGCAATAACTCGATCGATCGATTTTTTTTAATTTTGACGAAAAAACTTTTTATAGAGAGAGAAAGTGAAGTTTTTCTCGGTGGTTGCTGTGGTTCTTCCATTTGATATCCAAGTCAAATTGTTACCACAGCAATATTGATAAAGAACTAATTTTGTGTTTTAAGTTATAATTGACAAAATCTGATACAGAGGAAGAGGAAAATAATTAGGAATGCCACTGAAGAACTTTTTAATTTAAAGATAAATTTTCAACGACAACAAAATGTCGAACAAAAAGCACCACACACACAACACCACAGACACACCACACACACACACACATACCACACACACACAATGACAAAATTATTAATATGAAAGCATGTATAAGCTTATGTAAATGTTATCGAGTCAATTCTTATGAAAGAACATAAAAAAAATTGCACAGCGCTAGAAATTTAGTCGGAGCGTTTAAAATTTAGCCGGTATAATTTTATTCATCATTATCAAGACCGTTCTTTCAGCTATTGCCGTCATCATCATCATCATCACAGTGATAGTGCGAGATGTCAACAAACAAGAAATAAAAAACCCCATCTTAGTCATTACGTCACCGTGCGTAGGTGTGACGTCACATTGTGTGACGCAATTGAAATCCGCCGATAATCTCGACTTTGATTGGTCAACTGGATGTTTGATTGATGGATCGCTGTCGATAATTGGTCAGATTTAAGTCACTATTCGTGTTGATGAGATGATGATGACCATGACGACGACGACGATGATGATTATCGTGTGGTAATGGTTATCGTAGCAGTGATGATGATGATGATGACCAACCAAAATTATGGCAATAAATAATATTGATAATATCTTAATAACTTCATTGATAATAATATTACTAAAAAATTACTACAATGAGTTCAATAATAATAATAATTAGAATAATAATACAAACAACAAGAATAATAATAATAATTATTATTGTTGTTGTTAAATGGATAAAGGTAGTAGCATCAATCATTTATAAAAACTTTCTCCTCCGCACCCTCACCAAAAACATCCACTCCATCTTTCTCCAAAATGGACTTCCGTCGGAAGTCAATCTGGCTGTGGTGAATTTCAACATGGCGTCTGAGGTCGACCTTGCGTTGGAAAGCCCTAGAGCAGTGGTCGCAGGGGAAGGGCTTGAAGCCGCTGTGCTTGCGACTGTGCGTGATCAAGTTCGACGACTGGCTGAAGGACTTGCCGCACTGTCTGCATTGGTAGGGTTTCTCGCCTGATGTGGGTGATAGTAATAATGACGAAGATGACGACGACGACGATGATGGCAGTAATTATGACAATGATGATAATGATGACGGTGATGTTGATAATGATTTGGAAGAAGTAGGAAGAAACACACACATAAGCACACGCGCACATACACACATCCATATTTATTATATTCAGCAATACAACAACAACATACATACACACATACATATGCACACACACACACGCATACACATCAACACACACTTATAAAGCGATACACACTTAATCAAAAATACCAACTGCAGATAGCATTCTAATTCATTCAATACTAGACAACTTACGTAGAGAAAAGAAATACAAAAAGAACAAAAAAAAAAAATTATATATACATAAAATGAACAATTTCCTTTTCCGCTCTTATCACGATGACGTAATTGCACTCAAGGGCATACTGATATATGATTGGTCGACGATTTCAAATTCAAATTACCATCTACCAATCAGCGCGAGGCACGTGCGGAGATGTTTATAATACATATATATGCATTTATATATCTATATATATATGCATTACATATGCGTTATATATATATATATATATTATATATACATACATATACATATGTGAACGTATAGTATCATATAGCATAAACATTATGTGAGTGTTCCATTTCATATATATTTATCTTAATAGTTGTTTGTAGCTAAAGTTGATGATGATGGGAATGATAGTAAAGAATAGGATGTTGATGATGAAAATGATGATTATGATATCTCTAAGTATACATTAATGTAAACGTGTATCTATCTGTGTATCTATCTGTGTATCTATATGTGTACATAGTGTATCTATCGATATGTACACATAACCTGTACGTACATATAGGTATACATAAGTGCTAGGTTATAATGCACGGCTGGTTACTACTCTACTACTCTGCTCTTCTGACAAAAGCAAAACTGCTTGCAAACCATTCCTTATATGCTTAGGTGCAATGAATGTTCTACACCACGTACACATTCGTATGTAGCATTCACACCACAAAACGTACACACACACACACACGCACGCATACACACACATTTTTATGATGTATGCATCATGTTAACAGCACAAAGCGTAAAACAGTCTAGAAATTTAGAATTAGAGACGGTATTCGAGCCAGGCCAACTTCGTTTGACGGCATCTCGAAACGTAGCACTCCTACAGTCTGACGCATGTTAAACTTATATGATAAACGCATGCAAGTTAAACTTGTATGAAATTCATTAGAAAAACCCGTAGAGACCTGTGTGTATGTAAGTATGCTTCTTCATGTCAGACTTCTGGTGAAATCTCTTGGAACAGAACGGGCATGGGAATGGCCTAGTATCACTGTGTATCAACAAGTGGGTTGATAGGGTCGATGACCTTTTGAACATTTTCATGCATAGAGGGCATGAAAAGTTTTTAGAATTTGTGGTCGTCGTCGTTGTTGTTGTGGCTATTTGTAACTGTTGTTGTGGTGGTAGTGGTGTTGTTGTTGGTGGTAGTGGTGTTGTTGTTGGTGGTGTGGTTGGTTGTGGTGGCGACGGCTTAGGGTGGTTGACGTGTGTGTGGCTGATGTTAGGCTTAATATAGCTGCTGTTGTTGTTGATGTCATTGTAGTTGTTGTAACTGATGTTGTAGTTGTTGTTGTGATGGAAGTAAGGTAGATGAGGATGACGTTGAAAGGGGATGATATTTTTGTTTTGTTGACGTTGTTGTTGTTGGTTGCATCTTTCCTCGTGAAGTGCTAAATTATTGAGGTAGTTGGGCGAGATTTCTTGCTGGCTTGAAAAATTATACTGCCGGTGATGTTGAGGCTGTTGTTGTTGATGTTGTTGTTGATGACGTAATTGTTGTTGTTCTTGTTGATGTTGCTGATGACGTAATTGTTGTTGTTGCTGCAAAAACGTTTTAAAAAATGTCGACAATCTCTGCTGATGGCCACGGTTGAATATATTGAGAAATAATGATTTGTAATAGCTGATCTGGATGTTGCTGTTGTTGTTGATGAAATTACTGTTATTTTTGTTGATGCAATTGTTAATGTGATTGTAATTGTTGATGCCGTAGTTGTTGTTGATGATTTTGTTGTCTACGTTGTTGTTGTTGTTGCTTGATCTAATGTATTGGTTGCTGAAATCGTTTTCAACGTCGTGTGTGTTGAAAGTTTCATTGTTGATGTTGTTGCTGATGTTGTTGCTGATGTTGTTGCTGATGTTGTTGTTGTTAATGTTGTTGTGATTTTTATTGTTGACGTTGATGTTGTTGTGGTTGTTGTTGTCATTTTCATAGGAAATGAATGAGTTAATGTCGTTATATTTCTCGGAAGTTTTTAATTTGTGGCTGTTCATTTTTGAGTTGATGGAATAAACATAGCTGTGGTTGTTGTTGTTGTTGTTGTCATTGTCATCACTATTGATGTCACTATTTCCAGTACTGTTGATTATTTTACTGTCTATGTTTTTATCGTTGGCAGTGTTGTTGTTTTTAACAGAGTTGTTGTTGATATTGTTGTTGATGTTGTTGTTGTTGCCAATGACGTCACCAGAGTTTTTAGAACTTGTTTTTATGTAATATTTGGCGCTAAATAAGTTTTCTTCCCGGTTATTCATCATATCGTCATCATCTTCATCATCGTTGCAAAAGCTTTCGTTATCATCATTATCATTAACACTAACAACATAACCGCCTTTGACAATGTTGCTATTCGTTGCATTTTTGTCATTGTTATTATTATTATTTTTGTTGTTGTTAGTATTGTTGTTGTTGTTGGCATTGTAATTGTTGTTGCCATTGTTGTTGGTGTTGTTGTTGTTGGTATTGCAATTGTTGTTGTTGTTGCTGCTGTTACGTTGTCGTTTGTCGATTTCAAATTCCAAATCTTTGGCTGGGCTCCAAATTTGGTTAAGATTTTTTTGGAGTGTTGAGTTGTCGTTGTTGCTGTTGTTGTGGATGTTGATGTTTTTGTTGCTGTTGTCGTCGTCGTGATTAATGTTATTTATGTTGTTGTTGTTGTTGTTGTCGTGATTGATGTTATTCATGTAGTTGTTATTGTTGTTGATGTTGTTGTTCTTGTCGTCAAAATAATTAATGTTGGCATTATCGTTGTTGTTATTGTTGTTGACGGTTTTATAGTCCATATCGTTGCTCTCGCAGTCAGGTTCCAAGTTATCTCCAACTGTGTCGTAGCTGTTGTTGATGTTTCTGACGATGTTAATGTTGCTGTTGTTGATGTTGTTGTTGTTATTATTGGAAAAATTGTCAAAGAGGCGAGACCTCCTACTCAGAGTGTAGAAGTAATGGTAGAAGTGTTGTAAGAAATGTTGCCGATGTTTTTTCAACATTTCAGCGGAGGTCATCATGGTAGGGGAAGTTGAAATTCTAAATGGATTAGTAACAACAATCAGAGCATATTTATATAATATGTAATTATATATTCGTGTATATGTGTGTACATGTGCGTGTACATGTGTGTGTACATGTGTGTGTACATGTGCGTGTATATGTGTGTGTACATGTGTGTGCTTGTGTGTGTGTGTGAGCGTGAGTTTTATATGCGAGCGCGAGTATGCGTGTGTGTGTGTGTGTGCATTTATGTGCGTGTTTCGTTTATGTGCAATGCGAGTGTGTGTGTAAGTGCGTGTTTTTATCAGTGCATATGTGTGTGTGTATGTGTTTGTGTGTGTGCGCGTGCGTGTGTGTCTGTTTGTTTGCGCACATGCATGCACACATCCAGCGGAGAGCTTGAACTAGTGACAGAGAAATGATTCTTAAAAGCTGGTGTTGATCTTATCAAATGAAACATGAACATACACGCATATACATGCATAATGTATGCATGTATGCGTGTATGTATGTATGCATGTATGTATGTATGCATGTATGTATGCATGTATGTATGTATGTATGTGTGTATGTACGTATGTATGTGAGTATGTATGTATGTATGTTCTTCATACATGTGACGTACGTCACTGTTGAACACCTAAACATGTCACTTCAGGATTTTTTATGGGACAGACTTCATAAGATAGTCGAAGATGTATTTGTGCATGCGTGTGTGCCTGCGTGCGTGTGTTTGTGTCTATGTATGTGTGTGTGTGTACATATGGGGATGGGTATTTTTTTGCTAGTCGTATGTTTAAATACGGTTATTAATTTTGCTTTGTTTGTATGTATGTACGTAAGTATATATGTTTGTTTGTTTGTTTGTTTGTTTGTTTGTTTGTTTGTTTGTTTGTTTGTTTGTTTGTTTGTTTGTATGTATGTATGTATGTTTGTTTGTATGTATGTATGTATGTTTTTGTTTGTATGTCTGTCTATGTATGTGTATGTATGTTAGTCTGTATGTAGGTATATAGGTATGTACAGAATTATTTAAAGAATCACAAACACAAGCAAAAAAACAAAGACAAACTATCAAAAAAAAAAACAAACGAAAAACTGAACAAAAACTTGAGCAAGCATATAAACAACAAAAGTAACAAACAAAAAATATTTTCAAATACAAAACCTTGCAACAGCAATACTTACAAACATATGAACATAATATTAAAATACACAATCATCAAACAAACATAAATACATACATACAAACAAACATACAAACAATCAAATGAACAAACAAACAATGAAACAAGCATATATACAAACATACAAACAAACATTTAAACAGTCAATCAAATATAAATCGAGATGAATGTACATACAATACATTGATATGGCGATAACGCGCGCTGGACCAGATGCTAACATGCATTTGCATCAAACATTAAGTATCTCTCTGCATATCGATGTATATATGCGTTTCTCACCATGTTTGTATGTTTTTCTCTTTGTGTTTGTATATCCGTTTGTATGTTTGTGTATTTTTGTTCTTTGATTAATTTGTTATGTAGTTTTTTTAAACATTTGTCTGTGTGTTTTTGTATAGTATGAACGACATTGCGCATGCATGTTTTGTTTGTATTTTTTTGTATTCATGTATGTACGTTTGTATGTTTGCTTGTATTTGTATGTTTTTTTTACTTGTATGTACATCCGCTTATTATATTTCTTATAATTTACCTGCTTATTGTGATTATTTATTGCACACACACAAACAAACACACAAACACACACAAACACACACACAAACAAACACACAAACAAACAATAACAGACGCAAATTTATATAAATAAATTAATAATAATGGTAATTAATAATAATATTTTAGAGATTATCAGATATATTTGATTCATATAAACGCTCGTCTGAGTGTGAACCGTAACACCTTGCTGAGATAAAACGCTGATTTTCTTATATGCCTACTATCAGCTTATCAATAAATACTATGATAATTAATTAATTATAGAAAATATTACCAATGATAGCACATCTACTACTACTACTACTACTACTACTACTACAACTACTACTTCAACTTCTACTTCTTCTATTACTATTACTACTACTACTACTACTACTACTACTACTACTACTACTACTACTACTACTACTACTACTACTACGACTACTACTATTACTACTAGGGATGCACCGGATTCAGGTTTTTCAACTTGGCCGGATTTGAAATTCAAAAACCGGCCGGGGCCGGAGCCGGAGCCGGAGCCGGGGCCGGATTTTAGTTACCATTTTACATACGTTAGAAAAAATACTCACATTTACGGTTATCTACATGTTGAACATCAAAAAATAACACCAAGCAAATAGTTATTTAATTCAAATATATGAATAAGTTGTGTGATACGCTATATTCTGTACACAAAGATCAGCTTATAATTTATGCATATTTGCACAACCCAAGTTAAAGCACAAAGAAAATTGTCCAGCTCACCGCACAATTAGTGATGTTGTAATTATGTGTCATGTATACCTAGCCTAACCTTTAACATACCATGTTCTTAAATTATGTGCTCATGTATCTCTCTCTCTCTCTCTAAATATATATATATATATATAGATATATATCTTTATATATATATATATATATATTATGTAACTATATGATCCGTCATGTGCAATTATTAATATATAGTATATACACGTGCACAAGTTCTTTTACACAAAGATCAGCTTATAATTTATGCATAACCCATGTTATAGCATAAAGAAAATTGTCCAGATCACCTCACAATTAGTGATGTTGTTATTATGTGTCATGTATGCCTTTAGCTTAGCTTTAGCCATTAACTTATTGACATAAAATTAATTGAATTCAATAAAATTTTTTTTTCTATTTCTAACATTTTTAAAAGTTGATAGACGCTTAAATCTGGCCCTAAATCCGGCCACCAAATCCGGCCGGGGCCGGATTCGACCGGATTTGAAAAAAAAGCCGGATTTTGGCCGGGGCCGGAGCCGGGGCCGAACTTCGGTGCATCCCTAATTACTACTACTATTACTAATACTACTACTACTACTAATTCTACTACTACTACTACTTCTACCACCACTACTACTAGTAGTAGTAGTACTACTAGTAATAATGCTATAAATAATAATAATAATAATAATTATAGAATAATAAAAATAATAACAATGTCTTTATTTGATGGATAATTTTTTTTATTAAAACTGTTACTAACTGCTGAATGGTTTTACTCGTTTACGACAATTGTCAACATGTAAATAATTATATTTTTCTATATATTTAATTTAACATTAAATTCATTATTATTATTATTATTACAATTTTTCACAATATTGGTAGTTATATGTAGTTTCCAAAAATTGGTTTCTACCAACTCAACATCTGATGAATATTTATTTTGAATAATAAATAAAATTATTTAATTATAACCACTTAGCTATAATTAATTTTTTAATAATTTTCATAATCGTTATAATTATTATTAAATGTTTTTGTGAAAATTTTTTTAAATTGCAAAAATATCAGCACGAAATTCGCCCATATTTTGCAATCATTCCATCTGAATCCTATCGACGATAATCAAAAAATTAAATGACCGCTTGGCCAATGAAATGACAGGAAGGCGTGGCTTTGAAACTTCTTTCGACCAATAGATGTTTTACGTAATTCGAAAATATTGGAGTGTTTTTGTGAAATGAAGAGTTTTTTTCTGTATATTACAGATTTTTTCATATATATTCATTTTGAATATTTATTGAAATTGTTTAGAAAGAAATCATGCTTTGAAACATTTAAAGAGCAAATTATTTTATCGGGAAACAAGGTAGCAGCAGAAGCAGTAATAGTAGCAGCAGCAGCAGTGGGAGTAGTAGTAGTAGTATAGTAGTAGCAATAGTAGTAGTAGTAGTAGTAGTAGTAGTAGTAGTAGTAGTAGTAGTAGTAGTAGTTGTTGTTGTAGTAGTAGTAGTAGTAGTAGTAGTAGTAGTAGTAGTAGTAGAAGTAGTAGTAGTAGTAGTAGTAGTAAGCAACAGCATCAGTAGTAGTTGTAGGAGCATCAGTTTTTATTTTAACTTTTATTCAAACACCCATAAATAGTAAATTAAATGTTGTAAAAAATGTTATAAAATCCGTGAGAAGGCGGGGCTTAAAAATTGTTGAGGGCCATCTCTATGTCCTTGCACCCCTCCTCCGTTCTTTGGACGACCTTCTCTGCCAGTAGGTACAACTCGTCCACTTTCTGGGAAGGGGTTCAAACAAATTTTAAAATAAATTTTGGTCCTGGTCTTATCATCATGTTTATCGGCATTCATATCACTTAATGTTTATCAGTAGTTATACCATTTAATGTTCAATATCGTCTGATGTTTTATAATCATTGGTATCATCTGATGCCTAATAAAGAACACATCATTCGCTGTTCTTATTATCATTATTTAATGTTCGTTATCACTTATCATATCATTTGACGGTGATCATCTCGGCTTTTTAACGCAGTTACATATAAACACAACCTCTCGCACACGCACACACACACACACACACGCACACGCACGTAGCATATAACACAGCTTCATTCGTCGAACGCATGCAATGGCAAGCTTTCTTTTAAAATATACACTCGACGCATACAAAAATACAAACACTCCATCACACACACACACACGCACGCACATACAAATATACGAATACTGCAACACACACAGACATAAACATACAAACACTCCCATACACAAGCACACGCAGACCGTAGCATTAGACATTTGTTTCAGGACGGGATCGGGATAGTCCAACTCAAGAGCGGATTCAAGATCCTCGCCATTATTTTTTTTCATGACTACTTTCTTAAAGTTGTTTGACAGCACTTTGCTAAGATACTCGCTCGTCAGAAAGATGGACTTTTTCTTGTGAAACAGAGGAGTGTTCTTCACTGGACTTGGACTCGGACAGCGAGCCATCTGAATTTTCTGGAAGATATAGGGATACTCACTCATTCACTCACTCACTCATTTACTCATTCACGCACTCACTCACTCACTCACTCACTCACTCACTCACGCACTCACTCACTCACTCACTCACATTTTCAAAAAATTCTTCATGGAGCAGTTTGAAATCCTTAACTTCCTGTTTCATGAGCTCCCCTTGTTTGACCACCCCCTTATCAAGCAAGTCCTGCACCCTCCTGTGCTCGAGCAATCGTCGCTTGCGTTGGTCCATTTTTTCTCTCGTCTATGTGTGTGCGTGCGTGTAGGTGTGTGTGTGTGTGCGTGCGTGTAGGTGTGTGTGTGTGTGCGTGCGTGTGTGGGTGCATGTGTGCGTGTGTGTACGTCATGTGTAAGTGTGTGTGTGTGCACGCGCGCGCGTGTGTGTCTGTTTGTGCGTGTGTGAGTAAACAGAGTGAACAGAAGTATAAGCAGGTGTGTGAACATGTAATCAGTGTAAACAAGTTGGTGAACAAGTATGCAAGCATGTAGCATGTAGACGAACAATTGGATGTAAATAGTTAAAATACTGAAGCCCCGTTCCCTTGCTTACTCTTCAGTTTAACTGACTTTGTATGTGATGTTTTTAAATTTTCAATTTAAACGGATGAAAAAAAACCCACTTTTCCATCTTCCTCCATCTGCTTTTCCAGGGCAATGATGTAGTCCCTATCCTTCTTGACCATATCGATGGAGTTGCTGATGAGTTGCAGGTAGGATTGTATGCGATCCGGACGCGGTCGACCGCTACTTATAATTTCATGTAAGTGTGTTTGTGTGTATTAGGAATGGGACGAATCCAAGAATATAAAATCCGTGATATCTGGTTTCGAATCCGGATCTCTTTGATGGATCCAATTTGCATAGGATCCTAAAATCAAAAAGGCTGCTTAAAAACGAAATATGTTGCTACCTGCAAGCACATTCCTCTGACAAACCAAATAATTTTAAAACGTAGATGCATCAACTTGTTAGTAGTATCCAATGTTAATCATATATCGTTGTTGATATTTAGGATCACTTTTCAAAAAAATTTTTTCGTTCTTTATGTAGATTTTGGATCTGAAAAATAGTTGATCCTTAACTTTGGATCCACGGATCCAAATTTTTTCCGAATCCCTGGATTCGGGTTCAAATCCGGATTCGGAACCGTCGCATTCCTAGTATGTATGTTTGTATTTTATTTTTATATGTATATAGTTTGTATGTACGTTTGTATGTATGTTTGTATATATTTTTGTATTTATGAGTGTATGTATGTTTGTATGTATGTTTGTATGTAAGTTAACAATTTCATGTATGCATAAATATCTTTATATACATGTATATGCATGCAGTTTTTGTATGGTATACTTGTTTGTGATTGTTTGTATGTTTGTTTGTATGCTTATGGCAATATGTATGTTTATATATTCATGTTAGTAACTTCTTGTCCGTGAACTTTTGCAACTGTTAAAATTTGATGTTTTGTTTGATCTCAGTTTATTAGTTCCATGTGTACTGTACATTTCTAAGGTGCAGCATTTAGACCATATTTTTTACTGAGTTATTCAGAATCCTACTATATATCCCATTCAAATTATATGTTATATATATATATATGTATGTATATAGGGTGATAAATGAATAAAATAATTAAATAAAATGAGATGAAACTGATTAATGAGTTAATTGATTTTTACAATTCATTAAAATGACATGTAAAACTACTGACTTTGCGTCTAGGAACATCATGACTGAGCAGTTCTCGAACTGAAAAACAATTTCTTCAGTTTAGTAATTTTTCGATCACCAGCCCAGCAGCACATGTGTGTTATATAAGGATTATTATTTGTCGTTATACTCTTGTAATAATAATTTTATACTAAACTTTTTATGAATAGTAATATTATTATTTTTATTGAGATAATAATACAAATCTGTCTTTAATAAATCAACACACACACCACACACACAGACACACACACAGACTCAAACAGACGCACACACAGACACGCACACACACACTCAAACAGTTGACAGAGATAAGCTTCTTAACCGTTACACTAACATTATTCGTAATAATGATCTCATAGAAATCATAAAATAATAGCTTCAATAACCATTTTTTAATATTAATAATAATACTTAATAGACTCAGTTGAGAGTTTGCCATTGGAGATGCTGCTCTAGACTGGTTCAAATCCTACCTAAGTGATCGATACCAGTTTGTCAAAGTTGACGATTTTTTTACTTCACCTACAATATTAGAACAAGGTGTTCCACAATGTTCTGTCTTGGGCCAACTGCTTTTCTCTGCCTAGATTTCTCCAGTAAGCCATATTTTTCAACAGTTCAACATACCTTTCCATCAATATGCTGATGATAGTCAATTATTTTTTACTATTAATCCTCGCGACCCAACTCATGATATCAATAATTTAACATCTAGTATTTCCTTACTTCATTCAAGCTTTCTGCAAAACAACATGCAACTTATTCCTTCCAAGACTGAATTCATCAAGCTGGCTACATCTCATCAACTTAAGGCAATCAATTATATTGACAAAATCTACATCAATTCTACTCAAATCACATTAAGCAGTCAGATAAAATCACTCGGCGTCATACTCGACACAAGGTTAAGTTTTGGTAAACATATCACCTCAACCATTCAAGCAATCTGCCTCATTATTTAAGAACCTGCACTTCATTGACAACTTTTTTAAAAAAAACTGAAAACTTATTTTTACAACTTGCTGCCTTAGCTAGTCATATTTTCATTTTGATTACTCATTTTTTAAATTGAATTATTGTTATCGGGGATAGTTCTTTAGGCTTATCATTGGAACATTTCTGTAAATCTATAACAACATACTTCATCTATCCTCTGGCAAGGAGCGCTTCAGTTGCTTGCTATTAGCGCTATATAAATTGTTATTATTATTGTTGTTGTTATTATTGTTATTATTATAAAAATGTTAGTGCAATGACTCTATCATTACCTTATAATACTGTTTCTGTATTAATCTTCGTTCGTTAAAAAATTTAACGACACGCACACGCACATACGCTACCAAAATATTTACAAATTTATCAATATCTTGTTTGTTTATTCATTAATTACGTAAATACGAAATATGACGTCACATATTTACTCCAGTTCTTTTTTTATGATTATTCAAACTTGCAATAACAAATTTTCTTAATAATTTTATTTGTTTAGTTAACATAAAAAAATATATATATGAGTACATAAATTAAACATTATATGTTTACATATCACAAACACACACACCACATATACCATACACAGACACACACACACACACACACACACACACAGAAACACACACTCAAACACACACACACACACACACACACACACACACACACACACACACTGTTGTGAATATTATGTATGAAGATAGCAACAATGAAAACGAACTCCTTTTTGAAAAATTATTCTTCAAATGACTCTATCTATCAGTTAAGTTTTTTGTAACTCAAGCGGGATCGTTAAACTAAACAGTCTAGGAAATATTCATATGAATAAAATTGTTATAAAATAAAAAATTATTATTATTATCTAATTATTTATTTATTTGTTTATAATTTAAAAGTAATTTTTCTGAAAAATTCTCTGCAATTACAATTGCAAAAATAGCATAAATATGAGATATTTAACAGATTTTTTGTTAAAATTTTAAAAATATAATTACATAATTGTCATATACAAAGCCGCAAATATCTAATAAACACACGACGCACACACATACGTACACACACACATACACGCACACACTTAAAACTGCCATCTAAATTTTTAACACAAATATCCTAACTAAATTAAGCGCCACAAAAATAAAATATCCCTTCCTATTCCAGCCAATTATGGAAGCCGTCGCCATGACAACCAGACTATCGGCCGATGACTGATGTTGTTGGTAGGCGTGGTTAATTGGCCGCCGACCAATCGTAGTCTGGGTAAAGGAGAAAGCTTCTTCCGATTGGACAATGCCGTAATCACGTGATTGAGTGGCATCCAATAAGGGACAGATGTCTGTGTGTGTGTGTTTTTCGTAGTAATAAATGATTGGCGAGCTATTTACTAGTTATAATTACGATTATTATATAATAATAATAATTAATATTATTGAATTTACCGCTGTTATTATTATTAATATTAAATTTTTATTAGGGTTAGCATTATTATTAATATTATTAGTAGAATATTTTTTAGCGTTTAAATACGTACGTAAGTAATTTCTAAAGTAAAAAACCCTCTCAGGCTGTGATGACGATGACGAAGATGATGACGATGATGATGACGACGATGATGATGATGATGATGGAGATGATGATGACGACTGTGGCAACGATGACGTAGAAGATGACGTAGATAGCACGTGACATCGTTTATTATGAACGACTTGTAGTGTCTCATCCTTTAACGTTCGGATGGACTGAAAGAAAAAATTATTGCATTAATGAATAGATGAATGAAGTGATGAAGAGATAGATAAATAGGATAAATGAATGGGATGAATAAATGAATGATATGAATGAATGAATGAATGAATGAATGAATGAATGAATGAATGAATGAATGAATGAATGAATGAATGAATGAATGAATGAATGAATGAATGAATGAATGAATGAATGAATGAATGAATGAATGAATGAATGAATGAATGAATGAATGAATGAATGAATGAATGAATGAATGAATGAATGAGTGAAGGAAGGGACATACATGGAAATACAAACAAACGCATAAACAAATACATAATAAATGTTAACAAGTGAAAACAAAATTAATGAATGAGCGAAAATATAAAAGAATGATAATAGAAAAAAATACTCACAAAACATGCCAGTTGGCTAAACTTAGTAGATGATGTTGACGGTGATGACGACAACGATGAAGAAGATGACGATGATGAAAATAATGATGAAGCAGATGATGATGACGACGATGATGATGATGATGATGATGAATATTGGCGACCTATAAATGAAACTGTGGAATCCGGCTCTAACCACCAAACAAGACAATTGAGCTGATAAACTGAAATGAAAATATTAGCATCATCATCATCATCGTAATCATCATCATCGTCCCAATCATCATCATCATCCTCTTCTTCTTCATCATCATTCCCACCATCATCGTCGTCGTCATCATTCTCATCAACATCGCAAGCATCATCATCATTTACTTGGTTTTTTCAAACAAGGCGATAACATCTCCATCTTGTTTCCGCCATTACAACCGGAAATAAAGGTCACATGACACCCACTGACGTCATCATTACCGTTGTTATTATTTCTATTATTGTTGTTGTTATTCTTATTGATGTTTTTGTTGGTGTTGATGTTACTAATAGTGTTACTATGGTTACCATAATGCTTGTTGTAAATATTACTTTTTACTTTATGCAAACTTCTACTTGCTTTTGTAGTACGGTTGTGGCGATTAGTAACGCTACCACTACTGCTACTTCTACTACTACTACTACTACTACGACTACTACTACTACTGCTATTATTGTTACTCTTACTCATATCATCGTCGTTGTCATCATCGTCATCATAGTTTATATTATTATTATTATTATTATTATTATTAATTGAAAGGTAATTTCCTCTGAATGGACAGCTATTGACCAAGTGGCTCTTTGCTGAAAAGGTAAAAAAAATATAACATTAATATAATAATAATAATAATAAAATAATGATAATAATAATAATATAATAATAAAAATGGATGATAATAATAATAATGATAACAAAAAAATAAATATAATTATAATAATAGTAATATGATAATTAAAAATAATAATTTAATAATAATAATATAATAATAATAATGATAATGACTTACAAAGCAATATTTCGGCTGGCCAGTTGTTCGGAAAATCTTGTTCATCACAGTGGGTTCTGTCAGGACTGATGACATTACCTATGATGATGATGATGATGATGATGATGATGATGATGATGATGATGATGATGATGATGATGATGATGATGATGATGATGATGATGATGATGATGATGATGATGATGATGATGATGATGATGATGATGATGATGATGATGATGATGATGATGATGATGATGATGGTGATGACGATGATGATGATTGCAATGACTGAGATGCTATCTTGGACGGTGACAATGATTAACCGTTATGCCGATCAAAATGATGATTGGTTTGCTGATGAGGTTCATGATGATAGTAATGATTGTGATGATGATGATGATGGTGACGACGATAATGATGATGATGATGATACCAACCCCACTTAACCACTAATACAGAAGATATAGATTTCTTGAAGAAGGTAACACATTGAAGTTTTGAATGGCTAGAAAAATAATTAAAAATATGATTAAAATGATTAAGAATATATTTAAAATTATTAAGAATTCGATTAAAATGATTAAGATATGATTAAGACTCATAAAGAAAATGATTAGAAATAATTAAAACCATGATTATATTGAGATAACGATGTTGATGATGAAAATACTAATTATTATCATTCCTCATTTTTGAACTGATCTGTCCACAAAGAAATTATTTTCTTAATATCTTTATATCTCATACCCAAACGTATTTTAAACGTATATTTTAAATTTTCTTACATATTACCACATATTAGATTACATATTACATATTTACATTACATTACATAACACGTTACTGCGTTGTTCCATTGGAAATTTTTAACCTAGAAGCA